AACAATTGTACCAACTTTTGGAGGGATGTCCATGGTGACCTGTTGTAAGGAAAATTTGATATTTTCCACTAAATTTTAAGTAAGCTACATTCAAAGATTTTACCACGCATTCAGGACTTCAGTACTATAGTAAGGAATCTAAAGTGCAAACAAAGATGCTTGCAAGTACAACTGATTTAGATTTACCACGTTTTGTGGAAAAACAAAGTCAGACTTCTGTACCACATGTTCAAACTTCTTCGTCCGTGTTTGTGTATGTTTGAATAAAGATAAGAAGATGTGGTATGAGTGCCAATGAGACAACTCTCCATCCAAGTCACAATGTATAAAAAGTTAACAATTATAGGTCAAAGTACGGCCTTCAACACGGAGCCTTGGTTCACACCGAACAGCAAGCTATAAAGGGCCCCAAAATGACAAGTGTAAATCAATTCAAACAGGAAAACCAACGGTCTAATCTATACAAAAAACGAGTTAATAACCACAAAAACAAGCGACAACCACCGAAAAAAAGGCTGCTGACTTAGGACAGGTGCATACACATGTTGAATATCTGTTTTGGGGTTTTGTTTAAGGAGTCGGGTGTAGGTGGTTGGTATGGTTGGTTTTATATTTTGGGGATCCCTTTATATGTTTGACTGTGTTGAGTTGAAGTGAGTCTGGCTGGTTGGGGTCATGTCTGTGTTTGTTTATACATAGATATTTTTGTATTTCAAACGATATCGGTATACACCTTTTAAATGCTTATACTATAAACGTAATTAGATTAAATATCAGTAAAAAAATATATTATCTGAATATCAGTAACTAAAAAAAAACTCGATATATAGTGTGTGTAGGCTTTCCGTTGTCATGTGTGTTAATATCTGCTATCTGACTTCTAACAGATCACTTTTAACAAAAAATGTTCATTACATAGCCTAAAGTCCTGGTGCAAATTTTAGAATGAAATCAGTGCTTCTTGTTCTGGCATGTAATCAAAATCAAATTCACTGTAAAATGTTCTCAAAGAAAAGAAACACAAATTCAAACATTTAGGCTAACAATGGTACCAATTTAAACTTCTTGAAGTCAAAAGATCGAAACAGTAATTATGACAGATAAAATCTTGATCATGCGTAGATAAAATCTAAATGTAATTCAACCACCTCACATACAAATGATAAAGTCTTGTCTTAAAAAAAAAAGTTCAAAGGTTCGACAGTATTTTGCTTTCTCATCCTGCGTTTTCATAATAATTGGGGTTTTTTTTCCTTCATTTGTTTAAACATCAAAATGGATTATGACATGTTTTTATTTGCATCATTTGTATAAACACCAAAACGGTTTATGACTTGTTCTTATTTTTTCAGTTGTCTGAACATCAAAACAAATCATCGCGTGTTCATGCTAATGACTCACTAGTATCAAAATAAACTTGATTTGACATTCGACGCAATTTGTTATCTAACTGCGGTCAGACCCAACCTGTAGTATTTGCGTCTTAGTTTGTCGTTTTAAGTAATGCAACTTATCCTAGGCTTTGTTGAGGCAATTTTTTTTTTTCAAATTAAGAAAACTTAAATAAAGCTAAGGTAAAAGAGTTTGGTGAATATGTTTAACGCATCTATTACATTGAACTTGAAATAAGGTATATAACAGATACAGTTTAGTCTTCCTCATATCTTGACTTACATCTAGAAATTGACAATGAAGGTCGGTTGAAAACAAAACTTTGCGACAAAAGAGATGATTTCAGCTTCCCAATTGTGACCTTTACATTTCTATGTATCAACATTCCAGCAGCGTCTGCATATGCATTCCCCCACTCCCAGTTGATACGATATTCTATTTTCATAACATATACAAATTTTTATTTTGATAAATTGTGTACTTGTTTTTTGTATTTTTCGTTTCGTCATCATTTAAACTTGTTGATATTATATTGGTGCAATAAATAATCTACAACATATACTAATCTTCCTCATGGACCTTCGACTTGCAACTGATCAAAGCAGTAAATCAAACTATCGCTTTATATAATTGTAATTATAGCGATTTCCTTATCTTCTTTAATTTCCATGTTTATTGAAACAAACATAAATATAGTGAACAAGATCAAAACAGTTAGTTTCATAACTGTAAAGATTGAAATTTACATAGAACAATAAGTTATGAATAGAAAAAAAAAGAGTGTAATGTTTTCAGTTTTGGGAAAATACAGATTCAACCTATAATTATATATGTGTTAGATATCAAACTGACTACTATCTTACTAAAACTTGTCAGTATTAAAGTGCAAAAAAAAATAGTTTATTTGATCACGTTGAACTAAAATAATAACCCATTCAACCAATATATATATATATATATATATATGCATGTATGCTGAAATATTTGTTTTTATCATGAAAAGATATCCTTTATGCCGAATTTAGGTGCTAATTAAGGAGTTTGAAATAATTTCCAGCATCAATTTTGAACGTTAAACAAATAAAAGGGCTTAAATCTATTCTGAAATAATGAGAAAAGGATGAAATTTTACCTAATTTGCCCGAGTATCTTTATATTTACGATTTTAAGTTTTCTGTGAAGTGTTTGTCGACTTTTGGGTTTATTTTGTCGGTTATTTTCTGGCCATGGTTTGTCTGGCTTTTTTAATCTATGCATGCATCTTTCGGTGATGTCTTAATTTTTAAAATTCAAATACGGCGATTAGATATACTATAAGTATAGTTTTTGTGGTGGTCATTATGGTGTTAAAGCGAAAACGCATTTATTCGGTACTACACAAAACTATAGTATATATATGTACATTATTAAGCTACTAAAACATCATAAAAATTCCTGAAGTGTAAACATTTTAGTACTGTAGAACTCCTGTAAATTTGAAAATCTATTTTATATAACATTTAACTACTTTTTAAAGTATGTATCCTTTATTTCTTATAAAATTCCGTCACCTGGACGTACATATAAGTAAATTATAAATCAGATTGATAATTGAGCATTTGTATTCAATGACAGTTTTGAATAAAAATTCGAAGTAAAAGATGAAAATTTTTATATTTGTTATTTTTTAATTGCTATTAGATTCGTGCCCCACAGAGTCAATATTCTGTTTTCATTTCTTCGAGCAGATACGTTTTATTTATTTATTGATTTGTTTATTCATGAATGCACATTTATACGAAGGTTTGATTGAATATTAACAAAACAAATTACACAACGCATAAAATCATAAAATAAACATTACAACATAGCAAGTATATAAATGAAGAACTTATGCAGGTGTGGAGTCCAACCGCCTCGGTGCAAACGACTTTTTGATTATAGGGAACATGTCGAAGTGTTGTTTTATGCAAATTCTAACTGCAAGTATTTTGCAATAACTAGAAATGTACATAAAGCAGGTGTATACTTAATTTGATTGACTGAAATGTAACAAATCTGGAATCACTTGTTTGAACACGAGTGAAAATTCTATCACAATTCACTTTAGATAATAGAAATGGACACTATTTAACTTGCAAAATATTGTTTTAGACATTTTGCAAAGTGGTAAATTTAAATCTAATATAAAAATAAGAAGATGAGGTATGATTGCCAATGAGACAATGAGTAAAACCCATACCGCATAGTCAGCTATAAAAGGCCCTAAAATGACAAATGTATTTAACAATTCAAACGAGAAAAAGCTTGTTTAAAATAGTGTGTTTAAAACTGTACTATATATAGATAGTATTAGTAATATCAAATCTTCATCTTGGTAGCTATACCTTGCAGGTTTGTATTGTGTGTTTTAAGTTTAAGACATGAGGACTAGATAGACAAAGTGGGAGGACATCCAAAACCGAAATGAGTTAATTAAAATCTGAAAATACATCTATCTTAGCTTTTGATCAATTTTGGGTTAAGTTTCAAATGTTCCTTTATATTTGTTTTGCTTACATGACCAAAATTTGGCAAAATATATAAAATTGCAGTTTTGGGTCGTCTTGAAATATTTTAAATAATTAAGTTACATTTAAGAAATACAACATAATGTTGTAACAAAATCACTGTATACATATGAATCTACAATACACTAATAATTCTGTTAAAAAATAGAGACATCTTGAGAGTGAGTGAAACAAAAATTGGCCATACACACATCCTTTCTCTACAGTCATTACAGGAAACACATACATATATATTCGACATGGAACGTAGTGCACAGATTAGTTGATTGTTGGTTGCTTGACGTCCAGTGGCAAATATTTCATGCACGTTCAGGTCAATCTTTATCACGATCGATGCGTACGATCGTGCATGTTGACGTAAGTATACAAAAATATACTGATAACTTTCATAATCATTTACATATAAACTTTAAACATTATAGTTTGTATAAACTAAAATTTCTATTATTTCTAAAGTTTACCCTAGAAAGCAAATCACTTTTGCCATATTTATATGGGATTTTGTTTTTAGATATTGCAGCTTTTCAACAAGATTGAACAAGGCAAAGGCGTTTTGGTGTCCCAGAATTGTCTGTTTTCACGTCTAGAATTTGCATGACTTTATCCTTTTTTGGAAAATAAATAGTATAACGTTAAATTGATAATTTTACGTCATGTGCAACGAGTTGATAAGAAATGATGAACATTAAATCAAAATGATATTGCAACATATTACTACTGGAATAACAATTTCGTACAAATGAAACTGAACTATTATAGATTTAAAAATGAGGCTCTGCCTCGATTCAATAAAATTTATTTTATTAATCGCATGTCCTGTCATTATACATGTTTAGTGTCTTATCTTATCCGGTGTATTGTCTCGTAAACAAAGAAATGGTGTTTATTTTGTGCTTCGTTTTTACGATATTTTGTACAGTGGAGTGCCAGGATTATATATTCAAAACCATCGACAGTCTTGAAGAGCGACTTTCAACTCTGGAATCTAACAGAAATGCATGTCCAGCATGTTGTGACTGTGTTAGTATAAAAACAAAATACAATGACCTTAAAGTTGAAATGGGTCAAGTTATGAATACAGTAAATAAATTGAAACTGGAACTGAATCAGTTACGGGCCTCAGAAACTACCTTCATACGAATGTCTACAACCTCAGGTTCGCAACAAGGAATTTATCAACAAACGCCAAAGTCAAATGTAGCTTCGTCAACTATACAGCATAAAACCACTATCTCAACAAAGATGTTCTTCACTACAAAACCAACAGTCATATTTCCAGGTAGAACAAAGGAAACTATTTTGCCTACTACTACCACGATAGCTTCTACCTCAACGAGAATGTTATCAACTACAACCAAAACAACATCACCCACTACAAACAAAACAACATCACCAACTACAACCAAAACAACATCACCAACCACAACCAAAACAACATCACCAACCACAACCAAAACATCACCAACTACCTCATCGACTATTTCTGTAACGGCCTTCACAACTCTAGCAGGTAGTTATACATGTATTATGTAGATATATGATAAGCGTTAACTCGTTAAAAAGATACAACGAACCCGTCTGTACTCTTCGGTCTAAACGTTTCTATTCATTTAATTGATATTGGTGTTTTGATTGTTCTCTATGTACAATCTAATTGAAATATCGATCAATCGTAACGGCTCAGTATAACGAAATCAGAGATATATGTTTTAATTAAGATTGCTCTCTGTATGTCCTCCGTCCCGTTCAAAGTCCCTCTTTCTCTCTAACCACGAAGTTGTTACTATTGATAAATGATACTATAAGTATATAGTCAAAAGAACTAAAACACATTCGATTTGTTGTTGTGGGATATAAAAACAAACTAACGAAAATGAAGAGCAAATGCGGATAACTAATTTTAATTAGATTGCCAAAAAGAAAACGTGCTAGTGGTACGTATATCATGTAAATGAAACAATTTGTTGACACTTTTGGCAAGACATTACAGGTGTGTTCATTTTGCTGCATTTTAAAGTAAATGGTAAACGAAGATTTCGAGAGGTATGATAAAAACATATATTCATGGACAGGCAGTGACGGAAGCTAAAATAATTAGAGGACAAAAAGCACAAATGAGCATTCACAACACAAGATTTTGTTACGGCGCGAAATATTTGGAACTTTAATTAAATTCCTTTCTGATATTGATATTTTGGGATAAGAATAGAAAACTGATGCAGAAACATTTTCATATATACACTTGAAAATCAAACACGATTCCTGAAGTATGGACATTGTAAATATTGTACAGGACGACACCTCATGAAACTTCGCGTTGGTCTAGCGTGTCAATGGGTTAAGTGACTATCTTGCATGCGTTTGTACTTTCTCACCTTAGTCTTGATCTTGAGCTTAAGATTCGAATTACCTCTTTTCTTAATACTTCTGAGTTATTATGATTTTATAGTTAAAAAAATGAATCCTGACAAAAGATCTACAAAGAAAACATTTCAATTTTAGGACCACAACACGACTGTAAAGATGTCGTTAAAAATGGACACAATGGAAGTGGTTTGTATGACCTTAGTTTACCAAATGGTAAGTAGATAGTTATGATATGAAAAGTAAAATAAGGAAAATTCTAGCCCCATCCATGCTAAGGGTATAGTAAATTCAGGGGAGGAATAGCCTAAAACAGAATAAATATCGCAGAGCGAAGCGAAATAAAAACTTTGTTTGGAGTTTATTCTAAAAAAGGATTTATTTAAAATCAAAGACGGGCGTATGCCCTCAACGCCCCTCACCCTGAATCCGCCACTGATATTACTACTTCTTATAGACTCCTCCAAAGTAAAAATGACGAATTTACAAAATATGTTTCGAAAATATGCCGGAAATCAATGATGTTAACTTATGAAATAACAAATCAAACCATTGAAACTCTAAAAAATAACACACCTTTTTGTGAAGTTGAACTTTACTGATCTAGAACTCATAAATGTGCACGAAAGAAAAGAAAATCAAATGATAAATGCATATGACAAATATGAATGATATTTTAAAAAGTATAAAACACATAATAATCTATCAAATATTCGTGTTGGCAAAAGATAATGGCAGTAATTAGGGATAGTGAACAATCGCCGACTGTTATTGAGATAATATGCGAGTATATTAAATGCATTTTATTCTATAAAAAATCAGTGTAGTTTTAACATTATGATATATCTCTTAATTTCATAACATTATAATGTATCTCATTAATTCTCTTAGATGACATAGTTTGTTGAAAACATAAAGCATAAAAAGACATCTGGGGTATACGACAGAAACAACGCAGACGACATCTCGGGTATACGTCAGAAACAACCCAGACGACATCTCGATGATATTTTGGCGAACATACAGATTTATAGTACATAAAAGTGTAAATTGTTAAGCGTTGGCGACGTTTTTAAGGTTGTGGTCTTGTCAGTTTCCTTTTTTATTAATCATTAATTATTATGGAACTTTTAATATTTAATATTTAATTGAGTCCATTAAATCCCTTGCGTACATTGGCGTTGTACTCGGTAAATTAATTTTCATTTTTCAGTGAGTCATACACTGTTTTGTCAATTGTTTTCATAAGTCAAATGTCCCGAATGAAAGACTGTATACTTATAAAAAACAATATACCAACAGGCGCGCATTCAGACGCGGGCGCCGGATAATAACAAATATATAATTTACAGGTAAAAATATCGACATTTTTTTGGTCAAAATATGGTCCTCTGACTTCTTATTTTCAGGAGCAAACCCCTTAATATCTTATTCTAGATCCGTGCCCCCGAGTCGGAGAAGGATAGACAACATCACTAAAAGAGTCAACAAAATAAAGACAAAAACACTAAACAAAAAGCTCAAGACTAAAAAAAAAAACACGAATAAAACAGACGATGAACTCGGGTCAGCAATGATTTCCCTACTAGTGTATTTTAAATATGTTTGATTAGAATGCTTTATTGTGTTTTGCAACTTTCAAGGTAAGCAACTTACAGCTTATTGTGACCTACAAAAAGATGGAGGTGGATGGATTGTTATACAGAGGCGGATTGATGGTAAACAGAGCTATAATCAGAATTGGACTCAATATAAATCAGGGTTTGGAAATCCTTTACATGAATTCTGGATAGGCAATGAAAACCTTCATGCTTTAACGGATGGGAAAGATGTAATTTTACACATCCAGATGACGACATGGGAAGGGAAAAACTATACGGCGGTTTATAGTGGTTTTCATGTAGGGAACGAGCAAGAGAAGTACAAATTGAATATACAGCAAATGATTTCTGGTGATGCAGGTTGGTGTATACTAAAATTAACAATATATTTTATCATGAGGGTCTGGATTTGGGGGTTTCTTTCTTTCTGTAATCTTTTTAAATTTATGGTACGTTTTTCACTCTTCTTAAATTTTTTGGCCAATTTTTCTCTATTCTTTATATTTTTACCCATTCTCTTTGCCCCCGTCCAGACCCTCTATCATGGGAAACTGTAAACCTAGAATAAAAGAATTGACACTATTGTTAAGACTACCAAGTCACTTTTGGTTACTAGTTATTAAAAGGTAGACGTGGTTATTGGCAAGTTTAAAGACAAGAAATATGTCCTGTAAAGTGCATGACCATGCAGTGTCAAATCATCATGTCAGACCAACGAATGTCTGTTTGATACAATATGATGTCTACTTTTGAACCGAGTTCTCTTTTTCGAGTTTGAATGTGCTTTACAATCTTTTGAAACGCAAGTAAAATAAATTGCTTTGCCGAGCGCAGCTGGATACGACCGCAGAGGTCCAACCCTGAACAGTTGGGGCAAAAATAGACACAATATTCGCGCTTGATACAGTTCTGAATTTGGATTGTAATTAAATATTTGACACATAATAGATTTCTGACACAGAATAACTGTAGTCAAAGAACTTAGAATTGGTTATATGATTTGAATTTATATTCAATATTTTGCTTTTGTGCAATACACTTTGCTGTTGCGAATTGACCCCCTCCCCCCAAAAAAAATGTTTACCCCCCCCCCTTTTTTTTTGCCAAAAAAAAAAATATTTTCAGAAATTTTCTTTTTAATTTCTGAAATCTGAAATGAGAAAAAAATTGCCACCACCCTTTTTCCCCCAAAAAAATTCTTTCCCTCAAGATATGGTCATAATCTCAATTAAAATTTCTAATGGAGTTTGCAACCATAATTACCCATTTAAATACACCATAAAAGTCTTAAAATAGAAAATGACATACATAATCATGGCTTAAATTAATATTCCTAAATCAGCATTTTTAAATAGTAACTTCTAAAAATACATTGACAGCTAATCACCTCAAGACAATACAACATTTCTTTACACATAATTTAAAAACAGTGTAAGGGAGGTAATCCAAACATAACATTGTACTTTTTTTAATTGTCCATTAACCAGGAAACCCTTGTTTTGCCCCTAATTCCTAAACGGTTTGAGCCATAACCCCCTAAAGCCAATCCGAACCATCCCTTTGTGGTAAGGAAACTTGTGGTATAATTTCAGAGCGATCCATATACCGTTCCACAAGTTATTGTCTGGAAACTAGAAAATATGCTTATTTGGGCCCCTAATTCCTAAACTGTTAGGACTATAACCCCCAAAATCAATCCTAACCTTCCTTTTGTGGTTATAAACCTTGTGTTTAAATTTCATAGATTTCTATTTAAATTTACTAAAGTTATTGTCCGGAAACCAAATGTCTTCGGACGACGACGTGATACCAATATTCGACCGCTACAAACATGCTACTTAACGTACAATTTACTGATATTTATGTTGAAAGATCGTTATAGTTTGAAGAATGACAACTCTTGTCTGTCTAGTCTATTAGAATTTCGAGTTTTAAATAATTTAATCGATTGAAATTATACCGCTCACTGACTCGCCCTAGTCTCAGAACATACCAAAGGTGTGTGTGTTTGTTTTTTTTGGGGGGGGGGGGAGGGGGGGGTGGGGGGGGGGGGTTCGGGGGTGGGGGGTGGACGGTGGTGTCAATTCCATATTTCAAAGAAAATTTTGGATGAAAACTCCCTGCTTTGACTCACATGTATCAATAACAGTCTAATGCAGTCGTTTATATGAGGCCTGGTAGTTTTGAAGAATATTCCTCACAAAGTATACAGTAACCCGACAAAAGAGCTGAAACAGCCAAATGGGTCATCAACTGCACCGAGAAAATCCCGCACCCGAAGGCGGGCTTCATCTGACCCCTAAACAATAATGTATACTAGTTCAACGAAATGGACGCCACACTAAACTTCGAAAGATATAAACGAACCAAATATAAATAAAACCACAAGACTACCAAAGGCTAGAGGTTCCCAACTTAGTAGAGACGCAAAAATGTGGCGGGGTTAAACATGTTTTGTGAGATCCCCCCCCCCCTTATACCTCTAGCCTATATAAATTGACATTGATATACTCTAATTTTTGTATCACAAAAATTAAACGAACCATTCGAGAAACTTTGAACATAATCTTAATGGCAATGCATTGTGCAAATGTGATTTCAGAAAGATGGTAATTTTCACCGGCGCCTTTGATTTCCTAAACGGTCCTCTAACTGTTATGTTCTTTTCTCTCTCCTAGTTTTATTTTCAATCCTGAAACCGCTGTCCCTCAGTCGGTATTTCGCTCGAGTGTGCTAATGATTAGTATGCTTTTAACGGTCAGAAAGTCATTGATTGTGATAGGAACTATATTCGATTACATCGAAGTTATGAATTAAAATTTGCATACTTTTAAAGCTCTAAGAAAAACAATTTCCCGACAGGTAACGTAAAGTCAGCACATGTATATGAACGGGAGATTAACAATTCAATCTCCCGTTCATTTGTTCTTCTTCCATATACTGACCACATTCAACTTTCTGAATATACTGGCAAAATATGTTGCAAAAATCAATCAATTATTTGATCAAATTCTTCATTTAATTTCGTTTCAGGTGATTCATTTAAATATCCATCATCTTATATGTTAAGACACAATAACATGGCTTTTAGTACACCAGATCGTGACAATGATGTCAGCTTTCAGAACTGTGCCCAGTTACTCCAGTCTGGTTGGTGGTTTAACATGTGTTACAGGTAAAGTGTTCAGTTACTTCAATGAAGGATTTATATAATATCTTACTTTATAAATCCTTGCTTCAATCGAGTTGGTGGTTTAGTATGGTTCTTAAGTCTGATTGCTGGTTAAACATGATCGAGTTACAGGTGCCGTGTTCAGTTACTTTAGTCTTTTTGGTGGTTTACTATTGGTAACAGGTGAAGTGTCCAGGTACTTCATCCCGATTGGTGGTTTAACATGTGTTACAAGTAAAGTATTCAGTTACTTTAGTCTGGTTGGTGGTTTAACATGTGTAACATGTAAAGTTTTGAGTTACTGCAATCAGATTGGTAGTTAAACATGGTTACTTCAGTCTGGTTGGTGTTTAAACATGTGTTACAGGTAAATGTTCAGTAACGTCATCCTTGTTGGTGTTTAAACATGTGTTACAGGTAGGTTTTCAGGCTGTTGGTGGTTAACAATGTAATGTTATGTAACAAGTAATGTTTTCAGTTACTTTAGTCTGTTTGGTGGTTAAATATGTGCTACAAGTAAAGTATTCAGCTACTTCAGTGTGGCAGGTGATTAAACATGGTTACTTCAGTCTGGTTGGTGATTTAACCTGTGTTACTGGTAAATTTTTCAGTTACTTCAGTCTTGGTTGTTTAACCTATGTTATGGTTTAGGGGTTTAGTTACTTCAGTCTTGTCGGTGGTTAAACATGGTTACTCCAATCTGGTTGTAGGTTTAACTTGTGTTACAGGTAATGTGTTCAGTTTATTCAGTCTTGTAAGGGATTAAACATGTGTTACAGGTTAGGTGGTCAGTTATTCTATTTCACTTCTGGCTGCTTTCAAGCATGTTTTTGGTAGCCATTACTTTTAAATAATTCTGGTTTTAGATGTGTAATGTGTAACAGATAATATATATTCAGTTTATTTGGTTATTTATCGTTTGTTAAAAGTAGTCACAGTAATTTCAGTCGGTATTAAAGTAGTTTAACATGTGTTTAATTTAAAGTTAAGTTTTGTAGTCTGGTTGGTAATTTAACAGAGTTGATCCATCCTGTTTGTTGATTTATGATGCATTGTTTTTATTGCTAGTGTTAAGATGTTAAAAGAAATTTTTTCTAATGCAGTTCTAAATTCTAGTCCATAGGGACTTGACTACAGGTCACATATATAACCTATTAATCGTCTACGTGCATTTAAAAAAAACTTATGCCCCTACTATCCGTGGGTGTTGGATAGTAGTGGCATACGTTTTTTTTTAAATGAAAGAAGATGATTAACAGGCTATATTAGCCTATATATATATATATATATATATATGACCTGTAGTCAAGTCCCTATGTTCTAGTCATGCTAGTTGGCAGTTACAGATATGAGGGTCTAGATGGGGTTTTCAAAATAGAGAATAATGGACCAATACTACAGAAAAACATAATCAAAAATAAAGAACAGAGGAAAAAGGGTACTTGAATATAAAGAATAGAGAATAATGGGCACACTTTATAAAGAAAAGAGAATTGAAGGATCTCAGATATGTCATTTAGGTTAGTCTGGTTAACAATGGTCAAATATGTTTTACAGGTAAAGTTAAACTTTTGGGATCAAACAATTTATCGCTTAGTCTTGCTTCACCTTGTTTTCTGTGAAATGTTGTTTTGCAAGCGAAGTGTCCTGCTGATTCAGTATAAAACATGTGTTTGGCATGAAAATTTTAAAGCTGTCTTTTTACTTCAACCTGGTAACATCATTGTTCAACATGTGTTTCACAAAATGTGAATGAAAGAGTGTAAAATATGCGCCAAGAAAATATCTCTAGCTAGAAGGTCATTTTAGATGTAACATAAAATTGAGTATGGAAATGGGAATATGTCAAAGAGACAACAACCCGTTTAAAGAGCAGACAACAGCCGATGGCCACCAATGGGTCTTCAACGCAGCGAGAAAATCCAGCACCCGGAGGTGGTCATCAGCTGGCCCCTAAATAAAATTGTGTACTAATTCAGTGAAAATGGACGTCCCACTAAACTTAAGTATATGTAAATTTACATATACATAAGTATATGTAAATTTTAAAGCCATCTTCTTACTTCAATCTGGTAACATAACTGTTTAACATGTGTTTCACAAAATGTGAATAAAAAAGTGTCAAACATGTGCCAAAAAAATATCTCTAGTTAAACGGACATTTAAGATGTAACATAAGTTTATGTAAGTTTTAAAGCTGTCTTTTTACTTGAATCTGGTAACATCATTGTTTAACATGTGTTTCACAAAATGTGAATGAAAGAGTGTTCAACATGTGCTAAGAAATATCTCTAGCTAAAAGGTCATTTAAGATGCCACATAAGTATATGAAGTTTTTCAGGTCACAAAACTATTAGTTGTACTTGTACATTTCATGAAATGAAAACCTGATTCATTTATTTATATTAAACACAGAACAAAAAACAAGCAGAGATATCACCAGTCTTAGTGACCAAATTCTTACTCACTGGTATAAGTGCTGTAATTTACAACCAAAATCATATACAAACCAAAATCATATACAGGATTTTAGTTTTATAATGAAGTGTTTAAAAAAATAAAATCAGTTGCTGAAAATATGATGATTTGGTTTCGTAATATATTGGTCATTTTAAGTATATAATTTTTACCTTTCAAAAGACATAAAAAAGATAGACCAATAAAACTGACCTAAGAAAAACAATACAAAATGTGCACATCTTTCAAACCACTTTTTCACAAAAATTAAACAGTTCATTTTCTGTTCTCAAATAATAAAAATGTACTGTCATCTTTTTTCTTAACATGTTTGAAGTTACACTATTTTTCAGTTCGAATTTAAATGGGTTATATTTGAGTGGACCATATGGTCACAGATATTATGGTGAATATTTTGGACAGCCAACAACAGAAGGCACAGGAATAGAGTGGTATCCCCTGAAACAGTACTCACTGAAATATGCTGAAATGAAAATCAGAGCAAAACAAATTTTATTTCTCATCAATATTTTTTTTTCTAATTTTTTCACTGTATGGGCCAAATTCCAAAGTAAGAAATTTCAGGAATTAGGTTTCTCAAATGTTTTCAAACATTTTTCTTAGAGCAGAGGGAAATATTTATCATTACAACATGAACAGGAAGGATATTTATAGATATCAAATAAAGATTGATGTGTTGGCCCTTAAGATGCAAACGAGCCTTTTCAACTACTCTTGCTAAGAATATCCGAATGGATGTATGGGATGTAAATAAAACATCTAATTCTGTTTTGCAAGCTGAAAGCTTTAATACACAGCCACATTCATTTAGGGACATTGTATCTAAAATACGGGTACTTTTATCAGAACTGCCTGACCCAATTCACGACTCTTACAATTCATCAACAATTGTTCACTTCAGAAGAAGATTTCCATCAAACTAACCAGTCCATATAAACACTGATTTAAGTTAGAGTTAAGATAATTTTCTACTGAGTCAGATTTAATATTTATTTCAATTAGAGACATTTCTCTTTGAATCATGATAGAGGGAAATGTGCATAATTTCTTCATAAATCAACCAAATTTAATCGACTGCTAGATGTAAAAAAAAAATTATTTCCTATAAACAATTTTTGTTCGCATAAGCTGTGAGCTTGTGACGTATATAAATTATCACTAAGCTTTAATCAGACTTGATTGTAGCACGTTTAAATTTTGTTAGTTTAATTAGAAATCAACCAGTTTGCCCTCCAACATGGTAGCCAAGGGAAATAACTACGACACAATCTACATCATTGGAATACCATCAACAGAACATTTGTTTATCCCTTTTCTTGAAATAACCACATATTTATTATAAGGCCAAAAATAAAATTTAGATTGTTTGATGTTGTCTACCTACACACCTAAAAAGCAGCCTACCTCAATAAAAGTCTGTACCAACACCATATGATAGGTTATGATGAATATTAAAGACCAAAGCTTATTGAAAGACCAATCCTGAAATCTTTGTAAGGCACCAACCATTCGTCTTTAATTTGCTGGTTGGTATTTGTTGTAATTAAAAGACAAATTGTTTGATCTCAAAATTCTTGAAAAAAAAACAAACATTTTTTCAAAAGGGAAGTGAAAACATTTTTGTTCTTATTGAGAATGAGTAAAAAATATAAAAAAGATTGATCACAAAAAATCTTATTTCTAAACGTTAATGAATTTTTTTTCTTTCGATTGATATTGAACATAAATTGTTTTCCCCCACCACAAAAGATGAATGGTTGGTGATAAAGATCACCAATCAAAGTACTGTAACGTGTTCGCGAACCGGTTAGAATCTTTCTTCCCAACTAAATCAACCACAAGACCAGACAGACACCAACTGGAACCAATAACTGACCAAAATAATTAAATAGAAAAACTTAAGGCTCAAAATAATTACTACTGCATTAAATGTGAACATTCAACACTCAAACACATTTAAGTTAAAATACGAAGTCTTCATTATACATAAATTAGTATTCACAATGTTACATAAATATTTGTCCCCACAAAAATAAACAATATCAACAAAATTTTTGGCACTGCTATCATCCAAAATCGCCACATTACTTTTTACCAATACCTTATGATATTTTCAGGTTTATTATTCATCTTTTTCTCATATACATGTACCCCTCCATATAATTATTTTTCTATATGAAGTACAATATATGTGTACATTTGTAAACTCAACTTGTCGGGTAAACTTTATTTATTATGTTTTGATTTTAAATGCCAATTCATAGAAGCTTTCTGAACACATATAAAATCACAGTCTGGACATTTTTGTTCCTTCACACCAGTGTGTACTGCCATGTGTGTTCTTAAATTGTAAGAATCTCGAAAAGACTTTTCACATTTGTCATAAGTACACTTGTAGTTGCATTTCTTGTCACAATTCTTTGATTTACTCTGTTGTTTTTTATGGCCATTTTGTTTCACATCTATACATGTTTTTCCATGGACATATCTTTTATGATCAGTCAATGCACTTTTGACTTTGAAACTTTTATTGCAGCTTTCAAATGTACAAACAAACGATCTAGTTTCTTGGTGTGTTTTAGAATGTCTCTTTAATGCAGTAGTTGTAACAAATTTCTTCTGACAAATGTCACATTGTGAATCATATTCACCTGAATGGCGTTTGATGTGAAGGAGCAGACTTCGCTTTTGTTTGCAAGTGTAATCACATTGGGAACATTTTAAGACCGAATCAACTTGACTGACACAATTACTATTATTTTGTTCTTGATGTGAAATATCACTTCGATCACTGCCACCAGTTGTATTATATTCAGGTTCTGTGTCTGGTAAAACTATTTCATTTATAGGGTCCTGTTCATTCTGCTTTTGAGATTCACTTGTAACATCAGAAAAATGAGGTTTTTTAGAGTCCAAAATCTTGGTGTGACGTCTTTTGAAGTGCTTTAAAAGTACCTTCCGACAGGATGCGGCATAGTTACAAGACTCACACTGAAATGGATTTGCCACTTGATGATTGTTTAACATATGCATACAAAACTTTGATTCAAATTTAAATTTTTCATTACAGAGTGAACAAGAATATTCATTTTTACACTCTTTTTCCAGTTTAACTGATGAATTATTTGAGAAAGATATGCATAAGCTCACATTATTTCCAAACAGAGCTGTTGGTAAAACATGAACATCATCACTTATACATGGCATATCATAATTTCGATCATCATCACATTCTAGATGAAGTTCCATTTGATCTAAATTTTCCAAAAGGTCACCATGGATACCACTGGCATCAATTGAACTGATGTTTTCAAGAACACTTTCTTCACTTAATATAAAAGGTTCTAACGTAGGAACTTGTATAATGGTATTAAGGTCTGCCGAAGACAAACCAAGTTCTTCATTATCAAAATTCTGCATCACTATGTATGATTCTTCCTGCATGATATGGTAATATAATTGGTTGTCTCCTCTATACAGTCTGAATTTCTTGGATTATTTCCCTTTTTTTAAATCTTCAATTGAACTGAAAAAGATAGTAATGTACAATTTACATGTAATTACTGAAGATTTCTTTTCAAACTTTTATGAGTAGTATGTTTGAGTTGTCCTGTAATCAATTGATGAGGGTCTGGATGGTCCTTCATTTCTTAATTCTATAATTTTAGACTGTTTTTCTGTATTCTTTATCTTTTTTGCCCATAATTCTCTTTTGTTTGCTTTGTTTGCTGAATATATTTTTCTCTATTATTTATATTTTTACCTTTATTTTGCACTTTTTGCCCATTAATCTCTATTCTGTACAAATAATCAATAGTGCTTAAAAAATGATTTTTAAAAGAAATTCCTCAAGAAACATTACTATCTACAATACATAATTTAATTTTCTTTTGGAATAAATATTCAATACTCTTTTTTATTTAATATGCATATAATATTTGCCACGGTACATTAAGCAGACAATAATAAATCTTTTTTTTTTCATTTTGATAGGAACAAATACTATAACTTTTCTTCCAAAATTAATATTAATCAAGATTATGCAAGGTTCTCAATAATGCAAGTCCATGAGGCCTGTTATATTGGCCTTTAAAAGTTAAAAAACATGTTTGTTTTGTGAACTACAATAAACCTTATTCTTGAAATTTTCCCAGGTGAAAATTTAGTTAGGGAAAAAAAGTTTACTCATCGTGTGTAATTGCTATAAAACAGTAAGGTGATATAATTAGTAACATTTTACAGAGAAATTATCAGAGTGGAATGACATAGATGAAATGTGTGAAAAGATGTGTTTCTTGTCATTGGCTGCGCTGCATGCAGAAGTCCCTAAATCACAAGATTTTCTCCTGCTCAATAAAGTTTATTGCTTTTTAATCATTTTTGTTCTGTACAAATTCAAAAACAGTGGACTGGATAGGTTTTTTTCCTGAAACGTTGGAGATTAAACAATTTTACTCTGTCACTTCAAACATACATGATCTGTTTGATAATCATGATAATGATTTTTGCTTGAGGGACAGCTTGAATTGCTTTGTGGTAGTGGTGAAGAGCTGAGAAATTAAGTACCCCTCCCTGTTCATGAATCTTGATAAATTGAATATTCAAAAATATAAACCCTTTTATAATATTTTCATTTTTTGACAAACAATAAAAGACCTTTATCTATACTCAACTATTTTGTGGAGAGTTAAACAAGATAGATTATGGTTTTAATCACATCTTTGAAAAATACAAAAATCAGATTCACCATCAGCTGTGAACAAAGGGTTGTATAGTCTTTCCGGTATATTAACTCATGTATTTGTCCCTGGTTTCAATTATTTCTGAAATAATCCCCAATCTGATTACCATACTTACAAATGTACTTTCTACATTCATTGAGGTACAGAGTAACAACTGAATAATAGAACTGAATGTGATTACAATGCAAGTTCCCAAATAATCCCTATCATTTTCCGCATGTCACTTTCAAGTTTGAGTGTTTCTCAACAGCAACCCCTGCTCTCCCAAAGTAAATTTGATAAAATAGTGGACATTAGAATTTTGACTGCTTCCAAACGGAAAGAATTTACTAAAAGGTGGATCTGTCATAAAATATAAATGCCTTCATAATATAAGTTCCAAGTGGAAGAACGTTTTCCTAACGGAATAAAGTTTCCAACAGGAACAGATATTATGGCATTGTTTATAAAAGAGAGCAATACCAAAGGGACATTCAAACACATAAGTCGAAAATAAACTGACAATGCCATGGCTAAAATAGAAAACGACTAACAGACGAACAACAGTACACAAAACAACATAGAAAACAAAAGACTCGAGCAACATGAACCCCACCAAATACTAAGGATGATCTCAGGTGCTCCACCTATATTTATAAGTTTCCTGGGGAACTTCTGTTAGTGTTAGGTGGAACAAATATATGTTAACAAATCAAGTACCAGTAACCAATAATAAAATTACACAAGGCCTTTCTAAGTAAAAAATGATTACCCCTCTGACTGTGGTTTTTACTCATTAATTTATAGAAAAGATTGGTTATACACATTTTATTTGGTATTTGGATACGAAAACTGCATTAAAATTTTGAAATTGTATTACCTATCATGGTTAAATAAATTATCTGTTGTATTGGTTCTGTATAAAAATACACTATAACATTCATTTGCACATTATTTAACTTTTTCTTATTTCTTTTCTGGTCCTTTCCGCTACTTTCGCTTTGGAACATCTGGGACAAGATTATTGAAAACGAGGCTATCGCTATATAGCATCCGGGCATGCTAATTTCAACATGGCTGCCGTCTGGAGGTCTGCATTTTGTAAATTTATTCAGTTTTATTGATCAATAACGATTCTTAGAATGTTGCATTTGACTGTAATCAGTACTTGGTATTTCATTTTCACCAAAAACTATTTTATATTCCTTTTCAAAATGTTCATTTTTGATAATTATGCATCATCATCATTTTCCGCCATTTTCTATCGTATTTCGAATTTTTTATCTAAAGAAGACGGACGCAGTTTCCATGGCTTGATTATCCATGAATATTGTTCCCAATGGTTCAGGAGAAACAGTGTTTCGGTGTCGCAAAATATGACGTCAAAACAGTAGAATGTTCGAGAACGGAGGAAGCACGTGTTCTTGACTTAAATTAAATAGCAATGATTCATGTAGAAATTTCCGTTTCAACAGTTGAATATGAAAGCAAAAGTAAAACCGGCAAACTTAAGCACTTACCACATTGTCAGTGAAAGCAACACACAAAACTATTTCATTTAAATGTATGTATTGAAAATTTCACACATGTTTTCAAACAAACTTTATGTTCTAGTCAACTTCAAATTATTTGTAAATTACAGCACTGAATTTCCTTATATTTGGTTTATTTATGTACATGTATGTACAGTACTGTAGATAGGCTATGCATGCAACAGCAAATAATCATCAGTAGATAGGCTATGCATGCAACAGTAAATAATCATCAGCTTGTATGATGCCATTGATGGATAACTGGACTATATTAAGGAAGAAAAAAACCAATAGAGAGACAAAATGTGAACAAAAGAGATGTTGGATATAATGTTACAGCAACCCAATGATTATTATGTTTATTGTATACGCAATTGTTTTTCTCTGTTCTGTTGGAATCCATTGGCTTTGTGAGAATAAAGATATAATCACCTAATTAACCAAAAGACATTTAGACTTGGAGGCTGACATTGTCTGAGGCTAGGGACTCACTTGTCATGAATAGAAAATTTAAGATTTTTGAATTAATTCTGCATAGATTAAACTATCACAAGAGGTATCCATGTTTTATGGTTCACCATAACAAAAGGCCAAAAATTGTTGAGTTAAACCTGATCCTAAGGTCAAAATTGACACAACTTGTCGCTTTGTACTGTTTTTCCTCTCATGGTATACTGTTGCACATGGTAATTTCTCTTGGTATTTTTGTTTATGCGCAGGATAACACCTAAAAACCTACTTTGAGTAAAGACAAACCTGTGCAGTTGGAAAATTTGTAAGGCCTAGAATCCACTAGATATATATATATATATACAAGTCTAAATTGAAAACAACGTTCAAACCTACAATGTATGATTGCGTTTCAAGTCTAAATTGAAAACAACGTTCAAACCTATGATTGTGTTGAATAAAAACTGCAATTTTTATATGTGTGCATTCAAAACAAATTTCTTGGTAGAGGGGTCTAAATACAGCACAAACAACATTTTCCAAAAGACCAAAAAAGTGAAAAAGTAAATTTAAACAAAACTCATTTGACTGACAGGTCGAACAAAGGATGTTCTTAAACCCTGCTGACTGCCATTGGTAATTGCGAAATAAACGGATCACAAGATGTAACAAAATGGATCTTTATCATTAATTTAATACTAGACAGAAAACAATAAACTTACGGAAAAGATGGTATACCGCAAACATGAGGTTCAAAAATTTGTACACCATATCCATATATATACATGTATATCAAGTTAAGTTCATTTTTTTCATCTCTTCAGATGATGGTAAAATAAACACAAACACCTGAATTACATTTGATACTATCCACTGAGTGACACCCTTTTGATCACCTGTTGTTGTGTAGACATCTATTGACCACAATACAATACAATTGCTACCTGAGAGGGGGAATCTCCCAAGATTTACCCAACTGCGTTTGTTGTACTATTAAAATTCACTGGTCTGTACAGGTGTAATATCAATACTTCATACTTTTTCTTGCAAGGTACTTTCTCTTGTAAATTTGTTTCAGTCTTAATCATATGATAAATGAAGTAGATCAACAGATATTGAAAAGTACATAAAGAACTGAAGACATGCCACAACTTACATGTAACATATATATATATTTTAGGAACTTGTATTTGTTAGAATAATTACAGAACTTCATTATGAAGATTGACAGAGCAAAGTTGAAAAAATCAACAACAGAAGTGGTAAGAACAATAGAATATAACGTGATCTATTATACATGTTAACCATTTTTTTTCTCAAGATAAAAATAAGGAGATGTGGTATAATTGCCAATGAGACAATTATCCACCAAAGTTCAAATGAGGTGGATTTAAGCAAATATAGGCAACCGTAGAGCCTTCAGCAATGAGAAAAACCCATTCCGTAAAGTCATCGATACGGAAAAAATTTGCAACAATTCAATTGAGAAAACTAACAGCCTAATTTATTATAAATCAATTAACAAAAAACAAATATGACCGACATGAACCAACAACCACCACTAAACTACAGGCTCCTGACTTGGGACAGGCACATAAAGAATGTGGTGGAGTTAAACATGTTTGTAAGCGCTCAACCCCCCCTCACCTGGGACAGTGGTGTTACAGAACAAACTATAAAAATCAGTTTGAAAGGGCTTAACTCGTCATCGCAGACTGTTTCATCATCATGTTACCAGAATGATTAAATTTGTCAAAGAGAGGCAAAAGAAACAAAGGGATATTCAGTCAAAAACAAACTTGCAATGCAATGGAAAAAAAATGAAAGACAAACAACAGTATACAAAACACAACATAGAAATCTTGACTGAGCCATACGAACACAACCAAAAACTGGGATATTTTCATTAGCTCTGGAAGGGTAAACAGATCCTGCTCCACATGTGGAACCCATTGACCATCATTTCAGAGCTTGTAAAACCCTGATGATTAATTTTTGTATTGCCTAGTACTGATGTCAACCCATGTGAGCTGTCTTTATTACATAAGCTCAATCCAATTAATCTTATTATATAAAGCATTTAGTTGTTTTAAAGTATCAACTGTCTTGGTGGTCTTGTACCAGCAAGTTTGACTGGTTGACTTTTGGTTTCAACTCTAGCTTGGTAAAATCAAGAGTATTTGATTCAATACCGAGCAAGTACCATTAAGCTCCAAATCTGAATAGTGTTTCTGAGAAGGGTAATGTTTCCCATAGACTATTATGCTATTTGATCTTAGTTTGAAAAGAAAATATTCTGTTGGTATCAATCTTGTTTTCCTACTTTTTAAAACTTAACACAGGAGTCAAGTAATAGCCTATTATGTCAATATCTAAATTGTTTCAAGTTGATGCATATAAGAAATATGTAATAAAGTGAAATAGGATGATTTTTGTCGAGTTTTCCTTGCAAATCTCTGCTGGTCTCTTCTGAAAAAAATAGTGATGTTATTTATCTTCTGGATTTTGACTACGATCAGGCCTAGCACAGGGTTCCACAAACTAAATATTGAGGCCATATAGTTTATTTGTTAAAACAAACAAAATGTGAAATATTTTTTTGACAACCCATAGGCTATATGTAGTTTTGAAAGTTGCATGTTTTGAAATATCAGAGATGTGAGACCATTTGATAGTATAAATTTTTTCAATGATTCACTGTTGTCTACTTTTGTAAGAATTTGATGGTTCTTTGATTTACCTTCATTTTAAGTCACTTTGATGGTTCTTTGATTTTCCTTTATTTTAAGTCACTTAGTATATTATTGACATTTTTTTTTGTAGCCTGTTGATTGCAGAGCACTTATAGAAAAACTCAAAGTAGCTACAGAAGAAAATCTCAAAAGTGAATTATTGCAGTTGAAGACATGGACTTTTGGAAAGGTACTTAAAACTGTGTCACAAAATTTATTTTTTGAATAATAAAGTTGTTTGGATTTCTTGATACTAAAAAATTGATACAGTTAATCTATCACACTTTTTTAATCTATAAGATGTAATATTTGAAATAGATCATGGACATCTTTAAATTGTACTTAATACAAAACAGTTTAGGAAATCAATTCACATGACATAATTATCAGCGGTACCAATATGATAAAATAGTGAGGAAAAACACTATTCTAAAACAAACCGGTATGTAATTGAAGTTTGTACTAATTTATGAGATGTTACTTGCAGTGTGAATTGTATCATTGGTCAGATGTATTGGACAGATTTGATGAAGTTTTGGAAAAGACTTGTAAGAAAGAAGATGGGAAATGGACTCTGTCCTGCGACCAGACTGGGAAGGAAGAGGTAAGTGTTTGAGATACAAGTTTTTTTCTGTACTAGGGCTAATTTTAAATATGTTATTGTAAATAACAGATTACTGATGCTTAAACAACTGTGAAAATCAGAAATAATTATGCAGAGTATGCTACTTAAATGAAGCAAATATTGAGCAACAAGACAGGTGTATGGACAAATAAGTAATTATGTATAAGAACAGAATGTACCTTACAGCAGATTTCATTGAGTGTGTATGGGAAGGTAGAATCCTTGGTTAGCTTGCTTGTTAGCTGAACCGTGATGTCATTATTAGGTTAGGTAAACTACCCTCCTTTAAGAGTAGACTAGTCCGACAGATAACCAATTTATCTGTCTGTAAGACTAGACTACATTGAAAGGAGGGTAGTATACCTTACATAATAATGACTTCACGGTTCAGCTAACAAGCAAGCTAACCAAGGATTCTACTTTTCCCTACACACTCAATGAAATCTGCTGTAAACCTTTATTATTCTGGTAGAATATTGATAAAAACACTGAAAAAAAAAGATTCAGAAATGTACATTTTTATGCTTGAATAATTACAAAAACGATAAAGGGATTACCAAAAATGTTAGACAGTACAACATATTACATCACTAATAAGTGAGTGCTCCAAGAAAATATGTACATACAAAATCAAAAACATCACATGGTCAAGATACCCTTGACTTAGTGAAGGCACAAAAATTGGTGAGGTTAAAACAGTTTTACTCACTCATAAACCTGTAATCGAAATTATGTTGTAAAGGTACAACATACAATAAGATAAAAAAAAACTCCTGCACCATAGGCGGATCCAGGGGGGGCCCAGGCCCCCCCCTTTGGTGGGAAAAATTTGGTTGATTATATAGGGAATCACTGAAGCATGACTGGAGCAGCCACCCCTTAGGTCAGTCAGCGGGCCCCCCTTTATGAAAAGTTCTGGATCCGCCACTGTGCAGCACAGTCCTGCTGCAAATGAAGAACATGTGTTATATCACTCAACTACTACATTTTTGATTGACAGCCTTGGAAACTTGCACACCTTTCAGGGTTTTAACATTCACTTCAGTATCTATTATGCATTGTGTATCTTCATTTGTGTCTTGTCATGTGACATATGTGATTGTTTACAATGCTATATTAATTTAGTGATTGGCATCGTTGGGTAGAAGTTTGTTGTAATTTCTATCCTGGTATTGTAGCTATACAGTAAATTATCATAGATTCATTTCATGGAATGCTAGGAAATAACAAGTACATCAAAGAAATAGTGCTTTTGTTTTTATTGTTAACAGTATGTTGTTATTGTTTGTGAAATAACCGTGGGAGTTATTTTCAAGGTTAATTTGTTTCTTTAATTTCGTAGATGAAGAGTTTGCTGCTACACGTTTTGCACTTCACTTCCTTACTGATAGAACACAGCTTCTCCCGTCATTTGTACAACTCAATGGAGCATTTGACAACTTTGCTGACATCCTGTGATATGACTGTAGTTTTGGCAGTACTAAATCTCCTCTATGTATTCAGGTAAGAGCAGGATTTTTTGACATTTTTTTTTAATTTTATTTTAGAAAAAGGGATTATTAACAAAGTGCAAGTGACAGAGATGGTTAAATATTAAAACTCTAGATTTTTTTTTGTGGCTTATTTTCAACACTACAATGATATTAAGATGTATAACAGAAATTACAAAAAAAAAATTGCCAATACAACATATATGAACAAGCCATGCCTTTGAGTAAATAGACATCAGAAAAACAACAAATATCTGTCTGTCTAACCCCTAAGTCTTAAAGGTAAAAAAAAAAAAACACAATTTAAAACTGGCACAGTTCAGTTAAAAACAGTATGATCACAATCTTTTAACAAGGAATTTGAAGGCCGCACTTAATTTGGAAAGCTGGGCCAAAATGTGTGGGCTACTACAGGAGTTTTTAAAATAGAAACTGGCTTGTTTAGTATGTTTAAAACATTGTTAAATAGTATTTTGCATAGTTTGGTTGATAGAAATAATAAGATTTTCAAATGCTTATACAGTAAATTTGCTACACAATGGTCCACTGTAAAAGAAATGGTTTTCAAGTGTGCCGTTTTGTTAATAATTAAAATCTACAACAGTTACTTCCCCTTGATATGTAATTTTTGGGGTATTTAAAGTTCATTACTAAGACTAAAGTATTTTTTTTACCTGTAATAGTCTGAGCTATTTTTTTATTACATTTGCTTTATAAACAAATACTATAACATCACTTTTATTTTTATTTTATTTTTTATTTTGCAAGAGTAAAAAAAAAAATATACCATAATTTGGACATATTGCATTTTGAGTATGTCACAAACAACACTGTCTTCCCTCACGATTTCTGTTCACAAATGTGAATTAAAGTTTTTATAGTTCTTGGTGATTAATATTTTAGCATTAAAATAATTCACCTGATACAATTACTAAAATGAGTTCAACAGTTAGATATGGATGTTAAGGATGTATTTTTTTCAACAGGTGAATCTAAGAATGCATTTTGTTCAACTGGTTAATCTTTACGATGCACTGAGAATATTGAGCCCAGATACTATTAAATTGTAGCAAACATTTAAAAATTAATCTAAATTTGATGTAATTTTCATCCTTTTTTTTGTCATGGAAACTTAAATAATATATGATAGCAGTGGCTTTCTTTTTATTTCAATACAAAAATGCCAGCCAATATGCAGTTTGAAAAGGAGTGGCATGTTTTATTAAGTTATATGTTTATTTACTTGAATTAAGATGTGTTGGGACTTCTTGATTCTGTTTAAATGAGAAAAGCACCAGTATATAGATGTTCACTTCGAAGAAGTTTCATTGTATAGAACTGGGCAAGAAATGTTCACATGTTCAAAATGTTCATCAGTGTCACTAATATCTATTTCAGCAAACGCTCAAATTTCATCACAAGGTTAGCAAACGACAAAAAACAGGCCTTAATTATCAGATTGACTCATTTAGCTGAGGTGAGATTTCCATTAATTGTTAATACATTATTGCTATTGAAATTAATATTTTGCATGACAGATCTTATTATGCATTTTCATGCATCTTTAACAACTTTATTCAAGCTTTATTTTCATTGTTTATGAATTTCTAACAGAGAACTGAAGATTGCAGGTCTACTCTAAAAATACTTTTATTCATGAATGAAATAACAAGGATTTGGTTTCTGAATTTTTTAATTTTTACACATTACAGACCAATGTGAGATATGCATACTGTAAGTAAGGTATTCAAAAGTTGGTTGTTTTCATTAAACCTCTATTGAAAATTGTTGAGTGGTGAGAAAAAACAAATATAGACCAGTTAAAAGTTATTCATGATGGTAGGATAAAATAAAAAAAGTGTCTTCCAACTCACATTCATTTCTTCTGGAACAGCCCTTAGCATAAATATTTTCATTTTATGCTCATTTACAGAGTATGAGAAATTAAGGTATGACTTCATGGATTAATCAAGTAGGGAAAATTATTTGAGCAAATGCATTGTGTATCTTCATTTGTGTCTTACCATGTGACATATGTGGTTGTTTACAGTGCTATATTAATTTAGTGATTGGCATCGTTGGGTAGAAATTTGTTGTAATTTCTATCCTGGTATTGTAGCTAGACAATTTCATTTGCTAAAACTCAGCTTTTCAAAAGATTTCTATATATTTATATTAAAGGTTTGTATCTTCTGTTTTATGAATTTGAAAATGCTTTCTGGTCTTGGCCAGTGAGATTGTGGTAAATTGTAAAGACTGTGTGTAGAAGGATAAAATGTGGTAAATTGTAAAGACTGTGTGTAGAAGGATAAAATGTATCACGAGAAAGCAAAAATAAAGGTTGAAAATATTTGATAATAAATTTTTATTTTCAGAGTTGGGGTGGAAAGGAAAATGGTTTTGGTTTGGCAGAGTGTTGCAAAAATAGCCAAGTAACGGTTAGTATTTGAAGAAAAGTTAAACATCTGAAGTTTGCATTGAGTATTTCTATTGTGTTGGTTTAGATATAGCAGCATAAGAAGTAATCAGTGCTAGAGTAAATATAATGGTGTCGTCGATGGATGGAAATTTATGAATTCTTTCATCCTGTTATACATAATGACAATGTAGTATAGTGCTAAAATGTTGATATTCAATTTTCTATGTTGTTTGTATGTAAGAAAATATCGTAATCAAAGTGAGTTCAAATATTTTAAGTAAAAACTTCTTATGGAGAACATTAATATAATGATAGAAGATAAAGGATTTAGTGAAAGTATTTCCTGTGTATTACAGGAGTCTTAGGATTTCTCTACTTCTATTAAAATAATTCAGAAAGATTCTTATATTTTTTTTATCACTTTATTGTTGTAGGAGTTCCCATCTAGTGCAACCACACTTCACTTCGAATTTTACATGGAAAACAAGGAAGACAAAGCTGGGAAAAAAGTATTATAAAGCTTAATAACATTTTTAGTCTTTACCATTTTAGAAAGTTCTCTTAAAAATGTTAAATCAACGCATATCCATAACACACTGCAAAATATGTGTAAGATGTAAGGAACAAAAACTAGATTAAGATTATTAGAAAAAATATTTTAATGGAAAATGTTAAACATGTATGCACACTAAGGAAAATGCACGAGTACAGACACAAAATTGTGTATCCTTCCGGAACATTGAAAAAATACTTTTTTTAAGAATTGAAGCAAGTGTAATATATGATCATTGACTTGAAATGCCTTAATAGCATAGAAATATTTGGGATAGACATAATTGTCCAGAAATGTCAACCTCATAAGTTTATAGCCTTTGGGAAAATGCATCATGTTACAAGTATAGGAGAGAGATTTTTTGAAAATTTAGTTGAATTCAGTGTCATGTCAAAAATAGATAAAACATAAGCAAAGTCTATTGTGTAGATCACCTCAGTTAGTGTATTAAAATTAAATATTATGTGCTTTCTGCTGAGTTCTTATTTCCATTGAAGCCAGTATCAAGCATAACTTCTTTATTGACTGCTTTCATTAATAGGGTTAAAGATAAAAATAAACTTTTACTTTACAGAATCAAGCCAGTGTTATAACTTCTATTCACATGGAAAATTTGGACAAATCAAAGAAGATGCCTTCAGAAATAATGGAAGAAATCATGTCATCTTTTAAAATTCCTGAAAATAAGCAGGTAAGAAAATGATATTCATGAAAGATTGATAAGACAAACTACAACATTCCTGTCATTTTATTAAGGTTTTTAAGCATGTGCATTAATTTCTGTTTTCATAATTGGTGTAAAGGAATTTTATTTTAATGCAAGATATCTTTAAGTTGTATTTAGTTTCATGAAACTTTTAAAATATTTCTGATATGTTTGATGAGAAAGTTTTTAGGTTATAAGTTGCCTGTTAGATATTCTCTGGTGTGTTCTTTATGAATTGCCTTATAGTTTTATTTTGTTCTCGGTTGACCTTAGTTCTAAAAACCTGCCAACTAGTTAGGATGAAAACACATGTAGACAAGAGACATGCAATGAATACCCCTATAGATTCATTTTTTCCTTGGTCTCTTTGTTTGTTCAAACTTTGTATCTGCCAAAAGTTAATTTTTGGAAAAAGTTATAATTTTTAATAAATGGTGCAGTAAAATAACTTACACATGTTTTTTTTAGACTTTGTTGTATACTCATATCAGACTTGCCTGTTTGTTCTCCAAGTATGAAGCAAGGTTGCAGTGTGTCCAGGCGAGACTTCAGGCATTGGCAATTTTAGGTATGTGCATCAAATTTATTAGTGTATTTTAAAGTGTCATTAATTTGATAATATCTACCTAGCTTCAAAGCCAAAATGATATTTTCAAATTTGAACTGATATTAGAATAAGGGCTGTTCCAAAAATAAATATATGGGGGATGGGAAACACACTTTATTTAACCCCACCATGCATGAAATTTTTATTTCCTATAATTGTTCAGGCTATCTTTATAATATAACCACCATCAAAATTAAATAGAAGTGGTTTTATCCATCCATTCAATTAAGTCTGGAACAGCCCTAATTCATAGGTTGTCCTGTCACAGGATATTAATGATTTGAATATTTACATTGTAAATTTAGTATAGATGTTATAATTATTGATTTGTTTCTGCAATATAAGTGCATGAAACAATTGATTAGTACAATCAAAGACAATGTTATACAAGTGTTTTCAGGCTTTTTGGTCTTTTGGAATCTGACAAATTTATATATATATTGCTAGAATTTATATTTGCCTTACTGTAACAGCTGTACAACATAATATTTATATTTGATACATGTATCATATTTGCATATTATATATTTATTACAGTATATTCAAATGCTGTACAAGAAAATATGAACTCCATGCTGTATCCAGGATTAGTTGAAGAGCTGGTAGATATAGTTGAAGTTAATGATTCAAATTTAGTTGTAAGTAAATGACATCTTTTTATGAAAGGAAAAATTAAGACATTTCAAAAAGAATTTATTGAAGGGACATTAAAAAAAATTGTGCAGTTGGATTATAATGCACATATTGTTAGGATGCTTTAGGGTTTGAATGACTTTTAAGAAAGGAAATACTAGGTTATAAAACTTTTTCAGGGATGGTTAGATTGTTTCATTTTAAACCTCACACAAACAGTTTTAGAATCTTCAAGCATATATGATCTTAAACAAAATCAGACATTAGTGTGATTTCATTGATTAGTTTTTACATGAATTTTATATTACAGGATATTAAAGCAGCATCGTTGAGAACTCTGACATCTATTATTCACATAGAAAGAAACCCAAAGTAAGTCTGTTAGATTGAGTAGAACTATAATTATACCCCTGCTTTAAAAGAAGTGGGGGTATACTGTTTTACCTATGTCTGTCTGTCCGTCTGTCCATCTGTCCAATGAATATTTTTCGTCGCATCTTTCTCAGGAACTACATAAGGATTTCTGAAATTTGATTTCAGGGTTTATATAAGTCAGCTATACCGTGTGATGCTTTTTCAGATTCATCATTCAACAACTTCCTGTTTACCGTCAAGTATTTGGGCAGGGGTATCATCAGTGAGCTCACAGTTTCACTTGTTTTATATGCTAAAATGTTTCCAAATACATTTACATCACAAGTTGAAAATGAAAGGAAATAGGAATGTCATAGTGTAGAATGAAAATTTATTATTTATGCAAGAAAAGTGAATATTTATTAGCACAAAGAAATCAGGATAAACTGTAACAGTAACATGCTTAGTACTAGGTACTTTACAAAACTATTTACAGTAACATGTTTGGTACTAGGTCAATACACAAGTATAAATTTGATCCATTGTAGACTTGCACAACATTTTGTCTGTAAACCAAGACATCATTTCACAAGGCAAAAAATTGCAGAACCTAATTTCTAATTTTTAAAAGTTGGGACAATTATTTTAATGAAATAATTAATATATGTAAAACATTGAAATGTTAGATTATCAGTTTTCTGAGGAGTTTATAATTTCACATAAACTGTTTTATTTTAGATTAACGAACATCATTGATGTGACTGGTGCATCTTCTTACCATGGCTTCTTACCGGTTTTAGTTAGATCATGTATACAGCATATGACTGGTAAGTGAAAATAATTTTAGAGGATCCACATGTAGAACTAGTTTCCATTTCTTCAGTTATGTTCTACAAAGGGATGTTTACATAAATTCAGTTTTGAAACAGCAAGGGCTGTTAACTTTACTTAAATTTTGTTACAGTTAGGGTGTTCCATTTAAACGTATTAGGGTAAGTGATATTATATCTTTGAGAGCCACTGGTAGAAGGGATATAACAAATCTGGTTGTATTTTTCAGCTGTAAACAATCAGTTGGTTTTTTTTTTTTACCCATAATCGTCTTATTTGGGAAGTGTGCAATATTTGCCATTGTATTAGATTTTTCAACAACTACAGTACACTACATCTTAAATTGTAAGAAAAACGAAGTTCATATAAAATATTTTTATATCAAAGTGCCATAAATCAAACCATCTTGGCAAAATTGTTTTAAAGGAACTGAAAAAGATACCAGTATAATACTTTGCGTATAATTGGTGAACATTGTAGATTTACAAGAATTTTTTAACTTCACATTTCAGAGAAAGATTTGAAGCCTTTTCCTCAACAGTATGCAACTGCCTTATTTTCTTTCCTGTATCATTTAGCAAGTTATGAAAATGGTAAGTAAATGAACTGTTTAACCTTATTGTTTTCCAAAAAAAATTAGGACACACAACAAGAAAATGGTGCTAAAATCTTGAAATTGTTCACAGTAGTCCATATATTCACAGATTAAGAAAAGTAAATGTACCATAGCTATACCAGGAACCAGTTGCATTACATTTTTGGAGATCAGCTCCAGACATCAGTATCAAAAACATATTGAGAATTATACACTTGTGAATTTGACCACATGCATGCATTTTAATTATGACCTTTAATTTCAGGTGTAGAAGCTTTAGTATCTTGTGGCATGATGGAATGTTTGTTAAAAGTAATTAATTGGTATGGAGATGGTCAAGAGCATATAACAGTAAGTTAATCTGACATTTATCTTCATTTTTAAAGAAACTTTATTTGGAGTTTAGAAAAGAAACAAGATGAAGACCAAATTATGCATCATATATATTGGAATTTAAGTATATCAGTTATGCAAGGTCTGTATCTTGCAGACATTATTTTTATAAAATTAAATATCAAACTCTGAATCCTTTCTCATTTATTGGATTCCTTTATATTTGTTTGTAATTTACTTGTGACAAATACAAACAGGTCTCCATATCATCACGTCATGACTGTTACAGTGTTTTCACATCTGCTAATATTTATTTCAAGTACTCTTTAATTTTATAACACTGAAACCTGTCTAAATTTATCCTTTCTTTAAAGGGCAAATTAGTATAAGGTTAATTTCTTGTATCTAGACATTTAGTTATTCAACATGTGTGAACTGACTACCTGTCTAATTCAAACTAGATCTTTTGGAAATAGTTACTTCAAAAAACCACAAGACCTTTAATTTTCCATATATCTTGAAATGGATTTCAACAAACGTGATAATTTACTTAGAATCTAAAGTTATACATATTTATATCTCATTTCAGCAGTTTGTGACAAGAGCAGTAAGGGTTGTGGATTTGATCACAAATTTGGACATGGCAGCTTTCCAGTCACAAGGAGGATTGTCTATCTTTATTAACCGATTAGAGGTAATGTTTGTTTGAAATTATTTTTTCGTGCTATAAATTCTTTTTTTAAAAGAGTTAAAACTCTTCCAAAAGTGGTGTAGAATCTAGTGGAGTAAGGTCATTAGATTGAGATTTTCCTATGCAGGTGTGAAATATTTTCTTTTTTCAGTTTATGAACTGGGTTCTTTTTTTCTGAGAATTAGTTTCTCTATTTCATATACCTCAAGAGTTGACAAATGTGGTTTCAAATCTCTCCATTAAGGAGCATTTGAAAAAATAATCCTTTCATTCTACAAGGAGATATTTTTATATGATGAAGTAGTGGTTTATCATGAGAAAGATTAGAGCTGTAATTGGGGGCATGGGAGACACTTTTTATAGACCCAACCAGTCATAGTATAGAAATTTCATTAGGGCCCTGACTAGTGGCGGGTTGACCTATAGTGATCAGTCAATCCATCTGTAACAATGTGTCCGCTCTATCTCTAGAGAACTGTTATAATTTCATACTTTATACTTGACGTGTATAACCATCACCAGAGGGTGTGTCATAATGTTTGTACAACTTCCTAGGTCAAAGTTCAAGGTCAGCAGGGCTCACAGAGATGGCTCCCTTCTCAATGATGTCCAGTTTTACTTATATTTCTTACAAAATTCCAAGAAAAATGTGACTTTCCAAAATTAAGTAATTTTAGTTCCTCCCATTCCCCTCCCCTCACCATCAAGATCAATCTTGAAACAGCCCTTAACATAGACAATTCTCATGGAGTTTCAGATAAAAAATGGTTAGATATTTTTTGTTGCTAGCTTAGATTGGTAAGCCACTTAACACATATGTTTTGTGAACTTTTATAGAATGAAGTCGAGATATGTAGAACAGAACAACCATTTGAAATAAAAGTTGGACATGCTGATGAACAAATTGGATCTCCTGGGAGTGCTATGGAAACTGAGAGCTCAACAACAACAGAATCATCTGTTGATCCAGTGGAGCCTTCAACATCAGCAGAAACTTCACATTCTATTGTAGTCCAAACTCCATCAAAAACTGGTAAGTCGTTGTAATGCCAATCAAATTTATAGCAGCATAATGGTATAAATTAAATGAGGTATAGGGTATACGTAAATGGGACAGCAACCCAATGGAAATTATTTTGAATAATTATACCATTGCCATGATTTTTCACAGTCAAAGTGATCTCGATTCCTACACACAGTGGTTAAAAAGTCATTTAGAATTGAGAGGTTTTGCCAAAAGTCGATGAAACAGGAACCAAAAATTACTTGTTAACCGAAAGAGTCATATATTTATATTCCAATTAGGTCTTCAGTGGTGGACAGACATCCATATTATTGCAAATTCTTAAGTTATGAGAGATGATGAGATTCTCAGTTGACTAAAGTTTAAAATGTACCTTTTTTATGCCCCCGCCGTAGCAGAGGGGGCATTAAGCTTTACCCTTGTCCGTCTGTATGTACGTTCATACGTATGTCCCAAAGTTGGTTTTCGTTCTCTAACTTTAGTTTGCCTGAACCAAATGTTATGAAACTGATACACAATGCTTATTACCACAAAATACAGATCAAGTTTGAATTTTGGTGGTGTCACTTTAACCGTTCTAGAGTTATGCCCCTTTATAAATGGAAAAATTGCTGAATTTTTTGTTTCCATTCTCTAACTTAAGTTTGCCTCAACCAAATTTTATGAAACTTATACACAATAGTTATTACCATAAAACTCAGATCAAGTACAAATTTGGGTAGCGTCACTTTTATCATTCTACAGCTATGTCCCTTTATATCGTTATATGATATGCAAGCGGGGGCATCATCTGTATCCCATGGACACATTCTCCATTTATTTTTTAATGGAAAGACAAATCAGAGAACATGATTTTTGTTTTCTGATCTCATTTCCAAATCAATGACGAAGAGGAGACAACATATCAACTTTGATATTTCAGTTACATGCTACTTAGAATCTTATTTTATAGTCTATATATAGCTTGTTAAAAGAAAAAGTTGATGAAAAAAAGATTATTAAGCTATTCAAGTCTTTAATAGTACAACTATGCATTATATCATGAGAAAAAAAAGGAACAGGAGACAAAGAACCTGATGCATTAAGTGTCATCTTTATTGTTTTACAGGAATAAACTGTTTTCCCCAGAGAGCAGCTCTGTTGAAGTCAATGTTGAATTTCTTGAAGAAAGCCATTCCTGACCCGTCATTTTCTGACAGCATAAGGCACTGTAAGTTTACATTTGAAGATAATGGTAGACATGTTTATTTGTATAGTTAATGATATTTTGAAGTCAATAACATAATAAAAAAGATTAAATGGAGTTTGTCATTGTAGAAAAATTGTTTTCATGCCAAAATGCATTGATTTGATTGAGAGCAAAGATTCTTTAGTAAGAACAATTTGACTTCTGTGTATAGAGGCATTTTACACAGTTTCTCTTTCTGTGTTTTCAACAACAAAAAAATATGTGCTAATAACTGCTATTTGTGGAATATTTTTAATGGGGAATTCTGAAAAATATAAAACCAAGTTGATATCCATGAACACAACACATGTTTTTATACGAACGCAAAAATTGAAAATTTTTTTGTCGTATATTGGTATGACGTTGGCGTCCTGCTTCGTCCTGCGTCGTCCGAAGACACATTGGTTTTCGCACTCTAACTTTAGTTTAAGTGAATGGATCTCCATGAAATTTTACCATAAGGTTCAATACCACGAAAGGAAGGTTGGGATTGATTTTGGGGGTTATGGTACCAACAGTTAAGGAATTAGGGGCCAAAAAGGGGCCAAAAATAAGCATTTTTGTAACTTCCAGACAATAACTTGTGTGTAAGTGTATGGATCTCTCTGACATTGTACCACAAGGTTCCATATCACAAAGGGAAGGCTGTAATTGATTTTGGGGGTAATTGCCTCAAAATTTTAGGAATTAGGGGCCAAAAAAGGGGCAAAAAACAAGCATTTTTCTAGTTTCATGACAATAACTTGTGTGTAAGTGTTTGGATATTTCTGAAATTGTACTACAAGGTTCCCCTATCACAAAGGGAAAGCTGGAATTGAGTTTGGGGGTAATTGCCCTAAATGTTTAGGAATTGGGGGCCAAAAAGGGTCCAAAAATAAGCATTTTTCTAGTTTCCAGACAATAACTTGTGTTCAAGTGTATGGATCTCTCTGAAATTGTACTGCAAGGTACCATACCACAAAGGGAAGGCTGGGATTGAGTTTGAGGGTGATGAATCATAAGGGGGTTCAAAAAATTTGGGGGGGGGGGATTTTTTTTTTTCTTTTTTTTTTTTTTTTTCCTTTTTTTTTTCTTTTAAAATTTTCCATTTTAAGTTGGTTATTTCTGATTTATATTTAAAAGCAAATAATAATGATATGGTAGGAGATACACACCAAACAGGATGTGTAAATTATTATATAATAAGTATTGTGCAATAGCAAGAAATTTTCAATTCCACAGTATTGCACAATAGCAAGAAATCTTCAATTGCACAGTATTGTGCAATAGCAAGAAATCTTCAATCGCACAGTATTGCGCAATAGCAAATAAATATCCAATAGCACAATATTGCGCAATAGCAAGAAATTGTCAATTGTACAGTATTGCGCAATAGCAAGAAATATTCAATTGCACAGTATTGTGCAAAAGAAGATACTTCGTATAAATTGCTTATTTCTTGATCAATTTCAATGGGGTTTTATTCTTGAATTCTTGGGGTTCTTTAATATGCTGAATCTAACCGTGTATTAAGTTTTTGGATTTTGGGCCCCGTTTTTAAATTGGTCCACATTGAGGTCCAAAGGGTCCAAAATTTAACTTTGTTTGATTTCATCAAAAATTGAATTATTGGGGTTCTTTGATATGCCGAATCTAACCGTGTATTTAGATTCTTAATTTTTGGTTTCGTTTTCAAATTGGTCTACATTAAGGTCCAAAGGGTCCAAAATTAAACTTAGTTTGATTTTAACAAAAATTGAATTTTTAGGGTTCTTTGATATGCTGAATCTAAACATGTATTTAGATTTTTGATTATGGGCCCAGTTTTCAAGTTGGTCCAAATCGGGGTCCAAAATTAAACTTTGTTTGATTTCAACAAAAATTGAATATATGGGGTTCTTTGATATGCTGAATCTAACCATGTATTTATATTTTTGATTTTTGGGCCCCGTTATCAACTTTGTCCACATTGAGGTCAAAAGGGTCTAAAATAAAACTTTGTTTGATTTCATCAAAAATTGAATTCTTGGGGTTCTTTGATATGCTGAATCTAACCATGTATTTAGATTTTGGATATTGGACCATAATAGGTGAATGTCCAATTTAAAATTTTTAAGTTCTTAGACCACATTCATTCTGTGTCAGAAACCTATGCTGTGTCAAATATTTAATCACAATCCAAATTCAGAGCTGTATCAAGCTTGAATGTTGTGTCCATACTTGCCCCAACTGTTCAGGGTTCGACCTCTGCAGTCGTATCAAGCTGCGCCCTGCGGAGCATTTTATTTTTTATACTGAGATAAGAGACCTAAAAGGAATGATTAAATTTGTGGTTCTTTATTGACTGATGTATAATGAAGTCTGTTGTATGAAAATATATTCATTTATTGACAGTGATGGAGTGTTCTCTGCCTAAGTCCTTAAAGCATATCATCAGTAATGCTGATTACTACGGACCATCCCTGTTCCTGCTTGGTAAGTAAAAATGAACCAATACATTCAATATTTGATATATATTAATAAAACATGTGAATACAGGTGTTGCTCTTGATTTCAGCAAAACTAGCTAAAGCCATGAAAATATAAATATGTTTTAGGCTTGTCATGATATGGTATAATTTACAGTATAAATCTTTTTAAGATATCTTGCTAGAAAAAAATTTAAAGATTATTGTAATTTATTTTTGCACTATATTGATTTTACAGCCACAGATGTTGTGACTGTGTATGTCTTCCAAGAACCTTCCCTTCTTTCCTCTTTACAAGATAGTGGCCTGACTGATGTTGTTCTTCATGCTCTTCTCATCAAAGATGTAAGTACAGTAGAGATTTAATCAGGGGCAGCTAGTCATGCCAAATGCCCTAATATAGGGGGGAGTTCAATATTTTACGTGAATAATAAATTTTTGTTTGCAATTACTTCATGCATATTTCAGACGAAATGGTAAAGTAGATCAAGTACACACATGTAAGAAGCAAAACATTGACATTAAACCAGCAATAAATGAAATGTTCAACATGGGTTAAACAAAAGAGAAACAATGACAAAGTTATCATCTTCGCTAGCCAAGGGTTACGATCCACTTCCCTCCTCTCCACCCTTGGCAGATTAAGCCAACATTTGTGATAACAATGTTGTGCCATCTATCGGTAGATTAAAGTCACGCCCATTCCGAATACATTATTCTTGACCAATGGTAGCACTTGAACTCTTCAATTTGGAGGTAAAAACACGGTAGCGTCTAGATTTTACACACTTGGTAAAGCAGGAAACGAAAATATATGTTGACATTCATGCATTTGTGCAAGAAACATACACAGGAACTTCTATTAGTTGATTAAAAACATTCTAATTGTCACTAAATACAGTCGTATGTTTAGGGATGTAAAGACTTGTTGCACAATAAGCACGTGGCAATTGCTTACATACACTTTCTACATTTACATGTGATCATGTTATAGGCGCTTTTTGATTGGATGCAGCGAGTTTCGACTGCAACCAATGAAAATCATTATCTTGTGTCTCCGAAATTCTATCTCAATCTGCCAAGGGTGGAGAGGAGGGAAGCGGATCATAACCCTTGGCTAGCGAAGATGCAAAGTTATATTCAATTGAGAGCTTACATAGCCCGACTCAATTAAAACACTGGAAAAACTGAGAGGGCGTTAAGAACTGTTTAATGATCTTAACTTTCTATTTTTATTTAATCCATCCCTGTTGTAAATATAAATACAATAACATTACAATGTAATTAAAAAGAAAGCAACTCCTGTCTGAACAGTAATAAAGAAAAGAGGGGGCATTATTAAACAGGACCAAATGTGTTCACTATTAGCAAGCTAGCTCAAGTGACAAAATACCCTCTTCACATTTAAACTTGAATTCAAGTAATGTTTAAGTTAAAAAGATTTAACTGGATGTAAGGTTCATAAATTTATCAGTTGAAAGCCTTGAATAAGAATTTTATGAAAACAAATGATATGCTAAATTCACTGAATATTACAGCTCTTTTCATAATGCTAGCAAGACAAAGGTTTGTTTGACTTGCTTGCTTTGTTTGTATAAATGTTTGCTGAAGCATTGTAATTAAGATTGACATCTGCAAACAATATAAGTAGGCGGAGATAAACCTGTGTATAGGTAAATTTGATTATTTGATAATGTTCAATCAAATTTAAATATAATGTATACAAGTTTAAATCCGCCTTTTTATGTTGTTTTCAGATGTCAATCTTAATTACAATGCTTGAGCAAACATTGATACAAACAAAGCAAGCAAGCCAAACAAACCTTTGTCTTGCTAGCATTATGAAAAGAGCTGTAACAAATAGTTGAGAAAGGACATGAAAAAAAACGAGTAACATCAAATGAAATGATTTGCCTATTACTCTAGGTACCAGCAACAAGAGAGGTGCTTGCTTCATTACCGAATGTGTTCAGTGCTTTATGTTTGAATGCTCGAGGTCTGCAGTCATTTGTTAACTGTAAACCATTTGACCGTCTGTTTAAAGTTCTATTATCTCCTGATTACCTACCTGCTATGAGAAGGAGGAGAAGTTCTGATCATTTTGGTGAGTACAAAAATCGTTATTCCTTTATGGGTATACAAGAAATAATATTAAAAAACTGATAATGAATACAGACTGGAATGTTTAATACAATAAAATGCAGCCATGTGGTTGAGATTACAGAACATATGTACAGGCCCCTCTGTCATAAAACTTTACTCAGTACTTGGAGTACAAAATTTGTGCTCGAAACACCAAATCCAGTATTTTGATTGGTTGATTTCTGAGTCTGAGTACAATAATCGTGCTCGAAAGTTTTATGACCGCAAGGCCAGGTCACTTCAGTTGCTTAAATATGTGTCTTGCTTCAGTTATTTGTATGTATGTTCATGAACTCCACAAAAATCTATGGGCTTCCAATGGTATTCCAGTTTAATCCACCATTAATACTGACTGCCATGAAGTATTTGGTATGTATAGAATCATGTTAATTTGCATCAAAGCAAGATATATTTTTATTTATTTTTTTGGAAATATCACTGAATTGATATGAATTTGAAATTAAATATTTAAGTCACATGAAATAAAATGATTCAAAATATACATGTGTTTTAGGTGATACAGCCAGTAGTTTGGGTAATGCTATGGATGAACTGATGAGACACCAGCCTTCCTTGAGAACAGATGCTACTACAGCTATTATTAAGGTAAATGTTAAACTATAAAGAAGAATCACAATGCTCAATCGGTATAAACTTTGCTATAAGTTATTGATATAAATTTGAATTTCATTTATTCATACTGTTATTATGGGTTGTTATGGATAGTTCCATTTAACGGACAATGATGTATAAATTTTACTTGTACCCTCCCCTGGATCATATATAAGAATATGTCAAATTTTTTTTAAGTTAAAAAAAATATAAGGATTTCTGTTAGTCTGTTTATCAGTAGACTCAAAAATAAGAAAAAAGTCCCATTATTTAATTAGAATGTAAGCAATTCAGTTTTATGCTGGTTTGTGCTATAATGAAATTTAAATAAAACTCTGTGGAAAAGGATCAATCATTGATTAAAAAAATTATATTTAAAGTATCTTCTTATGAAAGTAGCATTTTTGTTAGAATCAATGCTGATTTAATTATGCTTTATAGTATGACTACCTAAGCATTGACCTTATATGCATATAGACTCAACATGTCTTATGTGTGAATTGGATATTTTATTTCAGCTATTAGAAGAAGTTTGTGCAATGGGAATGGATCCAAAATATGTTTGTCAGAAATCTCAACCTAAGACAGAACAGAGCTTATTTGTTACACCCTCTCCTCGCCCTCCTGACAATGGCTCCTCAGATGAGGAAGATGAGGATGAAGAAATGGCTGCCAACACCCAGGAAAGTACACAGAAAAGTGTCCAACAAGCTGCCCAATCTAGTCAGTGAGTAGACATTTCCTAATAGGTGCATATGATTAGCTAAAGAATGGAAAGTATCTACCATAGATAAGTATTTGAGCTATTATGTAATGCTATGCTGATCATGTCTCTCTTTCTGCATCGATAAAAATAATCTTTCAATATACAGACCTGTTTACCACTACAATTTTTGGCACTCAAATTATGCTCTATGCCCAAAAAGGTCATTTCTACCCTTTCAAAGGTGTTACAGTAAAAAAAATGGCAGTATGTAATTTTGTGTCTAAAGGAAGTTATCTGATTGCAAAACAAGGTCTTTGTCTTTTATGTGCCTGATAATGATTATATTAGTATTGACACATGGCGCAATGCCGAAGCGAAAGTATTATGGAGGAAACGTAGAAGGAGAAAATAAAAAAGACAAGCAGAAGAGGCTTTGTCAGTGTTTTTAGGCTGTAATATGCTGAGATTTGGAAGTGTATCGATTTACCTAAGAAGGGAGACCAATAAGGACACTGTATGTTATGCCAAACAGACTTTTCATGTCCGCAAAATCTAGTCTTGTTTTACTGACTTATTATTAAAAGTTTGAATAAATAATTTGAACTATTCAAAAGTTTTCAATTAGTTACATATATTGTGATGCCAGACTTTATTCATGAAGCTTTAGAGATTTAACACAAACTGTATCATACAACCCCACAACAAATTTCAGGCATCAATACAGCCTTCAATAAAACTACACCTAAATATTGAAAATTACACTTTCTAAATGTATAAACTATACTACTAGTTTAAAGGGGGTAAACAGGTCTGAATATACAATGTGCATGCCCTGCCTACAACAGTGTGGGGGAGGGGACATTATGGTGTAAGTAGATGTCTGTCCGTCCTATATTATGTTCAAAATTTTGGTTTAAGTTAGCTACCATGAAGTTAAACTTAGTACACATGTTTATTTGATATATGTCAAAAATTAGGGTTTTTTGACCCAAGTCTTTAGCATGGAAATGTGATAGTGTGAGTTACACATGGTGTCTGATGGACATATATTCTTGTTTTATTGTAGTTTCATTCTGTATATATTTTTGAATGTATACTTTCAGATCACAAAGTCCAACAGAAAAAGAAGCAATACCATTGATGGATTATGTTTTGAATGTGGTAAGATGAAATAATAGTTGTTTGTTGTATTTGCAAAATCGATGTCTTATTGGTGTTTACCCAATTATTTTTAGTTATCTGTTTTTTTTTTTATTATTTATGAAACACATCCTGACAAATTTCTAGTTGATTTTCCACATCCTTTATTTAATTCTTGAATTCAGTGTTATCATTGAAGGAAGGCAATCATTATGGATTTAAACTTACATAAACTTGTGATCTCTATACTACAATACTGACAACATCATAAAATTATAAAAGTTAAAAAAAATCAATATGTGCATCTTTAGGTTGATTTACCTCTAAATTATACACAAACAGAAATTATGTACATATTTTAAAAAAACTTTTTTTTTTTTAACTAATCTGCTTCTGCAAATTCCAGTAAAAAATAAAGGTATTTCCTTTTTAAAATAAATACTTAGATGATCAGAGCATTATATTTGATCTTCAAATGATAATTTGTTGTCATCTGGAATAAAGTAATGCTACAATAACTACAGGCGATTTGTTGAAATACCTTGTATTATCAATATTCTACAAGGTAATATTGATTGCTACAAAATTACAGGTAATGTGGTTTATTTAGAAATTGGATGATTAATGTCATATGAAAAATTGGAAATGCTTTGGTATATTGGAAATACTTTTAAGTTGTTGTTTTGCAGATGAAATTTGTTGAAGCCATTCTGAGCAACAATTCAACGGACGACCATTGTAAGGAGTTTGTAACCCAGAATGGACTACAACCATTGATGTCAATCCTGGGAATGCCTAACCTGTCCATTGATTTCCCTGCTTCACAGGCTTGCCATGCTGTCTCAATTGTCTGTAAAGCCATTCTGGTATGTCTTTACAGTAATAGAATTTTAGATTACTGTTTCATAACTTGATAAAGAACTAGAATTTCTTTTTGAAAAGCTGAAGTTTGAGTTCTCAAGTAAAAATGTTAATATAATACATAGTTTGAGATATTGAAATTAAATATAATATACTTTATATTTGCAAGTAGATAACACTTTTATTTTGATTTACGTATCATTTATATTTCCACAGCAATTATCCAGAGAGCCAAAGGTTTTAAAGCAAGGACTGGTGAAACTGGACGAAGTATTACAAAGTTTAGAAGGACTACATAAACCACTAGATACCCCAGGTGGCTCTGTACTTTTGAGAGAGCTGGCTAATGTAGCACATCTCCCAGATGCCATCCAGTCTCCACAGTTAACACCCCTATTACATGCTTTATCATCTTGCCATGCCTACATCATGATGTTTGTACATGTCTGTAAAATGGGACAGGTAAGACACATTTGTTTAGGTCTTTTTATTAGGGCTTGGTGGTTGGATTGTATAGGTGATAGCAGTCTTATAGTTCTTGGGGTAGTGGTTCAAGTCTTGTTTCTACCATTACAAGAAATACAGGAAATAGGGATCTATTGTCAAAAAATGAGTTCTTGCGATGGGTCAGTTGTTTATTCCTGGCACTCTTGATTTATTTCAGCCAATACATTGACCCTCGGGGAAAGTATGTATGTATACAGTAAATCAATACCTCAGAAACTAAACTGACAAAATGCTTCATGTAACAAACATTTAGAATGCATCACTAATTGAAAACTTATTTAATTTAAACTGGATTATAAAGTTCAAGACATGAATACGATTTTAAATAGTGTGGAACATGTTGAAATGGACTTTTACAAATAAAAAGTAATACAGATAACTTACCTGTAAAATTCAAACAACACAGAAACAATTTTTCATTAAAGTTTCACAAGTGATAATTGTCATTGCTTATAATGTAACATCATTGAAGATGTGTGCCAATTTTTTTGTATTTTGAAAAGTTTTATTTGTGTTGGTTAACTACTGATTAAAACAAATTCATAGAAAGTTCAGTTAAATATATAATTTGAAATTTTCATAAACTATCAATTTCTTCTTTTTAAAATAGACTGACATAAGAACAATATCAGTGAACCACTGGGGCTCAGAACTTGGTTTAAAAGTACTGAATGGACTTAGTAAGTTGTACACTTCACTTGTTTGGGAGAGCACAGTACTGTTGGCCTTGTGTAGTGAGGACATCTTGCCAGCAGGCTGTGAATTTGGCAGGTCCGATATGGAAAAACTTTTACCCAAAGATTTCAAGCCAGAAAAAGAAGACAAAGAAGAGGAAAAAGAAGGCTCATTAACCAGGGCTGCAGGAGAATTGGGCAGTAATGGTGTCAGTGCTGCCATGGAATCTTTGACCACTTCAGAAAGTGTTGGTTCCCCCATGGATGTAACTGACAGCCAGACATCACAGGGGACGGACAAAAAACCAAAACTGTCACCTGCATTACAAGCTCAGATTAAACAGCTGAAACCACTTTTATCAGTTTCATCTAGGCTGTGTAGAACACTTGCTGAGTTGTTTGGTCTCTTAGTTAAGTTAAGTGTTGGAAGCCCTGTGCGCCAGAGAAGGACCAACGCCGTAGTGTCTCCTACCACCCCAACACCAGCCGCTCAGGCAGTGGCAAGAGCTCTGACGAAGCTTCTCACAAACGGTTTGAATTGGGAGCCTCCACCCTGGTCCCCTGTTCCAAAATTAAGGTAAGTTATTATACTATAGGGCTTGTTTTGGATTTGTTTTTCAGTGCTGAAAATTAAAATTTTGAATGAATAAAAGGAGTTATATAGAAAGTGTACGCCAGTGAGACAGCAACTTAAACTGTATAACATGCAGCACTCTGGATTAATTGTAAGGGTAGATTACAATATTGCAAAAGTTGCAACATATGGATTTTTCACACTAGTGGGATTAAGCATTGTCACCTGCAGAAAACTGACAGTCTTTAGAAATTAATGACACTTTTATCCATATAATTATAAGTATGAAAATAAGGAGATGTGGTATGAAAAAACTATTCACCAGAGTTCAAATAAAGTGGATGTAAGCAATTATAGGCAATCATATGGCCTTCAACAATGAGAAAAACCCATACCGTATAGTCTGCTTTAAAAGGCTTCGACATGAAACAATTCAATTGAGAAAACTAACATCCTAATTTATAACAACAATTACGAAAAACAATTATGACAGGCAAGAACCAACGACAACCACTGAGCTACAGGCTCCTGACTTGGGACAGACACATTAAAGAATGTGGTGGGGATTAACATGTTTGAAGGCACCAACCCGTCCCCATAACCTGTCTGCCTAAGTAACTTGTCATGTATGGTAAGAGTTAACTTATGTACATGAATGTTGTGAATCCAGAGCCTGTAGAAAAATTCTCCATGTAGAATTAATCATGCTCACTTTATGCTCATTATCAGATTTAATCTAAACGATTCAGTAATTTTGATGATTTATCTTTATTTGTTGACAGGTTAACATTCCTTGTGTGTTCTGTTGGTTTTACATCACCAATGTTGTTCGATGAGAGAAAAAATCCTTACCATTTGATGTTACAGAAATTCCTTTCTTCTGGTGGACAGAAAGCTTTATTCCAGTTAGTATTTAACATTTTTTTTTATACAAATTATGAAGATTCTGATTTTGAGGCTTATCTGAATCTTCTGTTGCATCTAGTTTGGAATCAGAGAAAAAGTTAATTTATATAGATAATAATATTTATATTTCTGTTGCATGTGGTTTGCAATGATGATTACAATTTGACAAGCATATATCTGAATATATCATGTTGATTCAGTGTAGTCTGAGAAAGTACATGTGTCCTATTTGGTATGCATACATTTTTGGTGATATTGTGCTGATGAAACAAAAAAAGTTAAATCAGTATGTACTGTCTAATTGGCACATTTAAATGGCATAAAAATCTGTCCAGTACAATAAAATAAGAAACTGTATAAAAATTTAAATAGTTTCGAGCAAAAATAAATGATCTGTTTTTATTACAGGGCATTTGAATGGGCACTTGCTTGTGATGGTAAGAAGTCAGCAGATGAACTACCAGGTAACTTTTCATTAATTATCTCAGATTAAGGAAAGCTTTATCACCCCTTAATGTATCCTTCTGCCCATAAGTAAATAGAACCTCTCAGATGCATGCAATTTATAAAGTGTTGTTTTTATGTCCCACCTAGGGGCATTATGTTTTTTTTCGGTCTGTGCGTCCGTTTGTCCGTCCGTCTGTCTGTCTGTCCCGCTTCAGGTTAAAGTTTTTGTGCAAGGTAGTTTTTGAAGAAGTTGAAGTCCAATCAACTTGAAACTTAGTACACATGTTCCCTATGATATGATCTTTGTAATGTTAAGGCCAAATTAGAGTTTTGACCTCATTTTCACGGTCCACTGAACATAGAAAATGATAGTGCCAGTGGGGCATCCGTGTACTATGGACACATTCTTGTTATTAATGTATCCTGCTTGTCACAAGTAAAAACATTTGTTATCAAGATTTCAAGAATATAGCTTTGTTCTCATATGTTTAAAAGGAAAGTGGGCTATTTTGTAAAACTTTTTCTATTGGGTTGCTGTCTTGTAAAGTTTATGACATATGATCTTGTGTTATTTGTTTGGACTCCAACTAGAAGTATGTGGTTTGAGTGTTTCTCACAGAAAATTGAGTTCTTTTAAAGCAGATGTATAGATTCATATTTTGTAATGGCATGTCTAAAAATGATGTCTGCAAGTGATAATTAATAAGAATTGACAAGCATACATTGTACACTGTTGTATGTAAGAAATGTATTGCCGATTGATTTGAAAATCAAAGAAATTTTGGTTAGATTTTCATGTCTAAAGATTGAGATAATTTTTTTCAAAGACGCTTTTAGATAATTCACGCATTTGAAATAAAACATGAAATTGTATACATGTACATTCATATTATGTAATTTTTTATCAGTTAGCACTTCTTATAAGTCTATCATTCACTGGTATAATGTCAAGGAAATAATCTTGAATATTAACTATATAGTTGAAGTCTTAAGTCTTCTTTTTATAACTAGAAACTGCTTGTTTTGATCAAACTTCATTTTCAGAGTGTCACCTAAGGATACTATTCATGTAGAAATAGACAATCTTGAGTCTTTTTCTATTTTACATCATATTCTATTTTCCAATAGATGGAACCGGTGAGTTTCTGGATGCATGGTTGATGCTGATAGAGAAAATGGTAAACCCCAAGACAATTATGGAATCCACACACACCCTGCCAGAAAAGTCTAGTCAAGCAGGATTTATACCCTTCAACAAAGTGCAATATCTCATCAGTACACAAAAGGTAAACTATCATTCAAGATTATTGACACACAATAGGTTTACTATCCTTCAAGTTTGTTGATTGCTTTTTTTTAAGATTTGAGTACTGGTTGCAATTGAAATGCAAGTTCTTTACTGATTTAGTAAAACTGCTAATTTAAGAATGATGTATATTCTCTACTGGTGTATAAAATGGAAGACTGATTGAGCCAAAGATAATCTTATTGCTGATCATATCATGGAAACTTGATATTATATATAAATAACATACATTATTTACAACTTTTTTTGGCTTGATTTATACACAATATTCTTTACATTCAATTGTATATTGTGCCAACTGTTTCATTTGTTGAGCATGTTGAGAATTTCCTGTAGGTACTAAAATAAGAAATTGACAAGCAATATGTTACAATTGATGTTTTGGGTTATGTGTCCAATATTATTTTGTTGAATATCGTCATTAGTGTCATTAATTGGGGGAAAAAAAATGGTGAAAATGTTTGTCAGAGCTCTAAATGGTTGAAATAAAGAATGTACCTATAGAATAAGTCTGAGTGATTGGTAGTTGACTAAATATAACATACTAGTTTTAAATTAATGCACAATCTATGATGAATATACACTGACAAGCATATGTCTGAGTACTGCTATGTTAGACACACCTTATTCTGAGATGTTTGTGCTCTTGAAATTGTTTATTTGTAAGTAAATGAAACTTGTAGTGAAGTTACATAACAATGATAGAATTTATGTTTTAAAAGTATCTTACAGCTCTTCTATGAAAGCATTCAAAGCAAACCTTTGATCAACTTGCTTGCTGTGTTTGCTTGGATGTTTGTAAACAAAAGGGTAGGTGGAGTTTCAGTCTGTTTAATATATACTGGTATTTGATTGGACAATGAAAATTGACATACAATGTGAAACTTAACATTTAAATGACGTTAATGTTTATTGTCCAATCAAATTCCAGTATATAGTAAACAGACTGAAATAGACTACCTACCTGTTGTTTACAAACATCCAAACAAACATAGCAAGCAAGTTGATCAAAGGTTTGCTTTGCATGCTTTATTAGAAAAGCTGTAATAAAAATAAGGAGATGTGGTGTGATAACCAATGAGACTGTCCACTGAGTCCAAATGATATACATATAAGGAGCTATAAGTCACTGTATAGCTTTCAACAACGAGCAAAACTCATACCATATAAATACTAAATATAACATACTAGTTTAAAATAAGTGCACAATCTATGATGAATATACACTGACAAGCATATGTCTGAGTACTGCTATGTTAGACACACCTACTTCTGAGATGTTTGTGCTCTTGAAATTGTTGATTTGTAAGTAAATGAAACTTGTAGTGAAGTTACATAACAATGATAGAATTTATGTTTTAAAAGTATCTTAATGAAAATAAGGAGATGTGGTGTGATAGCCAACAAGCATGTCAATCTGAGTCCAAATGATGTGCATGTAAGGAACTATATGCCACAGTATAGCCTTCAACAATGAGCAAAACCAATACCATATAGTCGGCTATAAAAGGCCCTGACATGAAAAAATGTGACTAATTCAAACAAGAAAACCAATGGGCTGGTTTACTTAAAAAATAGAAAAGAGAATTACAAATATGACAAGACAGCAGCCAATGACAACCACTGGATTATAGGCTGCTGGCTTGGGTTAGGCATATACAGAATGATGTTTGTGAGATCTCAATATCCTCCCCTTATCTGGGACAGTGTTTTTGTTTTAATTACATATTTGTGTAATGCATTTCAGGCTGCTTTTAATGCTGTAATGGAAATGTGGAACAAGAAACCTTTGAAAATTTATGGTGGCCGAATGTCTGAGTCCATGCTAGCAATACTTAGTCATATTATCAAAGGAGAGATCATAATCCAGGTAAAATATTGAAGAAATATACATGTAGGTAAAATAAGAAAGGACAATTGTTTTAAGGTTTCAAAGATAGAACACTCACTATGAAAGGAATAGTTTCTTTTTGTTTGCTCTAGGAAATTTCTAGATAACATTTTGCTTTCAATGGCTTTTGAAGTAAAATAATCAATAATAACATTATTTCTCCCTTTTAAAAATGTGCTGTTTACATAAAACAAAATTATAATTTAACTGTTAATTTATTAATTACCGTAAAACACTAGGAAGGTATAAAATGCTTATAAATAGAATTTCATGGAGTGTACATATTTTTTGAAACAAAGTTATCAAGGTCTTTTATTTAAGGAATATTTGGCCAAAGAAAAAGCAACAATTGAAGCACAACCAAGCAGTGCAACACCAGCTACCCCTGGGCCATCAACAGCAGCAGCAGCAGCACCAGCAGCACCAGCCCCTACTGAACAAGAACCCCAGGTTCATCAACTTTACTTACAGATGGTATGTAATGTGGTCAAATAGAATTCTTGATATTGGTTCTTTCTTCAAAACTCTTGATAGCTATTTTCATGACATTGTATAATGGATGTTACAATTTTGATGTCCTGTTGATTGGTTTAATAATTAGATGTCTTTTAAGAAGTAACTACATATGTTACTAAGAGTTTATTATTATTTGTTGGATGCCAATTTGTAGGCTTGTATGCAGACTCTTTTAAAATCAAATATTCACAAAATAGATTTTTTTCCTAATCCATGAAAGTAAATAAATCTACAGTATTAGAAATAATTTGTTTACATATAAATCTAGCTAAGTCTCCCGTTTCTAAATTTGCACACATAAATTATGTATTTGCCTTCAATATAGGTATATTCTATAAATTTTGTTGATTTAAGCATGCAATTTATATTTTCTCATGCATTGTGTATCTTCATCTGTGTCTTTTCATGTGACATATGTGATTGTTTACAATGCTATATTAATTTAGTGATTGGCATCGTTGGGTAGAAGTTTGTTGTAACTTTTACCCTGGTATTGTAGCTAGACATTTTTATTAAAAAGTAAACACTGTTAATTATTTACTTCTGGGTGCATTGTTCTCCCAAATTCAGTAAACCGCCTATTTATTGGCACAAATATTTTCATAAATAGCTGGAACCAAAATTGTTGGACCATGTCCAATATCTGGTAGAGAAAATAAGTGATCATTCACTGTGATTTCATGCCTTGTCACAAATATGGCTAGGACATCGCTCAAAAAAAGATATTGCTTGAAGGATATATCACTATGGAAATCTTCTTCAGTAGGTTAAGCATATACAGATGTAAGGTATATGTCATTGAGACAGCAACCCAACAACACAGTGTATCCTGTAAAGACACCAAGAGGTCAATATGTTTGTTCCTTTATATATTGATGATGTATGTTGAAAGATCTAAATCCATGTTCACTCAGATTTCAGATTTCAACATGGGAAACATTTCTGCAATACTAATTATATGTATTTTCCTTTCAGCTGATTGGCATGGGTTTTACTCCAGAACAAAGTGCGGAGGCCTTACTACATTGTAATAGTTTAGAACAGGCTACAGAATGGATAGTCAATCATCCCTCTACACCTGCTGCTGCTCCTCCAAGTGATGTAAATATTACATGTCTAGAAGTTGTAGACCTTCAAATTATTAATAGCCTAATAGTTGCGTCATTAAAAAGTGCTTAAACTCAAGGAACAAAAACATTAATAGCTTTGAAATTGAAAATAACAAATGCTTATGATTAAATGTTTCTTCAGAATAATTTTACTTTTGAGCACATTTTGGGATGCATTTAGAGGTACATAAATTAATGTATATATGAATATATATATATAAGTAGTAGCAAATCTGTTGAATACTTTATGAAGTTGTTGTTCTTCTTTACCACGGCTACATTTGTATTCTCTATACTTGCAGCCCTTTAGTAATTTACTTGAGATGTCTGAAGAAGATCAGATGATGACAGCCATTGCCATGTCTTTAGGACAAAACGCAGTGATGTCCACTGACAATGTAAATATTTCATGGTTAAGATATTTATCTTTATTTTTTTAATTTTTGTAGATTTTTTCCATTGCTTTATTTTATGGTTTTCTTCCTTTGTAATCTCTATGATGATTTTTATTGACAAGCATATATCAGATAAGCTTTTGTTGATATTTGAAGTCTGAGAGAAGATATTTATGGCAAAGTCTGATCATTCTACAAGTATCCTATTTTGAAAAATCTTTTTATGCTGAATCTACGATAAAAGAGGAGCATAATGTTTTATTTTTGTCTGTCAGTTAGTCCTTCCATCTGTATATCCTTTGGTTAGTCCATCTGGTATAAGGTGAATGCTTTGGTTTATTGTAGGTTGAAGATTTGGTTTTTAGTAGTTTGTGGTCATATCAACTTGAACCTTAGTACACATATCCATTATTGACTGAACTGTTATACTTGCCAAATTAGGGTTTTGACTGGGATTTCACTGTTTGCTGAACATCTTGGTAGAATTTCGCTGTTGCTACATTTAATGGTTTTCTTCTTTTGTATCTATTTAGGTTGTTCTCATTTTGGTATTTCATAAAAAATTTCACAAACTAGAGAAAAGGTCATATAAATTTTTTAGTTCATCTCTTACAATATTAAGCAAAAGCTATTTCTCACCTAATGTTTTTTTTACAAATACAGTCCGATCTGTTGGTATATATATATATATAGATTCTACCACTGCATCGAGTGTTATACGATACAGTTAAATTTTCAAATTTAACTGTCGAGAGTGGATAAATATCGTATTACACGAGATTTGGTGGTGGAATCTGTTTCTCTAATGATTTTCAAACAATGCGCAGGCAAACTTATTCCTTCTTTGCGACTGATCTGCAAAAAGATGTGTTCTTTCTATGTGACGTCATCAGGCATGGTCGCCTTTTTTCATGCCGTCACAATAGGAAATTCAGAGGAAAACAAGAAAATTTGACGTCATAATCGGATTTTAACCAATGAAGAACTAAGATCAAACGAACCACACATTGATTAAATTTTTTTATACAATGGGTGCAGAAAGGGATAAATTGACAAAGAATTAGAGAAATATATATATATGTTTGTAACTATAATATATAAATTTAAAAATCGGTCTGTTCATCAGTAATTTGTACTTTCTTGGTATTGTCTTTTCTATGATGATTTTTATTGACAAGCATATATCAGATTATCTGTTGTTGATATTTGAAGTGTGAGAGAAGATATTTATGGCATAGTCTGATCATTCTGCAAGTAAACTATTTTGAAACCTTTTTATGCACCCCTATGATAGAAGAGGATCTTTTTTTTTCCTATCAGTCGTTCATCTGTCTGTAAGTCCTGGCATCTTGTAACAGGTGAAAGTTTTGGTTTAAAGTACAATGTAGGTTAAAGATTTGGTTTAGGGTATTTGGTAGTCACATCAACTTGAAACTTAGTACACACACATGTCCATTATTTGTCTGCACTGTTTGATATATACATGCCAAATTAAGGTTTTGACCAGGATTTCACAGTTTATTGAACATCTTTGTAGAACTTTACTGTTACTTTATTTAATGTTTTTTGTATCTGTTTAAGGTGTTCTCATTTGGTGTTGGAAGAAATGACAATACCAAAAATTTCGCACACTCCCAAGTTTGTTTGAGTTCATCTCTTACGAAATTAAGCAAAAGCTAAGTCTCCCCTAATGTTGTTTACAAATACAGACAAATAGTATATTGTCGAGCCTGCGACTTTTGTCGCAGAAAGCTCGACATAGGGATAGCGATCCGGCGGCGGCGGCGTTAGCTAACTTCTTAAAAGCTTTATATTTTAGAAGATGGAAGACCTGGATGCTTCATACTTTGTATATTGATGCCTCATGTTACGAAGTTTCCGTCAGTCACATGTCCAATGTCCTTGACCTCATTTTCATGGTTCAGTGACTACTTGAAAAAAAAGTTCAGATTTTTTGTAATGTTAAATTCTCTCTTTTTATAAGTAATAGGATAACTATATTTGGTATGTGCGTACCTTGCAAGGTCCTCATGCCCGTCAGACAGTTTTCACTTGACCTTGACCTCATTTCATGGATCAGTGAACAAGGTTAAGTTTTGGTGGTCAAGTCCATATCTCAGATACTATAAGCAATAGGTCTAGTATATTCGGTGTATGGAAGGACTGTAAAGTGTACATGTCCAACTGGCAGGTGTCATCTGACCTTGACCTCATTTTCATGGTTCAGTGGTTATAGTTAAGTTTTTGTGTTTTGGTCTGTTTTTCTTATACTGTATGCAATAGGTCTACTATATTTGGTGTATGGAATGATTGTAAGGTGTACATGTCTAGCTGGCAGGTGTCATCTGACCTTGACCTCATTTTCATGGTTCAGTGGTCAAAGTTAAGTTTTTGAGTTTTGGTATTTTTTTCTAATACTGCATGCAATAGGTCAGCTATATTTGGTGTATGGAATGATTGTAAGGTGTACATGTCTAGCTGGCAGGTGTCATCTTACCTTGACCTCATTTTCATGGTTCAGTGGTCAAAGTTAAGTTTTTGAGTTTTGGTCTTTTTTTCTAATACTATATGCAATAGTTCAACTATATTTGGTGTATGGAAATATTTTATGATCTATATGTCAGTCACGCAGGTTTTATTTGACCTTGACCTCATTTTCAAGGTTCATTGCTCAGTGTTAAGTTTTTGTGTTTTCGTCTGTTTTTCTTAAACTATAAGCAATAGGTCAACTATATTTGTTGTATGGAAGAATTGTTAGCTGTACATGCCTGCCTAGCATGGTTCATCTGACCTTGACCTCATTTTCATGGTTCATTGGTCAATGTTTAGTTTACTTGGTTAATGTTAAGTTTATGTGACAGTTGTAATAAAGCTTTATATTTAGGACTATCAACATAATATCAATGATTAGTAAAGAAGGCGAGACATTTCAGCGTGTGCACTCTTGTTTATATATATATAAAAAAAATAATGTGTGTGTGAACGATAAGATTTAGAGCTCAGTCTGTTCATCAGTAACATAGAATACTTTCTTGGTATTGTCTTTTCTGTGATGATTTTTATTGACAAGCATATATCAGATTATTTGTTGTTGATATTTGAAGTCTGAGAGAAGATATTTATCGCAGAGTCTGATCATTCTACAAGTATGCTATATAAAAAACTTTTTATACAGGATTTTGTTCTAAGATGTACATAAATAATTTGTCAGTTTTTCGGTGTCAGTTTAATCTGTCTTTGTGCAATTGTTTAAGGATAATTATAGTTCTTTCATGGTTTGAATCACTCAAAGCAATTGATATTTACAACTTATTCATTTATACAATCAAAATATTTCTTTTCAATGGCCAATCAACCTATTGCTTCATTTATTATTACCAATTTTATTGACCATTATATCCATAACTGCTGAATGATCAATCGTGAATCTTCATCATGCAAAATGATTTGGTGATATTTGTTTTTTCTTTCTGATGTTAATAGTTTTTGTGCTTCATTACTGCTTTCAAATTTCTTTTTTCAATGAAATGAAAACTATAAATGAGAAGCTGAGATGATGATTTGATTTGATTTTGATTTTTGGTGTTTAACGCCACTTTTAAGCTTCGCTTTTGGGCTATTTTGTGGCGGCCAGTTTTTATTGGTGGAGGAAGCCGGAGTGCCAGGAGAAAACCACTGACCTTCGATAGGAAAACTGACAATCCTAGTTAATTAAGATTGGAGTCGAATGACCCACACGAGCGGGGTTCGAACTCACAACCTCAGTGTTGACTGGCTAGTGATTACAGTAGTAACTACTTAGACCACTCGGCCACCGAGGCCCCTAAGATGATGATTTGGGGTTTCAAGTCTATATAATTGATGTGTATCACTAATATTTAGATTTATAGCTCAGTTTGTTTATCAGTACTGAACTTAGTAGACTTTCTTGGTATAATCTTTTCTATGATGATTTTTAAAGACAAGCATATATCAGATTATCTGTTGTTGATATTTGAAGTCTGAGAGAAGATATTTATGGCAGAGTCTGATCATTCTGCAGAAAACAATTTAAAAAGATAATTTTTATACCTAGGAATTGGTTCTAATATGTGATGTGCCTATTAAAATAATTTTTCAGTTGGTCAATGTTGGTCTATACTGTCAAATTGCAATTATAGTTCTTCAATTGTTTGAAATACTTCAAGAATTTGATGAATACAACATGTTCATTTATACAAACAAAATATTTTGACTGAAATATTTCTTTTTAAAGGCCAATCAACCTACAGCTGGTCAAGCAGCAACAGATGGTCCAGCAAAAGTTAAAGAAAAAGAAAAAGAAGAAATTGATGAGAAACAAGAAAAAGAAGAACCTTTGGATAAAGAAGCATTAGATAGCTTTACTAATTCGGTTGTAACAGGTAAGTTTGTTTAATTTTTACTGCTTAATCATATGATAGCGTAATGACTATTCTGTTCTATGATTTTGTATGGTAATGATAGTGGACAAAAACAAAATTTCATTAGTGTAAATGACTAGTGCTAAAAAAAAATCTCCCCAGACAAATGATTTGGTATATATTTGAAAATTGAAATCATGGTATTTTGCTGAAATAATGATGGATATAAATTTCATCAGCTGAAAGGACTATATTGTTTTGCTCAACAAGTGCTGATGGACACCTATTCACTATTCTTGCCAATATGATAAATATAAAAAAATATAAAGCCTCAGTACATTTTAGAAAAAAAGTAGATTTTGAAAATACATGACAAACATAAACAGTTGTATTTGTTTAATAGTTTAGTGGACAGCCAATGACAAAATTATCTCTACCTATATATACTTTCTGTGATGATTCATTATTGACAAGCATATGACAGAACTTAATTTGTTGATGCCTATAATCTGAGAAAAGTACTTTCGACAACTTAATGTTTTAATAGGGTTATGTAGTTCATCAAACCATAACTTGCACACACTAACTTAAATTTGTAAATGAAAAGGATTGTTTTGCATGGGAAAAGGGGGGTGGTTTGTATATACAGGAATCTTCCATAAATGCTCGTTGGGTAGTAAGAAATGTAAAAGAATTGAATGGAATTTTAAAAAACTTATTTTGTGGGTAATTCAAGTTTTATAAAAGTGACTCATGAACTGCACAAACAACATGGCACACTACAATACTGCACACAATAACGCCAAATAATGGAATAAAAATACTAATCCTTTTATATTATTTGAAAAAAATTCTGAAGTTCAGTAAGTTTTAGGATATTTAGTTATTTAATGTTTATACTTACTTTGTATTAATGTTTATTATATTTGTGAATTTACTTTTCTGTTGTAGGCTGTTTGACACTGTTAGATTCATTACCAGAAACCGTATACAGAGTTTGTGATTTATTTCTTGTGGTAACTCAAAGAAATGGAATAAAATGGCAAAAAGATGTGTTATCCACCATTGTCCAGGAGGTATGTTTTAGTTTAGATGTATATATTCAGTATTTATTTGATTGATAAATACATGAAAATAAAAAAGGAAAGCAATAAAGAAGCACAAAAAAATTAACAAATAGATATAAAGAAATCATTCACCAAGTCAGTTAAGAATGATCATGATGATTCTTCAGCAGTTATGGATATATTGATCATTAAGATTCATAATTATAAATGAAAAGAATTAAACATTAGCAAGACACAAAGCATCTAAAAGTTTGCATGTTTTAACACTACAAATTTAGCTATGAATGTCTATAACTAATAGAAAGTGGAAAAATACTACAAAAATGATACAGATATTTAAACACCATAAAGATGCATAGTCAGTTACCAAGAAGGCTTATAAATATTTTTATTTTTTCTCTCATCTCACTTGATTTATGTTTATACATGTATAAGATATAAGAAAATGTGTAACCATCATAGTTAAGTGTCTTAATGAATGTGAACAATTTTTTCCAGGTAAAGGACCTTAGTAAGCTAATTTTAAACACAACATCAAAGGAAGATAGACAAGCAAACATGGATAACTCATCTCGTTTTGCTGCAAGGCTTCATCTTTTCAGCCTGTTGTTTGAGGTAAAAGTTTGTTTTAAGGCATAATTTGTTTTTTGGATATATTATTACTATCATTATAATATAATATCCACCCACTCTAGGATTGGGGCTATAATTTCATCTTGCCTGTCTCTTGGTTCGTCCATCTGCTTGACAAAAAATACTTGACAGTAATGAGTTATATGTGAACACTAAGTTTCTGTCAGACACCTACTTACTGTTTTTCTGACATTTACAAATTGTCATATTATTTTAATTACCTACTGTTGCCATAGCATTTTATTATGCAAAAATTAATAGTTTACAAGATATTAAATGTCTGTGTTTTAAAGATTATATACAAACAATCCTGGTTGTGTTTAAAACTTTTTCTTGCATTGTGTATCTTCATTTGTGTCTTGTCATGTGACATATGTGATTGTTTACAATGCTATATTAATTTAGTGATTGGCATCGTTGGGTAGAAGTTTGTGGTAATTTCAACCCTGGTATTGTAGCTAGACATATTGAATTTTGATTTAAAAATTAATATAATGATTGGAGGGAGAAAAAACTTTTCTCCAGTCCAATTTTATAATTGGTTAGCAGCTTGACAATGATGAGTTGTAATGTGTGAGCACTCTATGGAGATGTGAGACAACTTCTTCCAGTAGCTGATACTTTTTACTTTCAATTTTTTACTCTGTTGAATGAACTTAAAATTTTGCAAGACAATTTCCCAAATACTTTTGGCAAGGGTGAATTGTAATATGTGAGCATTTTTTCAGTATTGTCAGAATCTTACTTCCTGTTTGCCAATACTTGAACTTCACTAGATTGATTGAACTTAAAATTTTCCGAACAAATTTCTCCCAAACTACTGAATAGAAGGACTTTCATATTTGGTCAGCAACTTGGCAGTGATAAGTTTTATCTTTTAGACATCAACTTTCTGTTATCCTATACACATACTGTTGTCAATATATAGTATTTTATAATGGTTTTGAATTTTTTTATTACACAATTGCTTACTGTTGTCATAGTATTTTATATTGGGTTTGACCAGATTTTAGAATGCCTTTGTTATAAAGAAAATATTCACATTGTGATGAAATCCTTTTCTTGCATTGTGTATCTTCATTTGTGTCTTGTCATGTGACATATGTGATTGTTTACAGTGCTATATTAATTTAGTGATTGGCATCGTTGGGTAGTAGTTTGTTGTAATTTCTATCCTGGTATTGTAGCTAGACAAATAGAATATTGATTTCAAATGTAATATCAATGACTGGAGAGATAAAAACTTTTTTTCTCAGTTGCAATTTCATACTTGGTCAGCATCTTGAAAGTGATTAGTTGTAACGTGTGAGCACTTTTCGGAGATGTCAGACAACTACTTCCTGTTTGATGATGCCCTGAATTTTTCACTTTGATGAAAGAACTGAAAATTTTCCACACATTTCTTTAATACAATTGATCAGAATGGCTTCATACATGTATTTTGGTCAGCAGCTCGACTGTGATGAGTTGTAAGGTGTGAGCATTTTTCAGTTCTGTAACAAGTTACAACCTTCCTATTTTCCAAAACTTAGAATTTGCCCTACAACAACATATTTGTTCTTGTATTTTTTGCAGTTGCAAAATACTGTCATAGTATTTAAAATGGGCTAGATATTTTTTATTACACAATTATATACTGTTGTCATAGTATTTTATAATGATTTGACAAGATGTTTGAATGCCTGTGTATACAAAAATTGATAGTTGTGATGAAATCCTTTTCTTGCATTGTGTATCTTCATTTGTGTCTTGTCATGTGACATATGTGATTGTTTACTATGCTATATTAATTTAGTGATTGGCATCGTTGGGTAGAAGTTTGTTGTAATTTCTATCCTGGTATTGTAGCTAGACAAATAGAATATAAAATATTGATTTCAAAAGTAAAACCTTTTTTCTCAGGTACAATTTTATCTTTGGTCAGCAAGTTGACAGTGATGTGTTGTAATGTGTGAGCACTTTTTTCGGAGATGTCAGACAGCTACATCCTGTTTGCCCATACTTTCAATTTTTCACTATGTTGAATGAAATTAAAATTGTCCTCGCACCTTACTTGCATAAAATTTATCAGAATGACCGGTATTTGATCAGAAGCTTGACAGTGATGAGTTGTAGGTGTGAGCACTTTTCAGATCTGTCTGACATCAACTTTCTGCTTTGCAATTCTTTGATTTACTGGAGTGGGAGTATGCTAAGTCTGACAAGACATGTGTTCTTGTTTTTCTGACAATTTCATACTGTTGTCATAGTATTTTATAATGCTTTGACAAGATATTTAATGTCTGTGTTTTAACGATTATATACAAACATTCATAGTTGTGATTAATTCCTTTCCTTGCATTGTGTATCTTCATTCGTGTCTTGTCATGTGACATATGTGATTGTTTACATTGCTATATTAATTTAGTGATTGGCATCGTTGGGTAGAAGTTTGTCGTAATTTCTATCCTGGTATTGTAGCTAGACATATTGAATATTGATTTCAAAAGTAATATAATGAATAGAGGGATAAAACTCTTCCAGGTACAATTTAATGTTTGGCCAGGAGCATGACAGTGATGAATTGTAACATGTGAGCACTTTTCTGAACTGTCAGACAACTACTTCCTGTTTGCAGATACTTTGAATTTTTCACTATGATAAAAGAATTAAAATTTTGTCCACTGATTTATCCAATACAACTTATCAGAATGGCTTCATGTTTGGTCAGAAGATTGACAGTGATGAGTATATTTCAGATCTGTAAGGCATCTACTTTCTGTTTTCCAATACTTTGAATTACAAGTGTGGGTATTCTAAGCCTGACAACACATGTGTTCTTGTTTTTCTAACAATAACATACTGTTGTCATATTGTTTAATAATGCTTTGACAAGATATTTTAATGCCTGTATTATAAAGATAATATACAAAATGCGATAGTTGTGTGATTAAATCTTTTTCTTGCATTGTGTATCTTCATTTGTGTCTTTTTATGTGACATATGTGATTGTTTACAATGCTATATTAATTTAGTGATTGGCATCGTTGGGTAGAAGTTTGTTGTAATTTCTATCCTGGTATTGTAGCTAGACAAATAGAATATTGATTTCAAAAGTAATATCATAATGATTGACGGGGTCAAAACTGAAAAAGAATAGAAAGGTTTGCCAAGATAAAAATTCATAATCTTATCATGAAGTCAGCTTTGACAAAGCTAAAGTGAATTTCAATGACAGCCAAGCCTAGAATTGATTTAAGTGTGCTTTACTTGAACCTCACAAATTGAATGCACCAAAGACATTTCTAGATGATCGCATTACTATATTTTTGCACTTTATATCTTCTGGCATGATGCATATGTAAAAAAAGATTTTGTGATAAAAATTCTATTTCTTCCACAGGAAATGATGATGCCATGTGCAGAAACCCTAGATACTTTCTATCTGACTGATATGTTAGTACAAGTTCTTAACAGCGAGCAGGAATTTCTATCAGCAAACAAAGAAATGATCACACCCAGGTAAACTAGTATTTTACATATTGTTACATATTCACAGTTTCTAATTTATTTTGTATGAGTAAGAAAATATGAATGAAAGGAGATACTGGTATGCATCAATGAGACAGCAACTCAACAACACAAAAAAGATAAAGACAACTAGTGTTTTAAAAGACTTAAGTTTTGGAATTTACCAACTTGTTTAATTGTTTGATTAAGTAAAAAAAGATGTTCAAAATAATCTCCTCGTTTTAAAGTACATGTACTGGTTGAATGTTAATATAAAAATGAGGAGATGTGGTATGATTGCCAATGAGACGACTATCCACCATAGTTAAAATGAAGTGGTAGTAAGCAATTATAGGCCACTGTACGTCCTTCAACAATAAGAAAAACCTACCCTGTTTAGGGGCTATAAAAGGAAAAATGTGAAACAAATAAAACAAAAGAAAAAAGTTTTGAAAAAAAAATTAGATCATTAAGAATGGTTATATGTGGTGTAAAGCTGGCTTTAAACATGGAATTTTTCATGCAGTTTTAATTTTCAGATTCTGTATTCGTCAGAATTTGAAATTATTTGCCCATAGATATCCAGCAATGTACAGAAAAACATGAATATTTTATTTTATATTTTAGATGGCTTGCTCCACTGCTTTTACTTCTTGACCTTTATGAAAAAGTATCTGTGATATCCAAGAGGAAAGCAGAGGCAGCAAAGCTTACGGTAAATATTATACACTGTAAATCAGCTTTTTGAATTGTTCATTTGGAACCTCTTACACTCCCAAATGACAAGAAAGCCAGAAGATTTATGTTTAACTAAATAATAATTATGTTATAAACCCACTCAATGAAACGGATGGTATATATGCAATCACCTTGTGTACCTATTGAGCTTGAAACTTTGTCATTGTCAAATAACAAGTGATGGTATATGTTAGGCAAATTCTGGTTGAAACAATGTGATACATATCATTCCTAGAGAGGTATGGAAAATGCATTATATTGCAGGAATACTGCCATTTCAATATGTATCAGAAGTTACTCTAGTGATTAGTGTTCAACCATCTTTCTATATTCTAATATTCCTTCAAAAGAATGCAGAAATGTGTAAACAGTGCACTTTACATATAGAAAATTTGACAAACCACACAGGTTTTAAGATATTCAGAGTTAATTGAATTTTACAAGCATTCAAAATTCAAAATGTGAAGACTGCTCATCTCTTGCAGTGCAATAAATATCACTTCAATTTTATTATCTGTATATATAGCACCTTTTTTTCAGCATCATTGAAAAATTCAATAGTTTGCTAGTAGAGGGTGCAAAATTAATAGCTGGTTATTCCTTAACTAGAAATACATTTCTTGTTAATTTATTCCCCAGCTTACATTTAAATGATCTTCATTAGGCAAAAAAATATGGGAAAAGATATTCTAATTTTGAGCTCAGGAGTCGGTTTCACAAAAAAACTTATGACTAAGATTGATTGTACATGTAAGTATACTGAATTGTTCATGACTTGCGATCAGTCGTAAGATTTTTGTGAAAACGACTCCTGGTTCTTATGTATGAGAATTTCCATATGCCATCATTTGATTATTTTATGGGCAAACTGGATCCCTACATGCTGAACTGACAAGGCTTGACATTTTTCAAGCTTATATCTATATTTTTATGTACATTCTTCAACCATTCCTACATAAATATGTCAATTTAATCATTTATCACATTTATCTTAGCCTTGATATTGCATTTTAACATGACTCACTGCCTCTTTCAAAGATAAAAAGAAGTCTATAAGAAGGAATCACCTATGGATGTACTTGGTATCTCAGTTTGAAATCTTTGAAGTGCCACCAGAACCTAGAGGATATGCACAAATTTTTCTGCAGTTGAATGGTTTCTTCAAAATTTTCTTCCTGTCTATATATATATAGCTGGATTTTGGGTTGTTATTTTTACAAAGAAAATGGTGCATAACCAAATAAAGAATTTTTACATCATATCTTCTGTTTTGCCCCTAAAAAGTCCTTGCTTACCTTAATGTTGTACTGTCAAGAAAATAAGAGTTTTAGAAGTTTGCTGCAAGATTTGATTGCTATTGACTGTAAGCTGTTGTTTCAATTTAAGGTGATAAATAGTTTGACTGTTTCTCAATGCACCTCTTTTTCAACACATTTGTACCTTTGCAAATGATGGTAGTAAAAGGTGCTACATAAATGTGGTGTTTATTCCTCAGTTAGAAGTCATTTCTTTCTGATTTATTCCACATCCTACATTCACTATTATTTGTCTTTATTGGTGGTCTATAAGTGTGCTGACCTTTTTAAAGAGTGAGTAAAGTTATTGATTTCAATACTAGCTGGGTCAAATTAAAGAGTTTACAGTTGGTATTTGCTACTTCTGCACTTAGCACAATGTTTAATTTCAAAATAACCCACTTCCCCTTTCTAAGATTAAAAGGGGCCTCGGTGGCTGTGTGGTCTAAGTAGTTGAAATACTGAATAATTAGCCTGTCAACACTGTGGTTGAGAGTTCAAATCCTGCACATGGCATGTGCACTCGACTCCATTCAAAATTGACCAGGATACCGAAGGTCGTGGTTCTCTTGGCACTCCTTTTTCCTCCACCAATAAACACTGAACACCACGAAATATCACAATAGTGCTGAAAGTGGAATTATACACCAATCAATCAATCAAACCAAGATTTAAAGAATCTTATAAAAATAAATTCTTTATTGATGCACCCTGCAGTCTTGTTTGAAACCTTGGAAGAATCACCCGTTCCTAGAAGATATATGCAAATTGTTATGGAGCTTATGATTCTTCAAAATTGTATTCCCACCTACCTGATTGTTTGGTTGTATACTTGTATATACAACAAAAAATTATATTGTTCACAATGCACCTCTTTTTCAACACATTTGTACCTTTGCAAATGATGGTAGTAAAAGGTGCTACATAAATGTGATGTTTATTCCTCAGTTAGAAGTCATTTCTTTCTGATTTATTCCACATCCTACAATCACTATTATTTATCTTAGTTTATATTGTATCAGTGTGCTGACTGTAGAATGAGAAAGGTAATTGGTTCCATTCCTGTTCATGTCAATTTAGAGACTTAATAGTTGGTATTGCAATTTCCTTATAAAGCACACTGCATTTAGGAGTTTAAAGACCAGTGAGCCACAAATCAGAATAATATCATATGTAGACAGGGCTTTCCTTTGGACTTACCTTGTAATCAACAGGAAAACCCTTTTAGAATTGTTCCAAGTAGGCAAATATTTGTTGAATGGGTTAGCTGTAAGCAGGGGAAATAACTAGAAATCATTCGACATCATGCATTGATGATTTTATATAATCACATGCAAGGTTTTGTTTTTGAGATTAATTTAAACCATGGGGAAGTCACTAAGCAGATATATAAATTTATTGAAATATATAAAAATTTTGATTAGTTATTAGGAAATATGAGTTCTGAAAGTGGATAAAACTATTGTAGTGTTGAGGCAAATAATTGGAAATTTTTCTTTACATTAATTTTTAACCCAATTTAATTTTATTTCAGCAAAATAGTCATACATGGAAATGGTTTGATGACAGCAGTGGTAGATGGTGTAAATATAGTCTTCCTAATAACAAAACCATTGACGATGCTTATCAGTCTGGTGAAATCAATGTTAGGTAAGTTCATGGCTATAGTTCAGTTGTTGGACATGCTTAAATGGTTTTGTAATAGGTAATATTCTGTCAAGAAAGGTAGTGAACATCGTATCTCTTTTTTGTCATTTTCTATGATGGTATTTAGTAGATGATGATAAATCTGTACTGCTGTTTATTTTTTTCTCGATAAATTATCTCAAAATTGTTTAGGTTCATCAGGTTGAAATAATGATATAATACAAGTATTTGGCAGCTAGGAAAGGTTTATGATGGGTCAATCAGTATAAATATAAATACAGCAGATAATAATATAGAATATGAACTAAGTCCATGTTGATATTAGATAAATCAGTCTTTAAATGTATTTGTTTTAGACACAACATCAGCAAGAAATTAGATAATCGAAAACATTTATAAAAAGCTTCACTGCAAACATCTAAAAACAAAATAAGAATTTGAAAATTTTTTTTTTAATAAAGAAAGCCCAGATTAAAAAAAACAAATTACGAGTTTAAGAAAGATAATGTTTGTATAATGGTTCTTCAGATTTGCTATAATTACATGTATAAAAGATGCTTAGAAAATATAAGATTGTTGAGGAATTCATGATTTAGATGAAATACTGCATACTACAGTAAAAAAATACCATTTTAAGTTCAACATCATCTTTTTAACAGGTTCTCAGCTGGAAGAAGAAGGTACACAATCCATTTTAATACCATGGTTCAGGTAGGATTTCTTTATATCATTTGTTTAGTACAAGTGCTTTAATTAAATATGTCTGTTTATTTGTCACAGGTCGTTGGTTCTCTCCGGGCACTGCGGCTTCCTCCACCAATAAAGATTGACCACCACGGAATAGCACAATAGTGTTGAAAGTGGCGTTAAACACCAATCATCAATCAATTATTTTTCACAGTAGAAGAGGTTAAGCGAACAATAATCAATGAATTGTTATAATAAATAATTATTTCAAATGAGAACAAATTTTGTATACGGATGATTTTAGTATAAAATTCAGAAAGATTATGCTCAAATTTTGTATATTTTTGTAGATTAACGAAGAGACTGGTAATAGACGACCAATAATGTTGAATCTTTCCTCACTTGAGGAGAAGCAACAAGCGAAAGAGGAACAGAAAGTTGCTAATAATCTCGATATATTGTCAGTTGAATCCGCTTCTGGTATGTAGTTTGGGTAGTACAGCTGTTGGAGTTAACAACTCCAAATTCTTTCTACAGATAACTTCAGAATCATTCATTTAATCCTTTTCAAATTACAGTATGTTGTGTGTCATGATTAAATGGAGGTCAAGTTTTGAGTTTGCATTTTCATGATTTCTGAAATTGTTTTCTATTTATGATATCAGTATCATATTTGGTATTACCGTAGAAAGGCTTGTATAGTCCGCGGTTTTATTCTCCAAAATTGGACCTTCCAGACGGGGTGCGGACTATAGAGTACAATAAGCAAGAAATAAGAGAAAAATTTCAATTTCGCGGTCGAGGTGGTTTGTTTACGTTCCGCCATCTTTGTTATTTCTATTGTAGAGGGCGCTCTTATCATTTTTCAAACTAATAATTTTAACTCATCCATATTAATAAGTTATTTCTATTCAATATCAAATTAATACTGATAAATATAAAAACTAAACCTTTCATTACAAATTTCTCGTTTCTTTTCAATGCATTGGTTGAAATAAACTGGTATCTGCTCGATTGAAACGATACAAACATAGTGAAAAAGACAACCGTAAACCAGCTTAGAATTTGTAAACTACAAAACGAAATCGGTTATTGTTCGTTCCGTTTTGGTGTTTCATACTGACTAATATGGTTTGTATTAGCTTAAGACCCTTCAAACATTAATGTGATAGATATATTAAAGACTTTTTTACAAAAGGATGGAACTGTTTTACTTTCAAAGTCGTATTATAGTGATATCTGTTATGTACGGATTTCGACTCTCACCGGTTAATTTCTTCTTTTACACGTGCTTTTTGAACTTCCTGTTTAAACATACACAAGTTTCTAAATTGTTTTTTAAGTGAATTAAACTTATTTTAACAATCATGAAGCGTTCTAGAATCATTAACAAGCAGTTTCAGCTTCTGTTTGATGATGGAAAACAGGTTTTTCCAAGAAAATACCGCAAACGACCGCACAGGATTTGAAATTACCGGAGTTTCATTAGACCTTTTCTAACAGTTACAAAAAGTTTTTTTTCCTAAAAATTCGTGGGGAGAAGGGGGTGCGGACTATGTACCACTGCGAACTATACAAGCCTTTCTACGGTAGAGTTAATTTCCTAATGCTTGTAGATTAAGACTTTGGTTGGTTTGCTTGCTTTGTTTGTATTAACGTTTGCTCAAGCATTGTAATTAAGATTGACATCTGCGAACAATATAAAATAGGCGGTGTTAAACTTGTATACATTATACTTGAATTTGATTGTATGTAATCCTGGCGGTAAGGAACACCCATTTGTACATGTAAACATTACAAGACAATGTAAGTAAGGTTTAACTCTGCCCAATCTACATGTATATTGTTTGCAGATGTCAATCTTAATCACAATGCTTGAGCAAACGTTTATACTTACAAAGCAAGCAAACCAACCAAAGTCTTAATCTAAAAGCATTAGGAAATTAGCTCTTACAACTTTGAAAGTGAAGGCAACTGTTTTACACTTCATGTATTATTTTGCTAAACAAGTATTTAATATTGAATGTGTTATTTTATTTCACAGAGAGTAAAATGGAAACAGAAAGTACAGAAAAGAAAAGAGAAATACCACCTGTGGTTAATGGTTTAAATCATGACCACATAACTAGTATAATCAGGTACATTCATTGTTATAAAGTGTCTATTTTAAATGCATATGATTATAAGTAATTTTTATCTCGTGACAATGCGTTACTATGGAAGGTTAGATTATTAGGGCCACACAAGTAGAGTAATCAGCTTGTTCATTAGTCACAAAATTGTTTCAGCTTTCTAACTTTCAAACACCTTGGAGTATGGTAATGAAACTTGGCATGATTATTTGATACTACTAGAAGGTGTGTCGCACACAAGGAAAATGACGGTACAGTGAAAGTCATGGTTAAAAACTTGGTTCAACTTAGTAAACCCTGTGCAAAAAATTACTTTATATATTTCACCTTATATGGTGCGTCTTTCAGTGGTAATGTAACTTTAAACATGTTCCATTTAAGGTGGAAGTAAATCTAGTCACTTTTGCAACTGTTCAGTAATGTTGAACATATGTCTGGTCTGTTCTATAATGATGAATAGAAATCAATGCTATTTCTGTGGTGTCTTGGATAGCATTTCCCTAATTATTCATCCTGGATCAGGTCAAATAAGTGGAATAATGTCGATGATCATCTTTTATCAGAAAATATACTCTGGTTTGTTGGGGTGTTTGAATAATTGTATCTCCTACTTTTCAATGTATACTTAAATGAAAGCCAGTAAAGGTTACCTCCCGTTCAATTTATAAATTGGTTGTTTTTGATCAAATTGTCAAAATACTGGAACACCGTCTTAAATTTGTGTCAATGATGAATTTCAAAGACAAGCATATAACTGAATTTATGCATGTTGAATTTATAATTCTGAGTTTAAAACTGTAATACACTAGAATATATTCTGAGTGTCTATGGGTACATTTTCATTGTAAAAAGAAACTTTACTTTTAGAGAAAAAAGCTGATACCACAATATGTATTGTACACCTGAACAAAAACAAAATCAATAGATTTAGATTAGTTCTGAATACTGCTGTTAAAATTTCAATCTTAGGACATAAAAGTATAAGTTTTCTCAAGCTGCCTGCATCGTTCAAGAGTACATGACTGCCAGTTTGAATTTTATGATTATGCCAGAAAGTGTAGTGATGTGTTCAGTCACTTGAATCAATGATGAATTTTGAAAATGACAAGCATATGACTGAATCATGCCTGTTGATAATGTTATTCTGAATAACATATACAAAAAAAGTTGGATCACGAAATCTGTATTCTACTCCTTTAATCTCCTTTAAAGAAACATGCAAGAGAATGTGTCATTTTCTTTCTCTATTGAAGATGCATATATGTACTCATAATTATCAATAGGTAAGGGCTTCTCAGGGATGTTAAGGAGATACACTAATAAAACTTTTTTCATGTTAGATTTTGATGTAGTGCACTAAGACTAGCAGAGGACCCAGTTTAGTATACACACATCCATGATGAATTATAAAAAGACAAGCATATAACTGAATTATAAATGTTGATAGATTAGTTCTGAGTACTACAGTTAGAATTCCAATCTTACGACATACTAAAGCTGACTGCAACTTCCATAAATACATGAATGTCAGTTTGATTTCTTAAAGTTATTCCAGAAAGTGTTGAATATTGTATTTAGATGTATGGGTTTAAAAATTAAATGTACTGGACAATGGAGTTGGGAGAGGGCTTACCAGTAATATAATTGATACGATTCTAAAGTTATATTATTTTAATACAGTTTATTTATTAATTTGAAGTTTGGATATTTATTGCGTTCTGTGTTAAATAATGCATTGAGGATGAATTTTATAATGACAAGCATATGACTGAATCTTGCTTGTTGAATTTATTATTCTGAAGCCATTGTTGGGAACATTTATAACTTTTGACATTATTAAACATGTTAAAATTGGAATAAGATGAGATTTCTCATGTAGGTTTTGAAAAAATATGATATTGGCCCAGTATAAATCACATTGTCCAGAAAAAATTTTGGAACTAATTCATTGTTTTTTTTAACACAATCACCTATAATGGGTTTAAATTCTTGATTCAATGACAAAAAGGTTGTTTTAAATAAGAAGGATTGCCTTACATTAGATCCATTCACTAATTCAAATTATTAATTGTATAAATAGTTGTGAACTTTTCAAACTGGATGAATTTTATTGGTCTCATTCTTGTACTAGGTATGTTGTGATGAATTATAAAGTGACAAGCATATGACTGAATTATGCCTGTTGATAATTTTTTTTCTGAACATATGGCATAAAATAAATGAAGGTACTGTAACAGCATTATAATAGCCCCTGCATTCTGACGTGGTCATTGGGTGTTCTTCACTTCGTTTATTCATCCCTGCTTTTGTCCTACTTTTTTATCGGATACTGCTCCTGAACCACTTGACAGAATATGAAAAAAACTTTCACAGATTCTTACTCACATGATGTACTGAAACACCTATTTCATTTCTGAATCGGAATGATTTTTGGGTTTACTTTGGACTTTGATGAGTTCAAATTGAATTGATCAGTTGCAAGGAAATTATATAGGGCACTATTTGCATGGTTTAAATTGGATAAGTACATGTCTACCATTTAAAAACTGATACTAATAAAATTCTATGTAGTGTTTATTTTTTATTTGCAGGTCTGTAGTTGTTTTAGTTGGTATACCTGTAGAAGCAGATACTTTACATGCATCCCTTCGGTTAGTGTTGCGTCTGACAAGGGAACATAAATATGCCGTATTGTTTGCTGATTTGGGTGGACCGAGACTTTTACTTGCTCTTACACAATCCTCATCTTTCCAAGGATTTATTTCTTTAGTGACGTTAATATTCAGACATGTAATGGAAGAAAAAGATTCATTAAGATACTGTATGGAGAAGGTATGTCTTAAGATTTTGTAGATCATTTGATAAGTGTTCATTTGTTATAGATTGGTTTCTCAGAATAATGGTTAAAAGTCTGAGTACACATAATAATTTTATATTTAAGTAAGAATTTATTTTATGATATTAGATGAAATTGACAAAATTCAGCATGCATAACATTAAGAATACAAAGATGAGAAAGTGTGAAATGAAACTGAACGAAAATCCAAGTATATTTTTAGGTCGTCTGTAGCGTCAAGCTTTCTCCAGTGACAAATAAGGATCACTTCTGTGGTTGCCTTTGTTTACTACACACTTTGTTAATCTGCAGCGGAGATGGCAGGTGACACACGTTTACCTCTGGAGACTCACACATTTGTTTATAAATAACTGATTCAAAGTTGATCATTGTTATCTCAAGAATGTCCTCTGTAAAATTGCTTGGCAAATAACTTGATTATCATTTGGACTGACATGAAAGATCAAAGTATTTTATTTTATAACTGTTTAAGTACAATGTATGTCATTAAAAATGAATATATGATAGGTGTTCTTTACTATCACGCATTATGTATCTGCATTTGTGTCTTGTCGTGTGACATATGTGATTGTTTACAATGCTATATTAATTTAGTGATTGGCATCGTTGGGTAGAAGTTTGTTGTAGCTTTTACCCTGGTATTGTAGCTAGACAGAACTATCTCAAATTAAATAAACAGTGTAAAATAGAATTTTATCAATTTGACACAAGTGTTCCTTATTTACCAGTAATTTTTCATTTTAGGTTGTAAAGAAAGTCACGTCTGGCTCTGGTTCCAGTACAAGTGGTGTATCGCAGGGCAGTATGGGTTCCAAGGAATTACATTATGTCCTGAGAGTCTTGGGTCCAGCAGCCTGTCGACATCCTGAATTGTTCACAGAAGTTGTCAAATCTATCTTGCGGGTAGCTTTACCACCACCTGCTAAAAGAGGTTTGTAAACATTCAAGCTATAGAAAACAGTAGGTGGTATAAAAAGAGCCATTATATGGCCCCTGAAATTCCTAAAATAGGAATATCAGAATTGACATATCTGATCTGAAATAGCCATTTTAAACATTGGTTTGGCAAAATTAAAATATATTTTACCTACATTAACATCTTTGTTTAAACTAGTTGTAACAAAACATCTTTTGGGGTAAGGGTGTGGCTCTTATCTCTGTATAAATGACAAGATGTCAAAAAGAGGCCATTTTGATAGTTTTGCATGCACTACAAGAAGTTTGAAGACTTAAACAAATTATTAAACAACTATAAGTACTGATATCTGACAAATTTGTCTCTAATGAACATTTATATTATAGATTTATAATACTTTTTATACCCCGCTCAGTGATGCTGGTTAACCCTGTCCATCCGTCAGTCCCATTTTTCTTAGAACTACCAAACCACCGCTGCGAAAGGTTGGGGTTTTAAAAAAAATGGGACTAAATTAATCATACCTTTTCATTTGCTAGACCTATTACAAATTTCGTGTTCTTTTAATGGTAGTAAATCATAGGAACATGGATGTATCTTTGAAATAAGTTTTGACAATCATTATTTGATTGAATCAAAAAGGGTTATTTTTTCATGAGGTTTTATTTGTGGGTTCGGCCTTAGAAGGAGCAATTAAATCTTAGCCGTGTTCATTGTGCATTTCACTGCCCTGTACAATGCATTTTGATGTTGATCAATAGAAAGTGAAATGTTTTTGCATGGTAAAATGCCTATCAAAAACTGATTGAAAATTAGACATTCACTGATACATAGAATTTCCTGATATACAGTATAACAGCTTGCACCTCATTTTATTAACAGTACAATGTTATTTTAATAGAAAACAACTCTTAATTTTAGGCTAATTCCAATGTGCAGAATTGGACTTAAATACGTGAAGAAATATCCAGATATATATACAATATATGTACATTGTCGGAAAATATAAAATTTATTTGAATGAGCTTTAGAAACAGGACGAAAAGTGTGGCGTGCCAAGTTTTTATCCTGTTACATAGCAAGTAGAAATAAATTTTATATTTCCGACAAAGTTCATATATTGTTTTTATCCTGTAATTTACACCCAGCACTTTAAGATTTAGTTGTTTAAATCCAAATGATTGTCTCTGATTTTGTAAAGAAATCGACATAGTTTAAACGTGAACTGCGAAGAGTACCCCAAAATGAACTGTAACCCAAAAGAAATATTCACACAACCCTTTGCTCAACATGGAGGCAGAGTATGCGGAGACTTCATTTGTACAAGTACAAATAAAACAAAAATTTATTTGTGTACATGTTATTTGTACAATAGTTGGCTGATTGCAGGATACAATTCTTAAATGTGACATGACTTTTTAGTACGGGTTGTTCCAGAACTAAAATGCTTGGGAGGTACTGTTTTAAGACCCTGACCACTCATAAAATAAAGTTCTCATTTTACTTATAGTATTTACAAAATTATGAGGGAAATGCAACCTCCAATATTTATTTAATTTGAGTGCCTCCTATTCCCCCTCCCTCCCTCCTGATGCATTTTGGAACAGCCCTGAGTAGAATGAGTTTTTTTTTGCAGCCTTTTTTGTACAGGTATATTGTTTACTTACAGCAGAATACATATTTTGTAGATGAAGACGAGATGAGGTTTTATGGTCCCAATAGTCCTCAGCTACTGAAGTGTATAGCCAGTAAACATACCATCAATTATACAGTAGAATCTCCATTAAAAGAAGTTCTTTTTGATCTCTTAAATGCTCTTATATGCAAGTGTCACTATGCAGAGGAAGGTATGTACAAATCACTCTAGTTACTGTGTAAACATAAATATTTTAAGTTGGCGTTATAATTCCTCCAAATTTGCTTTCAATCTGCGATTTTTGTTGAGCCTGCGACTTTTGAGCTCGACATAGGGATAGTGATCCGGCGACAGCTGCGGTGTTAGCTAACTTCTTAAAAGCTTTATATTTTAGAAGGTGGAAGATCTTGATGCTTCATACTTTGTATATGGATGCCTCATGTTACGAAGTTTCCGTCAGTCACATGTCCAATGTCCTTGACCTCATTTTCATGGTTCAGTGACAACTTGAAAAAAAAGTTAAGATTTTTTGTAATGTTAAATTCTCTCTTATTATAAGTAATAGGATAACTATATTTGGTATGTGCGTACCTTGCAAGGTCCTCATGCCCGTCAGACAGTTTTCACTTGACCTTGACCTCATTTCATGGATCAGTGAACAAGGTTAAGTTTTCGTGGTCAAGTCCATATCTCAGATACTATAAGCAGTAGGTCTAGTATATTCAGTGTATGGAAGGACTGTAAGGTGTACATGTCCAACTGGCAGGTGTCATCTGACCTTGACCTCATTTTCATGGTTCAGTGGTTATAGTTAAGTTTTTGTGTTTTGGTCTGTTTTTCTTATACTGTATGCAATAGGTCTACTATATTTGGTGTATGGAATGATTGTAAGGTGTACATGTCTAGCTGGCAGGTGTCATCTGACCTTGACCTCATTTTCATGGTTCAGTGGTCAAAGTTAAATTTTTGAGTTTTGGTCTTTTTTTCTAATACTATATGCAATAGTTCAACTATATTTGGTGTATGGAAATATTTTATGATCTATATGTCAGTCACACAGTCTGAGTGCCTATCTGTTTTTCTAACCTGTATCAAGTAAATTTTTTTGGGATTTTAAAGTAGTTAACCATGAACATTTTAGAATTTGGGTTTTGACCCAGAGATCACAGTTCACTTAATATGGAAATGTGATGATTTGAGATTGTGTCCTATAGACGCATGTTCTTGCTCAACATATTTTATTGCTGCAATATAATCTGCTGTTAGTTATTATTGTAAGTTCAGAAGAAATGACTTTTAATATTGTGGAGAATTAACCAATGAAGGAATATATAAACGAATGTATTGGGGAATAAGTTTGATGTTTAGAAAATGTTAAATCAGAACATATGATGAAGTATTGTACATGTTTAAGGGTGTATGTAACAAGCAAAGGGATTTTTCTTGATCTTGACTTAAGCCTCTCGTGATCTGGTAAATGTTGACTGTAGATTAACAGATGGTCTGTTTATACACTAGTGGACATAGTATTTAAAATATCAATAGAAAGTTTGACATCTTTTTCTTTTTCTCCAAGTATAAGAATTTGTAATTGATTACAATTGATTTATAATATATCTCTAGAAAATAAAGTACAAGAACCAAAAACATTGGCAGAGGCAGTAGCCGAAGCAGAAAGAACGATCGCCAGACAAAACAGTGCAATAGACATGGTCACGGAGGATGATACATCTGTAAGTATGGAACAACTGTTTTGTCTGTTTTCATGCTTGTATTTGGAATTGGAAATAATGAAGAAGGAAATACTATACTTCTGGTCTTGTTGCAATTCTGGACTCTCCTGAAGCAAGACTTAGGCATGCTATTTCTGTAGTTGGTGGTGTCAACCATTGGAAAAGTTTATGATTATGTTACAGGAAAGACATGTTTCAATTAATGAGTATGTTACAGGAGAAAAATGTATCAATTTATGATTAATTTACATGGTCAATAACCAGTCAGGGGACTTATTTAAGTAGCAAATTCGAAGTTTTGTCACAAATTGTGATTTTGTAGTTTTACCAAAATTTTAGATAATATCTGTTCATTAGTAAAATTGAAAAAAAATGAACTTTTTGCTTCTTTTAAGTAGCAAAGTTTATGCCTTTGATGAAATCATTTAGCTGCAAATTCTATTTTAGTTGAAAAAATGCTATAATAATGGCTTTACATAATGAACTGATACTTTCTTAGCAGATTTTTCCCAGCAGTGGGAGTATTTTTCCTGTAAAATTCAAGGTTTCATCTTACAGATTATGTAATAAAATTCTACTGTTCGCGATTAAAATTTCACTGTTCCGGGGTGTTAGTGGGGGTTATTAAAATAATGATACTTAAAGAAGTGATTTTTTGGAAGGAAATTGAGGTATGATACTTAAACAAGTGATTTTTATATCATTATCCTAGATTCAGTACAAGGTCATCACCTGACATGACCCGGTCATCCTATCAACCCAGATGTTGGTTCTGATAATTTTAGCAACATAATTTATAGTCCCTGGATCATTAGTATTCTATATTTAAAGCTACAATAAAATTAAATCACTAAATCTAGTGATTAATTAGTACTACTTAAATAGGTGATTATTAAAGAAAGACAACTCTTACTTCCAACCTTTATGGACATAATGTTACTTGAATCAGTGATTTAGAAAATCACTCATTTAAGTAAGTCCCCTGACTGACATGCACATACGGAATATCATTAAGCATCCAGGTGATTATGAGATATGAATGTTGAGATTGAAAAAAAAACAAAAAAAAAAAACCACAGGACAACCGGCTTTAATCACACACAGTAAAGCAGGTTAGTGCACCTTTTTCATTTGGTATTTTTAAAACCTTGTATGTCAATGATGAATTTTGAAATGACAAGCATATCACTGAGTTTGCCTGTTGATAATTTCATTCTGAGTATATTACACCAAAAGAAGTATATTTTCCAAACAAAATGGAACACTGCAAACCAAATGGTTTATTTTTATGCCCCCGCCGTAGCGGAGGGGCATTAAGTTTTACCCTTGTCCGTCTGTACGTCCGTCTGTACTTACGTATGTCCGTCCGTACTTACGTACGTCCCAAAATTGGTTTCTGTTCTCTAACTTTAGTTTACCTCAACCAAATGTTATGAAACTTATACACAATGCTTATTACCACAAAACACAGATCAAATTTGAATTTTGGTGGCGTCCCTTTTACTGTTCTAGAGTTATGCCTCTTTACAAATGGAAAAATTACTGAATTTGTTTCTGTTCTCTAACTTAAGTTTGCCTCAACCAAATGTTATAAAACTTATACACAATGCTAATTACAAGAAAACACAGATCAAGTTCGAATTTTCGTGGCGTCACTTTTACTGTTCTAGAGTTATGCCCCTTTACAAATTGAAAAATTGCTGAATTTTTCGTTTCTGTTCTCTAACTTAAAAGTACCTCAACCAAATGTTATGAAACCTATACACAATGCTTATTACCACATAACTCATATCAAGTAGAAATTTGGGTAGCGTCACTTTTACAGTTCTTGAGTTGTGTCCTTTTAAAACGTTATGTGCAAGCGGGGGCATCATCTGTGTCAAATTCCCCATTAATTTGTACATAGTTTCGGCCATTGGTTATCTTGTTTGAATTGTTATACATTTTGTCATGTCAGGACCTTTTAAAGCTTACCATAAGGTATTGATTTTTCTCACTGTTTAAGGCAGTACAGTGACCTATAATTGCTTAAATCTATGTCATTTGGTCTCTGGTAAATAGTTGTCTCATTGGCAATTATGCCACATCTTCTTATTTTGTATTTGCTGAAATTTAACAGTAAAATAATTAAATGAGGTAGTTGATCAACACCACTATTTCAATTATACTTTGGGGAAAAGGGGTGGGGGTTAAACTTTCTGTTACAGTAAAAAATGTTTAATCGTACAAATATTAATTTATATTTTAGAGTCAAATTGATGTCAATAATTCAGAAGCAGGCACGTCCAAAGACCAAAAAGAAACAAAAGAAGATCTAAAGAACCAGAATCCATTGATGCCAAAATCTGCAGTATTACGGTTGTTATCTGAAATGATTAAATCTTATTCTAGTTGTACAAGGCTAATTACTAACTACACATACCACAGTGGACAGTCAGAATTAGTATTAGAGGTAATTAACATAATTATTGTTGATTCAAGAAAAAACTATAAATGAGTAAAAAATGTAAAATCAATATAATTTTTACTTCACAAACATAGTTTCAAAGGGACGCTACACAAAAAAAAGATGAACACAGTCAGCAGAAATGACTGAAAAATTAAAAAAAAAATATAACAATGTTAACTACAAATTGAATATGTTGAATATTTAATAAACTGCTGTAATATTATGGACTGAATTTTAAAGAGAATAAAAGAAATTAAGTATATCAAGTTTTGGAATTTGAGAAAGTTGAACATCAAACTTAGTTGAAATTATCTCTCAGAAAAGTACAGAATCATGATAACCTTTATAGTTCCTCTGATAAATGAAGATAAGAATAATTTTTGGTTTGCCATACATTATCATCCTTGTATTTGTTTGTTTATACACATTTTCTATTTTAGGATTGCACTGTATTGGCATATGTTTTGGACAATTTATTACCGCAGTGTCAAAAAAGTGGGGACAAAGACTGTCCTGCTTATTCTAGGATTTTCTTAGCTAGCATAGCTGCTTGTAATCACAGTCCAGATGCTCAATTAACTCTTGTAAGTGAACTGAAAGCGTCCATTCAGAGAGCTTTGGGCCTGCCTGAAAGTTCAGAGAAACACACGAAGATTCAATCATTGACTAGTTTGATCAGCGTGATTATTGAATCGTGTCCTAGTCCCGGTCAGATCCCAAATCAAGTTTTTAAAGGACAGCAGACATTAATTAATAACATTGTTAAGAGTCTGTTGAAGAAGGGCATTGTAGCTGATTTAGCCAGGATACCTCATAGTTTGGATCTTTCTAGTCCGTATATGGCTAATACAATTAACTCGGCTCTTAAACCATTGGAAACATTGTCTAGAAGTGTGAACCAACCGGTGCAAAATGTAACAGCTAAACCCAAACCAAAAGCTGAATTACCACAGAGTGAACCAGGAACTGGACTTTCAGCTGAAAATAATACAACAGGTAAACGTTTTTTTATTATACTTCATGTAAAAGGAAATAATATCTCACATATCCAGCATTCTTGTGTACGACTGACCTCTTATCCCATGGGTCATTTAGGAAGGGAAGAATGCTATATAAACTACCACTACTAGAGACACAATAGATATACTTGTATCTTTTGTGTGTTTAATGTGGTTACAATTTTACCTCACCTTTACGAGAGGGTTTGGTTTCTTTTAGACATTACGTGACTACACCTGTCAACAAATTTAAACTTTTCCATATCTCTGAATCAGCTAAACAAGATAAAATCATAGGTTGCTAGAATACTCATCTTTCAGACATTATACATTTGTACTTGCATATCTTATAAGGAAAGTTTGAATAAAAAGATATATATTGGATATACAAATGAGACAGCAACCCAAAAACACAATTGTCATCTTAATATTAATTAGTAATGTAATGTTATTTGGAAATCACTACAAGTTACAATAGGGGTTGTCCAAAATTCTCAAGAAAATCCTATAGGCAAGACAAGTTTAGGAGAAATCTGTGCCTTTTTCAATCATTATTTTCTCAAATTTATATCGAAAACCATGTATATTTTATCAACAGTAATGCAAAAGGTTATACAAGTGTCCACTTGAAATTGCAATGCTTGAGCAAACTTTCTATAGATAAAAAACTGGCAAGCAAATTAACAAAACTTGTGTTAAAAATGCTGTTGTGAAAGAGGTCTCTAATTTTATCTCATCTCTTATGATAAAATATGATAATGAAGATGATTTTTTATAACATTTAGATTAATTGTATAATGTATTGTATGTCCAGCATTCTTGTGTACGACTGACCTCTTATCCCATGGGTCATTTAGGAAGGGAAGAATGCTATATAAACTACCGCTACTAGAGACACAACAGAAACACTTGTATCTTTTGTGTGTTTAATGTGGTAACAATTTTACCTCTTCTACACCAGAATCCTCTTTCAGACATTATGCTTGCATATTTTATAAGGAAAGTTTAGATTAAAAGATATATATGGAATATACAAATAACACAGCAACTTAACAACACAATTCTGACCTTAATATCAATTAGTAAATATTATGCTTGTTTGAAATCACTATGATTTTCAATACAGGGTGTTGACATTTTTCAAGAAAATTCTGTAGGCTTGTAGGTTTCTCACTAAGGATTTTTAAAGGTGAGTCCAGGGACTTGTTACTTTATCCATAATGAGTCCAGAGACTCTTTATTTTATCCATGGCAAGTCCAACAGTGATAAAAAGAAATTCTATTGCTATACTATTTATAATTTTAGTCTCTGTGACAAAATAGAAACAAGGAGATGACATCAGATTTAGATTTTTTAAACTTTTGCTTTAAAATGATGATGAATATGTGCTCATTTGATGCAACATTTTACAGTCTTGATGTGTCTTCAGTTTTAAAAATTATGAGTCTAGACAGATTTTCATGAGTCTTAACACTCATAGACTCACATTATTGATAACCTTGGGCATGACAAGTTCAGCAGAAATCCTTGTCTTTTTCCATCGTAATTTTCACAAATCCAAAACCTTGTATATATTTATATTCGTATTACAACTGGTCATATATGTGTCCATTTTGTGATTGCAATGCTTGAGCAAACTTTCTTAAAAAAAAAAATTGGCAAGCAAATTAAAATAACTTTTGTTGATATAAAAATATGGAGATGAGGTATGATTGCCAATGAGACAACTATCCACCAAAGTTCAAATAAAGTGGATGTAAGCAATTATAGGCAACCGTACAGCCTTAAACAATGAGAAAAACCCATACTGTATAGTCGGTTCTAAAAGGCCCCGACATGAAAAATATGAAACAATTCAATTGAGAAAACTAGCGGCCTAATTTATAACAAAACAATTAACGAAAAACAAATATGATGGACATGAACCAACGACAACCACTGAACTACAGGCTTGGGACAGGCACATAAAGAATGTGGTGGTGTTAAACATGTTTTTGCACGCTCAACTCTCCCCCTAACCTGGGGCAGTGGTGTAACAGCACAACATAAGAACAAACTATAAAAATCAGTTGAAAATGCTATTGGGAAGAGCTCTAATTTTATCACATCTTTCATGATACAATTGTCTAGCATTCTTGTGTACGACTGACCTCTTATCCCATGGGTCATTTAGGAAGGGAAGAATGCTATATAAAATACCACTACTAGAGACATAATAGAAACTCTTGTATCTTTTGTGTGTTTAATGTGGTTACAATTTTATGTTATAGACCAGAGGTTTTGTATTTTTATGCCCTGGCCGTCACTTGAGGGGCTCAAGACATAATTGAAATAGTATTAATTAGCCACTTGTCATTAAATTTATGTAAAGTATCAGTAGTAACGGGTTTTAAAATGGGAAAACATTCACATTTGTGCATACAGGTTGAACTTTGGTATGTTGAATGTGATTACTTATTGACCAAATCTAATGCATTTCACATTAATAACAAAATCTTCCGAACAACTAAGTAACTGAGTATGATACTTCAGGCCATAATCTTGCCGGCGAAATGACGATTTAAGTCGCAAAGGAATTTTGAAAATCGCTAAAACTCGCCGGCTGACTGACTTCATGGCGAAGTCAAATCGCTATCAAAATCGGTAAAAGGGAGACAACTTGAATTTTACAAGTTTCACAGGTAACAAAAATGGCGGCGACAAGGAAAAATCGAAATTTTCGAAGCGACCCAGGACTAATACTTTCAACGTTTAAATGAAATAAATACAACGGCGACTTTGAGCATCCATGGATTTAACATTCAAAACTATTGAAACGAGAAACAGAGCGTCTGTTTGAGTTATCATTTTACGATGATTTTCATCAGAGGATGTTGCCTAATCACTCAGCTGATTTGTTTTCTTTTTATTTGTTACGAGACGATCAATTTTACTATTCGGTAGGTCAAGGGTGGGAATGAACGGAAGATTTTTTACATTCTTTGATCAAAAATTGAAATATAAAAGGTAGAAAGACAGTTAATGGATAAGTTGACTGCAAACGTACAACAAATGGCCAGCTTGTGACCAATTTGTTAATTAGGGCTCATAAATTAGGGAGATATCTTTTATAACAAAATGATAAAAAATAGCTCTTTATCGACTTATTAAAATGTGATTGCTAAATATTTTCATTTATATATAGGCTTACAATCTTTCACGAGATTCTCAACTTACAGCTGACATGATATCCTGGACAGTCAATATCTTTTAAAATTATGACATGTGATGATAAACATTAAATTGCCCAGTCATTAAAAAGTCATCAAATAAACTGGGAGCCATATTTTTCTGGACTTATTCAAGCAGATGCACATGGGATTAATGCATGATAATATTACTAGGCAAGCAACAAACTTTATTTCAAGTTGACAGCACAAAAGGTTGAATGAATAAATAACAACTACATTGTCTAAACCTTTTTATTAAGAATTTTCAATTCATACATTTTATACAATATCATATAAAACACTGCAAGTATATTTGTTATTGCATAAATAAAACAATTTTCCCTTAATGATGTACACGAAAACACTATGCAAACGAAACGGTAATGGAATTTCACTTTGATCACCATGAAATTGATCACTTCTCCCAATTCTGTCATGGAAGGAGAAGTCACTTCTCCCTCTCAAAAATCCTAGATTAGGCCCTGATACTTCAAAAATAGGTTCATCAATGGTCCGCCATTAGTCAGTTTTCAGAAAACTCAAAAGCAGTAAGAATCACTGTAAACTTAATCCTTGTCACAAGACACATTCAATCCACTGTTTTAAAATTAACTGGTACCAGCATTCTTGTGTACAACTGACCTCTACAACCATGGGTCATTTAGGAAGGGAAGAATGCAACAATAACATCAACAGATCATAAAACATAATTCAATATGTAATTTATATGTTGTCTGCTGTTGAAACATATTTTGAAGAAAGTAATTTTGGATGTGTTTCTGAGTTTTCCATCTTCTCCTTGTATTACTGATTTTTAAAGGCAGTAATTAAATTTCATTAGTTGAATGCCTTAACCTTCATGTAATATTTGAGCAGGTGCTAAAATTTGCATAATACTCTACATCAAAGACTTATTGTGTAAATCAAACTGATTTTGATAACCCGTTCATTTTTTGTATCCTGAAAGTTTTACTGTGTAATGTTCTAAAGTGGCATGTTCAAAAGGTTTGGAAATTTTTCTAGAAAATGTTTTCGAAGTTTTTTCAAGCATTTGAATTAACATGCCACATGGATAAAATTTCAGTATTTTCTATAACTAGACTGAAGTTCATCCTTTGTCAGGGTCTATTTTCAATTGTTATGCTTCAGCAAACTTCCCTAAAAATATTATAAGCAAATTGCAGCTCGTTTCATAATGCTAGCAAGACAAAGGTTTGTTTGGCTTGCTTGCTTTGTTTGTATCAATTTTGGCTCAAGCATTGTTATTAAGATTGACATCTGCAAACAATATAAGTAGGCAGAGTTAAATCTGTGTAAAGGTAAATTTGATTATTTGATAATGTTCAATCAAATTTAAATATAATGTATACAAGTTTAAATCCTCCTTTTTATGTTGTTTTCAGATGTCAATCTTAATTACAATGCTTGAGCAAACATTGATACAAACAAAGCAAGCAAGCCAAACAAACCTTTGCCTTGCTAGAATTAGGAAAAGAGCTGTAACTAAACTTTTGTTGAACACGCTATTGTAGAAGAAATCTGAATTTACCACATCTCTGATGTATCGATATTAAGATAATTGTTTGAAGTATTTAGATGAATTGTGTAGATTTTGTAATTTATCATTTGCCTTGCATTCTTGTGTACGACTGACCTCTTATCCCATGGGTCATTTAGGAAGGGAAGAATGCTATAGTATATAAACTACCACTACTAGAGACACAACAGAAATACTTTTATCTTTTGTGTGTTTAATGTGGTTACAATTTTACCTCACCTTTACCAGAGGTTTTACTACTATATATTTTGTAAATATACATGTACAAGTCATCAAATTTTTAGACTCTTGTATTTTCATATTTCTAAAACCTCTCAAACACTAAGATAAATTGAAATTGTGTCTTTAGAATAGTCACTTTCAGATATCACATTTAAATATTATTTGGAAAGTTTGATAAAATAGGGATTAGGAATATACAAGTGAGACAGGAACCCAACAACACAATTGTCTGCTTTTATATCAATCAGTAGTTTTTTGTTATTTTGAAATCTGTAAGAGTGGCAATATTAGTGTTGTAAATTATCCAAATACTTCAGGAGAGATTTCATTGCTGTTCGACAACCAATCAGTAATTTCCAAAAACTAAAGCAGAAAGAATCAATCGCTACCTGTTATCTTAAAACGTTTGTTACAAGATACCTTCAACCCATGGTTTTTAACTACACTGGTACCAGCATTCTTGTGTACGACTGACCTCTACAACCATGGGTCATTTAGGAAGGGAAGATTGCGATAATAACATCAGCATCTCAAAAAGCATACTTTATTGTAATTTATGTTGTCTTGTGCTGAAACATATTTTAAAGACAGTAATTTTGGATGTGTTTCCAAGTTTTTAAAATTAATAATAATATAACTCGTTCTTCAATTGTTATAAAAATTGTTTGCCAAATTTTGTCAGTAGGTTTTTTCATCCATTGCAATTAAGTATGACACATTCATCAAATTTCATCATTTTCTCTAATCAGGCTGAAGCTTGCCCTATGTCAATGTCTGCAACTGTGAGCATCTATTTTAATTGCATTGCTTATGTTACAATATGTAGATGACTTTTTATAGCATCTAGATAAATTGTATAATGTATTGTATGTCCAGCATTCTTGTGTACGACTGACCTCTTATCCCATGGGTCATTTAGGAAGGGAAGAATGCTATATAAACTACCACTACTAGAGACTCATTAGAAATACTTGTATCTTTTGTGTGTTTTATGTGGTTACAAGTATGCATCTAATTGGTAAAGTCTTATCTGTATCAGAAACCAAAAACAGAGCACTCATAGGTTGATAACTATTTTAAAGGAGATGTTGTTCAAACAGAACAAAAAAATATTACAGAAGAGATTCATGCTGATTTTAATTTTAAGTTCTGTTATTAGGGGTTAAAATTTGAAAAGAATATAATGCAAAGTTCAAAAGACATGTTAATGGGTAGAAAGCTGATGTTTTCACATTTATTTTTTTTTATTTAAATAGTTGAAGAGGCAGCACCTGCAGAAAATGAGATTGGAGAGGTCACAATAGAGGATATTACGGAAGAACAAGAAGAGCAGAATGAGGCTCTTGAAGAGAGCGAAGCATTTAATGCTGTTGAACCAGTCACAGAAAACCAGGTATTTCTGCTAATGCTTATTAACATGATATTTTTCAAAATTGGTTTGCAAATAATAAAATACAATTATATACTGTAAAATCAGAAATAATTGCGATTTTTGAAAAATGGACGATTTCAAGAAAATCCTCATACATATATATATTTATGAATTTAGAATGCGAGTATTTATTATTGCAATATTTTACTGGTTAACCTCTGTCCATCTGTCCAAAACACATCTCTGATACATTTTTCTCAGCAAATAAAATAGATGTCAGTGAACCCTAAAGCTGCGTATAAAAGTCAAGATAAGCATTTGTCATGATTTTATATGCTTCAGAAACTTCAACAGATTAAATTAGTAAAGCATGAGGATTATAACACTATGGTGATGATGGATAAGTGTTTATTGTCCAGCGGCAAATTAAATGCATATTCAGGACAAAAACATGTTATTATGATAAGAAAATAAATTCTGTTTGTCCTAGACCGACACTGACTTGAATTTTTAACATGCCAGTTCACAAGGTAAAAACCCAAAGTAAGACATGTAAGCCTACCTACTGCTAGCCGACCTGTCTCAGATCTTACTTCTAAAATGCCTCATGCTTAGTTGAGAAGCAGTAAATACCAATTTCAATTCTTTGGTTTGACCCAGCTGGGGATTGAAACCATTACATACTGCACTCAAGGCGAGCATGAATCCGATCAAGGCAGTTGATTACACTAATATAGTATTTGTATATTTTTTCGTCATCTTTTCTAATCTTTGCACCATGCTGTTATTTACATGTTCTTGATGACCATTTCATATATTTCCCCAACTAATTTTAGTTAATATAAATCTCCATGAATATATCAAACTCGGTTCTCCTCTTATATTAATCAACCGACAACCTGACTAATTCACAAAAATATATATATGCCAAATTGGCTAGAAAGGGCTCCATATGAAAATTAGTTGGTTTACAGTACTTTCTTCTTTGTACAGACTGCACAGGAATTAGACAACATATTAGATAATATGATAAACAGAGAAAGAAATAGAGATCCTGAAAGTGAGGTCATTGCAGATATTATCATGGATGTCTCAGGTACTTATCGAAACATGTTGTAATGTAGAGAATATTTTAACAACAAAAAATAGATCACTATGGATTCTTTCTTTTTTATAATTTACTAATTTTTGTGAAACCACGATTTCATGTACTTAAGTTTTTTAGGCTGAATTAGTAAAAACTACAAAATCAAATATCCATCAGTCAAAGATATAACTCTATAGGGTTATTACAGAAAATAACTTGTGTGTGTTATTACAGATACTTTCATGAGTTGTCTACTCTTTATTCCTTAAATTTTTTAAATCTGTAATAACATATGTTTGTTATTTGTAAAATTATTTCATTTATAATGGGCTCTAGGGAACTCTTGAGACTTTGCGCAGAAACTAAATGCATAGCCTTGATAACTAATTTTTTAATTAAATTAATTCATTTTTGATTAACCATGGTAAATCAATGAGACGAGGCTATTAAGGGATAAACTTAGCTGTGATAACAAGGCTAGGTTATTAAAGGAATGTAACTTATTATATAAGACACTTGGGAATTACCGAGAAACTTGCGCAGAACCTCATTACATGCTCTGGTCATTATTTCTTACAATAAATTAAAATACATTGTAATTAAGCATGATGTATGTCTGAGCAAATGCTTTGAAGTGATATAGAGAAGCTGTGATAACACCCTTTAGTTATTACAGGCATATTTTTTCTGTAATAACATATAGGTGTACTATGCAAAATTGTAAACTATGAACTGTTATATCTTTCAATAGTTAAGTATACATATAGACAAAAGTAATATCAATAGAACTTTTATACATTTTAACTGAACTAATGATGTATATTGTCCCTTTGAAACATGTAACATACATATGTTATCACAGTTCTTTGATTTTTTAGTCCACAATAACAAATGTATGTTATTTTTCTGTAATAACCCTATAGAGTTATATCCCTGACTGTCCATGAACATATAACTTTTCCTCAATCCCTAAAAATTAGTACTTTTGATACGACCGCAAAAAAAATTTTGGGATCGTCTGCGTCGTTGTCCGAAGACACATTGGTTTCTGGACAATAACTTTAGTTTAAGTTAATGGATCTCTATGAAATTTTTTAAGAAGGTTCAATACCACAAAAGGAAAGTTGGGATTGATTTTGGGGATGATGGTCCCAACCGTTTAGGAAAAAGGGGCCCAAAACAAACATTTTTCTAGTTTCAGGATAATAACTTGTGTATAAGTATTTCGATTGCTCTGAAATTGTACAACAAAGTTTAATACCACAAGTAGAAGGTTGGGATTCATATTAGGGGTTATGGGGCACACAGTTCAGGAATTAAGGGCATAAAAGGGGCCAAAAACACCAATTTTGTAGTTTCCGGACAATAACTTGTGTGTAAGTGTATGGATCTCTCTGATATTGTACTATAAGGTTTCATATCACAAAGGGAAGGCTGGGATTGAGTTTGAGGGTAATTGCCTCAAACATGTAGGAATTAGGGGCCAAAAACATGCATTATTCTAGTTTCCAAACAATAACTTCTGTTAGATGTGTATGGATCTCTCTGAAATTGTACTACAAGGTTCCATACTATAAAGGAAAGAATTGGAACGAGTCTTGGGGTAATTGCTCCAAGGGGGATTCCAAAAGTCGCGGGGGGAGGGGGGGTTCCAATTTTTTTTAAGGAATTCATATTTTTTTCAAAAATTTTCAAATTTCAAATTTTGTAAAGTTTCAAGAAGTAATCTTCAGTTGCACAGTATTGCGCAATAGATTTGTAAGATCTTTTTCCACATTTATTTTGTGTCAGAAACCTACATTATGACAAAAATTTGATCACAATCAAAATTCAGACAGTATCAAGCTTGAATATTATATCCAAATTTGCCCCAACTGTTCAGGGTTCGACCTCTGCGATCGTATCAGGCTGCGCTCAATCAGATATTAATGCTCTGATGCTGAAAGAAATTTTAGCAATGCTGTCACACCTTTGAAATCTGATCATTTTAAGGACCACTTGATCTGATCATTGGATGAATGTCATAAAGAAAATTTGCATTTCAGTTCATATTGAGTTTATTAAATGCAGATAAAGTCAACAGAAGTTAAGAGTTTGATATTGATGATGTTAGATTCAGACATATCATTAAGAGATAGAAATAGCATAGGAACATTCCATACATTGTCTGTAACAATTATTTCTGAGCTATCATTAACTTACCATCCGAAATTGTAAAAATATACGTCATACATTATTAGGTGACATAAGTTGTCCAAATGAATCGTTAATAAGTCTTTTTGTTGGCATTTAATCAATAACTGTTCAGTATTGTTGTTATCATTTAAAGCTATTGAATTTTGGTTTCTAACCAGATGGCAAATTATGCAAATTAATCTGATTGGTGTTCATCTTTTATCATAGACTCAGCTAATATAATGTATTAATATATCGTCTTACCATTTGTTTATCAAATGGTTAATGTATAATTCAGCGTCTGCTTATCATACATACAACACATTTATAGAACAGAACTAATCTGTAGTATGAAAAATAGTATTTTGATTAATCAAGAAGTTTACCAGAATTTGTAAATGCTTTAAAATTCAGTCTGTTTCAGTTTCAAATGTCTTCTTCAATATGGGAGGGTTTTATTTTTTCAATATCAATGCTACAGCAGAAAAGGAGAAAAGCTTGTATTATTTACAGTCGTTATGTGATTGAATCTATTAGTAATTGCCTTCATTAGACAACATTTACTTTAGGTTATTGTTCTCTATGTATGTTAATAATTTTATGTAATTTTCAGAGGAAATAAATCGAGCATCAGAGTCGGAGGAACATGATCATGATGATGTTTTAATTGATGTAGAAGTTGGTGAAGATGATGACATTGATCATCATGATTCACAGATGGTTAGTCAAGAGTTATCTATTGATGAAGATGACCCAGATGAAAATGCACATGGTAAAATTGTATTTCTTGAGCTTATTTTTAAAGAATTTTGTTAGTGACCCACTGTTATTAAGAAAAGTATCAAATGTTTTATGTTTTCTATTAGTTCTATGGCAAAAGTAAAGTTTGTTTCAGTCTCATAGTGCTCATAATGTATAGTATTGAAATAAATACATAGAGTAACACCCTCTTCATTCCATCTATGTATCTGATCTTCTATATATGGTAAGCTCCAGTCTTGCATCAAATTTTTATAAACCTAATCCAATGATGGACATTGGGAAAGTTTGAATAATTTCATGCCTCTGACGTCATACAAGTATAGTTGTTGTCAAGACATAACTGATGACATTGTATGAAAACAAATTGAGAATATGTAGAAAAAGATATAGTTCCTTACGTTTTCTATTCAGTGGCCATTGTAATAGAATAACTTATCCAAGAATACAAACATCAAAATATATTCAACTTATGATCTGACAACTCTTATGATTAACTTATGTGCTATGTGCATTGATGAATTAATGTGTTGTTTGCTCACTAGTTGAATAATTTTTCTATCTTTGAATTCTTGGATAAGTTTTCTTTAATTCTTCAATATAAGTAGTTTTTGTTTGAAAAGAACACAAAATATCAAGGTGTTTCCAATCAAGTATTTTTTCTTGGACCATGAAAATATAACATGCATAAAAGAATATAAAATACATGTTAGTGTTGCAGATTTATTAAAAATTAGAAAACAAACATGACAAGAAATTTATCTTTTTTAGTGCATGATACTCCTGACAGTGAATCCAACAGTTCAGACGATGATGATCACGAATGTGGTAATGATGATGAAGAAGATGATGATGTTGATGAAGATGACGATGAGGAGGATGAAGATGATGATGAGGTACTGTTTCATGCTTAGTCATGTTTTCTTTCGTAAAATGCATTCTTGTGTACGACTGACCTCTTTAACCATGGGTCATTTAGGAAGGGAAGAATGCAACATAACTTTCAGCATTACTGGCCTGCAGTGACTTAATAGACATCTGTAGTATGTTAAAGCTGGAACAGTTTAACTCATCCTTTTAATATGGACAAGTTAGGGGTTGAATCTGTCACTGCTTCTGTTTTGTTGTCATAAAGTTTTAATTTGTCATTAACATATTTGAACAATTATTTGTAGCTTCAGTCATGAGACTCTTGCTGCACTCAGTCAAGTTCTTGAAGTCAATAAGCTTTGGAATATTTACATTTTCTGTTGTGTTGTTAAAAAGTTTTTGAAAACTAATATAAGCAGATAATTACTGTTAATTGAAATGAGGTCAATTTTACTCTCAACTGGGCAATACTGTGGATTCATTTATATTTGTAGGTACCAATTATTTTTGGATTTTTCAATTTGTGGTTTTGCAAAAGTTTATATACAAGACTATAGAAATGTTATACTTCGTTGAACATTTCTATTCCAAGTTTCCCTTTTCCCATAAAATCAACAAAAAGTGGTACCCCATGAATGATAATGAATCCACAGTATATGAATTTTATAGCTTCGACGATAAGGCTTAAATTAAAATATTGTTTGTTTGCAGTTTACCGACCGACCCTTGAAAATCCCCCCGACTGTTTATTTTTTATTTTATTGCTTTAAATTTTAAGAAATTATTTTTAAAACTATTGCCGAGATCCAGAAATTCAGGTCCTTTCCTGAAATTGATTTCAGTCTAGGTCGATTACATGTTTTAAGTTCGGTTTGTCTTGCCTTCCCGTCAAGCGTTCATGTGACTGTTTGATGATAAAGCACATGGAAATTGTTTACAGGTATCCATGAAGTTATGTCCTTTATGCTGTCAACTTCTGTCAATTTTAAGACAAATAACAAACAAAAAAGTTTAATAGTAAACTGTTTATACAGATTCAGGCACATCGAATGATGTCTTTGATGATATCATTGAAGAAGATGCAGCGGATATTCACAACCGACACGATAACTCATCTTTGTCAACTTTGTTTCAAACAAATCGGGTACAGAATCTTTTGAGCCCGACTTTATGGAACCAATTTCATTGGTTAATCAATTCAAAAAGTAGTTTGAAGTATGTCATATTTTCTATAAATCGTTGTGAAGAAGACAAAGATTAAATCACTCCTCCGTGAATATATGGATACCTGTAAACATGCCTGTACGGAGAAATAACTCATTTAAAATGTAAATGGATAGCGGCCATGCCAAATCAATGAGAAGCAACCCCAAATACACAAAGATGAAGAGAAAATGAATGATTAGCTTGAAAAATAAATATACTCTCTCTATATTAAATCTATCTTCAATTGCAATGAGTATGCTCCTTTAGGATAAGGGGGGCTGCCCCACTCATTGCAACTATTCTCTTTCTTACAATATTAAATATACCCAAACTTTGTGGCCTGTCACTGTGTGAATTGAATTTAAAGCATGTTCTTAGGACCTATGCTGCCAATTTTTTTATGCAGTCAAAACATTTCAGTACAGACCATTTACTTTAATGGGGTGCTATGGATTTCACCACAAACTAGTAAGTTTTCTTTGGTTTTCATTTAAGTCTGGCATCAACATATCTTTCAAAATATAATCTTATTGCATATAATTAAACATTGTTAGAAATATGAAAACAGTCTTTTTTAAGTTGCCCTTTTTTCAATTGAGGAAGATTCAATGGCTGATTTTTTTTAATTAAAAATACACTCTTTAATACATTGTCTTGTAAATCTTCAATATCTACATTTTTCTGATGAAAATACTCTACTCATGAAAACTTTCTAGTCAAGAAGCATATATGTCATTGAATATATTTCTTTAAAACAGTTCTAGTAATTCCTTGTTTACAAGTGTTTCAGTATTCAATAATACCATATTTTATATCATAAATTGAATTAAAGTTTCAGTTTTAGTTAAAAAGATTTTTTTTATCTGACAATGCCTGTTCATTTCATGTTGGTTTTCAGTGTTTTGTTTTAAAATAGTTTTTTTTTTCTTGACTAGAAACTTGGTTTGTGTAACTGCTTGTTTAAACTTTTTGGCTGATAAAATAAAATATTTTTCCTACCTACCGACCCTTCAGTCTGAAGGTACAGTCGGGGAAACTGCAAACAAACATATTTTTAAGGTTAGCCTAAGTAAAACAACCGTCATGATTTTAACTCGAGTTGATTTGCATTTAACATAGGGTTCAGATATGGAGAACGGAATAGAAGACGATTATCAGGATATCGAACCTTCAGTAACTACTCATTATATTGATGACAACTTCTTCCATCCGGATGATATGTTACTCCCTGGTAAGTAAAAAAATGTGTTCTTCTTTTGCCTGTAAGAATTTAGATGTGTACATTTAGCTCAAAAACCGGCAAACTAACTATCATTGTTTGGGTCAGAAAATGAAAATTGTTTAAGTTGTTTCAAAATTCTCTACAGAACCAAATGAAATTGATTTTGAATTTAGTTCTTTTTTTCTGAAGTAATGATAAAAAAAAATGTGAACAGGTCAAATTCCTGATACTTAAAGTTTTAGCTGGTTATTGAGTGCCTCTCCTTCCATATAACAAAACACCTTTATCTATTCCATATTTTTGCTTCTTATCAGTTCAATATCATTATAATCAAGATCTGAATAAAAAAATATTTTCTTGAGCAGTTCAGCCACAATTAGATTATTAAAAAGTTTTGATATATAACCTGTTGCTAGAAAATATGGACTAGGTTTGCAGTATTGCATTTAGCTAAATTATAGAAGTGAGCACAAAATCTTCTTTTTTTTATGCCCCCGCCGTACATACGTCCCAAAATTGGTTTCTGTTCTCTAACTTTAGTTTGTCCCAACCAAATGTTATGAAACTTATACACAATGCTTATTACCACAAAACACAGATTAAGTTTGAATTTTGGTGGCGTCACTTTTACCGTTCTAGAGTTATGCTCCTTTACTGATGGAAAATTGCTGAATTTATCGTTTCCGTTCTCTAACTTTAGTTTGCCTCAACCAAATGTTATGAAACTCATACTCAATGCTTATTACCACAAAACACAGATCAAGTTTGAATTTTGGTGGCGTCACTTTAACCGTTCTAGAGTTATGCCCCTTTACAAATGGAAAAATTGCTAAATTTTTATTTTCTTCTAAATATCAAGTTATTTTTAAAATTGGAGTTATTCTTTTTCCATGATTATAGTTGAATCAACTACAATCAATGCTTTATACAATGCAAAGTTTAATTTTGACTTCCACTGATAAAACACAGATCAAGTTGAATTTGGGTAGTGTCACTTTAACCATTATTGAGTTATGCCCCTTTATAAATCGAAAGATTGCAAAACTTTTAGTTTCCATTCTGTAACTTAAGTTTGCCCCAACCAAACATTATGAAACCTATACACAATATTCATTACCACAAAACTAAGATCAAGTATAATTTTTTTGTTTCCGTTTTCTAACTTTAGTTTGCCTCAACCAAATGTTATGAAACTTATACACAATGCTTATTACTACATAATACAGATTAAGTACGAAATTTGGTGGCGACACTTATACCATTCTTGAGTTATGTCCCTTTATAAACACAAAAATTGCTGAATTTTTCGTTTCCGTTCTCTAACTTTAGTTTGTCTCAATCAAATGTTATAAAACTTATACACAACCGTTCTAGAGTTATGCGTGTTTACAAATAGAAAAATTGCTGAATTTTTAGTTTCTGTTCTCTACTTAAGTTAGCCTCAACCAAATGTTATGAGACTTACACACAGTGCTTATTACCACAAAACTCAGATCAAGTTCAAATTTGGGTAGCGTCACTTTTACCGTTCTTCAGTTATGTCCCTTTATAACTATTTGATATGCAAGCGGGGGCATCATCTGTGTCCACATGTGGACACTATCCACATTTATTTGATATTCTTTGCTAGTTTAGGTTCTGTTCCAGTGGGTTCAAGCATTGTCAAATTGCCTATCAACCTTTCTTGATTTGTTTATATTCAGTGGGCTCAAGCATTGTCAGATTGATATTCAAATTTTTCTTGTTTTGTATATATATATGGAAAAATAACTGCCAATTGTACTGTATATGTTACAGACGGAGGTCAGCACATTATGTTCAACACGATAGACAATCGACAGTTACAGAGACATGGCCTTCCCTTCCCTATTTTTATGGACAATGACAATGGCAATGAGGCTTTGAGTATGTATGAGATTTTTTTTTATGAAAAAAAAAAAAAAAGAAATTTTCTTTCTTTTTTTGCTCTCTTAATTTTGTAGATTTTGACTCTGAACTGTTTGCACTGTTTTTATTTTGCATTCTTGTGTGTTAAATGATTGTTTATTTTTTGTTTAATATTAACTTGTGATTAGCATAAAGAAAACTGCGTACACTATTTCCCTTTTTACAGAACAGGTTGCGAATGATCCTAGATGTGATGTTATTATTTTGTTTTATTTGTTGTTGAATTGATTTATACAATGATTATTTTCGATTTGAAGCCTCCAGTTTCAGTCCTGTTAATAATGGTTAATAATGATCAAAATACTTATGTTTACATTTCTGGAACAAGGTACAAGTTAATACATAGAAATGTCTACCTTGAATGTAGAAAAATTTTCACTATACATAACAATAAAACTAAATATATGTTTTTGCTCATCTCCGTCAACAATTATGTATCAAATATTATTTTTTTGTACATAAACCAGGTTGTTTCCCTTTCAGCACCGTCTGTGCCACCAGCACCGAGTAATGTGCTTCCAGCTCATCCATTGCTAGTTAGACAACCAGACCAAAGTTTTATTACTGGAGTTGCTAGAGTCAGGGGAGGACGACAAAGAGGAACGTGTAGATACAATCCCACAACACAAACTTTACACGTTAACTTGCCTAGACAGCCTAACCCGCCAGCAATTTTACAAAGGTTTGATTTTATTATACCCCTCTCTATGATTGAGAGCTTTATTTCAATAACTTTTTTTATCCATCTGAATAGAATGACTTCATATTTGGTAAGCCGCTTTACAGTGATGAGTTATAACATGGTAGCAGTTTTGGAATCTGTCAGACACCAACTTCCTGTTGCCAATTCTTTGAACTGTGAGCCGGTATGCTTAGCCAGACTATGGGTGCAACACTTGTGCTAATGATGCATATTAATTAAAAAAAAAGGATTCTTGTGTACAAAAAAAAATAATAGCATTCTTGTGTACGACTGACCTCTACAACCATGGGTCATTTAGGAAGGGAAGAATGCAAAATTAATGTTCAGCATGTCCTGACTTGATGACGTCCTGTGTTGTCAAAAATGGTCAGAAGCTGTTACATTTAACAATTAATGAATATATAGATCTTTCATACCTTGTAGACATTTTTGTGGTGAATGTAATATGTACAGGATTTTAGATTGGATTTCATAAAAGAATTAAATTTAGATGCACTTAGATTTTTTGGAAATAGTGCCATTTGAAAATACTGGAGAGAACAATGTATACAGTAAATAAAAAATTGTCCCTCTGATTTATTCTCTCGCCTTTGACAGAGTCTAAAAGGGAGACCTAGGTATGCTGTTTCCGGCGGCAGTGGCATCAACAATGTATTAGTTTGTGATTAGGTCTAGTTCATGGTGAACCACTAGTGGTAGATCAATGATATTTGGTATGCAGTTGTATAAGCATTGGCATATCTCATTTCCATGGAGATTATTTGGCTCCGCCCCCTTAGTCATGGTCTATATACTTTGAAAATTTTGCTAAGTTAAAATGCATTAGTTTGATTAGGTCAGTTCAAGGGGAACCATTAGTGGTAGGCCAATGTTAATTGGTGTTCAGTTGTATAAGCATAAGCACATCTCATTTCCATGGAGAATATTTGGCCCTGCCCCCTCAGTCATGGTCTATTGACTTTGAAACTTTTGCTTAGTTTACATGTATTAGTTTGTGATTAGATCAGTTTAAGATGAACTGCTAATGTTAAGTCAATGATATTTGGTATGCAAATTTATTGGCATTTGCAAGTATCATTTCCATGGAGATTATATAGCCCCACCCCTGATCTAGGTTCATTGACTTCGAAACTTTTACATAGTTTACAATTTAATGTTTGTGTTTAGGTTTGTTTAAAGTGAACGACTTATAATAAGTGAAAACACTTTTTTTTATGGTATGATGTTAAAGTTTGAAATATTGTTTCTTCTATTTCAGATTACTAGGTCCATCTACAGCAGCTGATGTTCTACAGTTGACTAATACATTCACCTCTGTGGCAGGTCCTACCCCGACCCGAGTGGTTGTAAACAGTAGTGATGACTTCATATATAATCAAAGGGAAGATGAGTTTTATGAGGAATTGTTTCAGGTTGGTAATTACATATCGCTTAAAATTAACATCACATAAGTAAATTGCAACTTTTATAGTTGACGTGTTTCTCCAATTTGATTTGATTTTGATTTTCTTTAGGACAAGGTATATAGAAATTAGAATCCCTGAAGTTCAGGGTAATCATTATTGGGTTTGTTTACTTCATGATAATAAAATTAAGAAATGGAAATGGGGAATATGTCAGGGCTATTCCATTAAAATGTATGTGGGAGGGTAGGAAGGGACTTTCAAAATATCCCTACAACCAAGAACCATTTTTTAGATAATTTTGCTAATGGTAATAGACGCATACTGAAAAAAGACCCATGACCCACATTCAATAATTAAACTTCCCTTCCTACCCTCCCACAAACATTTTAATGGAATAGCCCTCAAAGAGAGAACAACCCGACCAAAAAGCAAACAATGCATTGTTTATTGTTCATGCAACAAAAAAAATTAGATGTTACTTTTATTTTTTATAGGAAATTATATGTTTGTATGTAATTTGTACAAAAAATGCATAAACTAGATTACAATAAAAATAAATAAAAGGTTGGTAATTAGTCATTTTGGAAATAATTTATACATTGGCAAAAACTAAGATAAAAATTAGTGTGGCAGTTAACAATTTTACATTTAGTAAACTAGCCTAAAGTATTGAACGCTATCCATATATTATAAATCTTGTAAGAGGTGATAAATCTGAATAATTTAGCATGTATTTAAAGGATCTGCAGAGGTCAAGTTGGTCCATATATATATTTGCAATTCACCTCTGAGTAATAACACTATATTATAGGTTTGGGTTTTATTCCAGTTGTTATAAACAAAAATGGCAGAGTGCACTCAAATTTGCTACTGTGTTATGAATTGGCAATCAACATGCCAAAAAGCAGTTGTTTACATGAGTCACTTGTATCTTCCACAAACAAAATTAAGTGCCATCAAATTGTACAAATATATAGGTAGTAATGATATACCAAAACAAATAAACAAAATTGTTTATTGAAGACTACTCTTTTACTTGGATAAGATCTAAATTGATTTAACAACTAGGGGATTCTTTTTTTGTGTGTGTATAAATTCTGTATTTTTTTATAGGATCCATTTTCCAGCAATGGGGCTTCAGGGTCAGGGCTATTAACGTTAGTTCCTTCTACGATGAATCGGTGGACTGAAGAAGCTAAAGTATTGGATGGGGACAGTGTACATGACTGTGTTACATGTATGTATTACTGTAGTATGTTTCTTGGCAATAAAGATGTAGAAATTGACAACCTTGAATCATGTATTTTTTTTGTTGCTACACAACATTTATAAAGAATGGTATCAGATGTAGGTAAAGTTAAAAACAGATGTTTTAACACAGTAATTAACCGTTTCAGAACTAATGAATTGGATTATATTTTTAAAAAGTACACCAATTATTGGTTATCCACCAAATGGCAAAGAAAAAAAAAAAAAAAAAAAACATTTTTTGTGAATGTTACCCACAATCCTTTGGGTACTGAAAAGATTAATGTGGAAATGAATAAAATTTTCCTGATTATCATTTTCATTTTTGATGCATTGCTCATAATAAAACAAAGAGTAATAAGCAGAAATGAAAGAAAGGTTGATGCTTAAACAAGATCACTTTAATATCGCATTAATGTACTTACATCTGTGAACCATGTTATATTTATGTTTGATCAGCTTTGAAACCAGAAATAATTGAGGAACTTGAGAAGTTAAGGGATGAGGAATTGGATGAAAGGAAAGAAAAAAGGAGAAAAGTAGCAGAAGAGGAAGAGAAGAGAAAAAAGGAGTATGAAGAAGAACTGAAAGCAAAGGGCCTTGTACATCCTGACTGGCGAAGGCCACCACCACCCCCTGACAGATCTAAGGTAAAGACCATTTTTCCTACAGATACTTGGCTGGTATTAACTACTTGATACCACCAAACTTCATTTATTCTCTTGGTTTTATTCTTTACATTTATAACAGACACAAATTCCTTTTAATATTGTAAAAATTGATAATAGGCTCTGGAAATTCTTATTTGGAATTGTATACTTAGCATAATAATGATGGAAATGTTCTTTAAATATAATTTAATAAGAGCTGTGGATAACTAAGACAAAATCTTAAAAATAAAGGACATTGCAATTTGAACATTTAGGAAGATGAGTGGACCCTTATATGTTATATGCCATAATGTAGAATTTCAGAAATTTTAAATGTAAAAAATATAGTATGAAATGAAGAAATTAATCTCTAGAAGGTAGAGAATGAGAATTGGATTAAAATTAATTAAAGCAACCTTAGCAAACTCCTCATTTTGAAATTAGACAGCTTAATATTTATCTGAATTTCACGTTACAATCTTTCTCCTTGATTGTAGCCAAATGCTGCAATGTTGGTAACAGCTGATACATGTCCACCTCCAAGACCAATAAATTATGCACCATCAATAGTTACTCCTGGAGGTATTATAGAAAACATACCCTATGAGGATGTGCAGAGGATAACACAGAGCTTAGAAGAATCGGCGAACAGACCTATCAGTAAGTACAGACATGAAGAAAAACTGATAAGACTTATACTGATCATCCTTGCTTGTTGTTGAAATAGATCTATATGATAATGTTGCTAGATGTCTTAAAATTGTGGTATAAACTATTTGAAAATATTTTCACAAATAAGGTATAAACGTTACAATACATTAAAATGATTACTACCAAGAACTTTCTGAGGGGTAAACAAAATGAGTGTTCATAAAATATTAGTTTTCTTGTTCGTTACGGAAACGTGAATTTTTATTAGGGTTTTCATTCATCACTTTAGTTCAATGATTTGATTGGCTAATATTTACAATTGTTACTGTTTCAATATATAGATAAATAAAAATGGTAATTTCCATTACTTCATAAGTTTAACCTCTCTGTCTTCCAACACTTCCAAATAGATATTTTGAACCTACTGTCTTTTCTGTTTCAATGTATTTCCAAAATTGATGTCATTACTTTCAAAACTTGAAAAAACAAGTTGAAGATTGAAAATGTGATGTCGAGATTATGATATAAAATGTGAGGAATTATAATTTTAGGTGCTACAGAAGCAGCTGCAGCAGCCGAAAGAATAGCTACAGCTATGGTGGAAGGAATATTGGCCCCTAGTCCAGGCTCAAATTTAGTAATACCTCCTGGGTCTCGAGTCTTAGGGTCTGATTCAGCATCTTCATTTTCACTCCCTGTTGTTCGACCAGATGCTCCATTACCAGAACCTCAAAGGTGAGATATGAATATTTTATCATTTATTATGTTGTTCTGTTAATACATTGCATCTAAGACCAATCTACTTGCAAAACACATTCAGAAATATTACATTAAAAACGTAGTTTTGGTGAATAGTGTTCTCGAGATTAAACTGTCCAAATGATCTCTGAGAACTGCTGTTTTTACCAGAAATCTAGACATTATATTACATATTAAAGCATAACAATTCACTAGAAAGAAACTGTTGTTGAAATCTGCATAATTTTTATAAAACTTACAGAATTACAACTGAAATTCACTTCAAAGTCATAGATGCTAGCCATTATGATTTCTCTGTTTTTAGCTCACCTGGCCCAATGGGCCAAGTGAGCTTTTCTCTTCACTTGGCGTCCGTCATCGCCGTCCGTTAACTTTTACAAAAATCTTCTCCTCTGAAACTACTGGGCAAAATTTAACCAAACTTGGCCACAATAATCATTTGGGTATCTGGTTTTAAAAATGTGTCCGATGACCCGGCCTGCCAACCAAGATGGCCGCCATGGCTAATAATAGAACATAGGAGTAAAATGTAGATTTTGGCTTGTATCTCTGAAACCAAAGCATTTAGAGCAATTCTGACAGGGAGTAAATTTATTCATCAGGTCAAGATCTATCTACCATTGTTGGGTTGCTGCCCCTGAATTGGTAAATTTAAGGAAATTTTGCATTGTATAGTTATTATCTTGAATATTATTATAGATAGAGATAAACTGTAAACAGCAATAATGTTCAGCAAAGTAAGGGATCATAGATTTATTCTTACGAGGAAGCTCCGAGCATGCTCGGAGGATGCTCGGAGCCTTTTCAGTAGGCTCTTCTCTGCAGTTTATGTGAAAATAATTATCATGATCCATTAAGATGTCAATCAAATCTACACCACATCTATAATAAGGAAAGTAGAGCATTATAGAGGAAGCTCAATTAACACCTGTGTAAACATCTAATCTATTCAAATACATTTTGCCTGAAATTTTACAAAACTATAGAATAGATTAGAAATTCTTCAACAGTACTGTGTAATGCTTTTAAAGAAATCTCAAGTCTCCACAAAAAGTGAAAGTCATTTAACAAAAAATATACAATTATTATATTTTTGAAATAATCATTTCTTTTTTTATAATAAAAAAAATTCTCAAATTTTATAATTAGATGATATGATTTAAATATAGTTTATATTATATAATATGCTACATTAAAGTTATCAAGACACAAACAACAGTCAGGGGGCGATACTAAACAAGTTATTTTATTTAGTTACTTATATTAATAGGTATTTTTTGTTTTTTAAAATTATTTGATATAAACTCAATAGTTATTTTAAATGTCAAAAGTGGACTAAATGTAGTTTTTAAGAATTTTTTCATCATTTCATTAAGTAAAATTAAGTATTTATCCAACTTGAGATGAGTATAGAGAGATTACTTTAAAAATAATGACAAAAATATTACTTTTATAAATTATCTTATACATCTTCGAAAAACTAAGCATACTTACAATTATTTAAGGAACATATGTAATTGTTTTTGATAAATATTTCAAATTATAAATAACTTCAAGTCTTAATTAAATCACAAGGTTCCATCCATTTATATTTGTTCATCTCTAAGATTTTGAAGGAAAATGTTATTTTAATAGCCCCAAGAGACCAATCTATGACCAAGAAGTGTGGCATCAGAAAGGCAATTAGTGTTTCAGGAGGATTTAAATAGTTTTATACTGCATGGGGAAAATAACCAGATGTGAAAATTTGTTAAAGCTTGTAAAACCTGTATGAATGGACACCTATAGAAATAATATTAACAGAAGTTACTTATCCATGATATATTAGTAATATTTGAAACAACCTTGTTTTCAATATAACTTGTATAGGTAATTTTGAAAATTACTAGTTTAAGTAATGCCCTTAACTTAACAATGGTATTTTTTTTTTTTATAAAATAGCAAAGTTAGTTTTTTATATAAAATATTTTTGCAATTTTAGGGAACATGGCTACTAAAGCTTGTAAACAGAGAAAAAAAAAAGGGGTATAGAATTTGGTTAGTTAATTCTGGTGATGTCTTCTTTCTTATATGCACTGAAAAATTATGTTGTTTTTATTACTATAGTACAGGACAAGAAAAAACTTTACTCATGTCAAGTATTTCTTTATTTAAAACATAGATAAATTCTGCACATATTTTTGGAAAATACCAATTAAACAAAGACTGATAGGGGGAAACAATTTTATATTAGATTTTCATTCAAGTACAGGTCAGGATAAAACTTCACTTATATAATTATGCCAAGTATTTCTTTATTTAAAATAAAACCAAATCCGCACAATTATATTAAAAATGACAATTAAAGTGAGACGTACTAGAGGGAAAACAATGGTGGTATTACCTCCTCAACTTTTCTTAAGAGTAGCCATAATTTTTTTTTATAAAAAACTAACTTTGCTATTTTATAAAAAAAAATAAAAAATTATCATGGTTTTAATAGTTAGGGGCATTACTTAAACAAGTAATTTTCAAAATTACTTATACAAGTTATATTGAAAACAAGGTTGTTTCAAATATTACTTATATATCATGAATAAGTAACTTCTGTTAATATTATTTCTATAGGTGTCCATTCATACAGGTTTTACAAGCTTTAACAAATTTTCACATCTGGTTATTTTCCCCATGCAGTATAAAACTATTTAAATCCTCCTGAAACACTAATTGCCTTTCTGATGCCACACTTCTTGGTCATAGATTGGTCTCTTGGGGCTATTTAAATAACATTTTCCTTTAAAATCTTAGAGATGAACAAATATAAATGGATGGAACTTTGTGATTTAATTAAGACTTGAAGTTATTTATAATTTGAAATCTTTATCAAAAACAATTACATATGTTCCTTAAATAATTGTAAGTATGCTTAGTTTTTCGAAGATGTATAAAATAATTTATAAAAGTAATATTTTTGTCATTATTTCTAAAGTAATCTCTCTATACTCATCTCAAGTTGGATAAATACTTAATTTTACTTAATGAAATGATGAAAAAATTCTTAGAAACTACATTTAGTCCACTTTTGACATTTAAAATAACTATTGAGTTTATATCAAATAATTTAAAAAAAAACAAAAAATACCTATTAATATATATTAAGTAACTAAAAAAAATAACTTGTTTAGTATCACCCCCTGACTGTTTGTGTCTTGATAACTTTTATGTAGCATATTATATAATATAAACTATATTTAAATCATATCATCTAATTATAAGATTTGAGAATTTTTTTTATTATAAAAAAATAAATGATTAATAAATATAATAATTGTATATTTTTTGTTAAATGACTTTCACCTTTTTGTGGAGACTTGAGATTTCTTTCCAAGCATTACACAGTACTGTTGAAGAAATTCTTATCTTTTCTATAATTTGTAAAATGTCATGCAAAATGTATTTGAATAGATCAGTTGTTTACACAGGTGTTAATTGAGCTTCCTCTATAATGCTTTACTTTCCTTATTATAGAAGTGGTGTAGATTTGATTGACATCTTAATGGATCATGATAATTATTTTCACATAAACTGCAGAGAAGAGCCTACTGAAAAAGCTCCGAGCATCCTCCGAGCATGCTCGGAGCTTCCTCGTAAGAATAAATCTATGATCCCTAAGATCTACATGTAAGTCAACATGACCAAAATTGTCAATTGACCCCTTAAGGAGTTATTGCCCTTTAAAGTCAATTTTAACCCTTTCAACGCTACACACGGCATATGCCACGATGACGTGCGCCGCCCGCCACTGCTATTCCCTGCATATGTCACGATGACGATGGATTTTACATACAGACTCGTAACCATTCGGTTTTCATTCGGGTCCTCTTTAATTTTCCTCGTATGAAATGAGGATATACAAGGTCCTGTTTGCGCTTGTAATCATGGGAATTTTAATGGTAAAAGCATGCAGAAGAAGAAAAATAAAAAAAAATATTTTGACAAATGCAAATGGCAGAAATAAAAAAAGACGCTGTAGATATGGAAATATTTCAGCATTTCTATGGCGAAACTGACAACAAGGAATAGTTAAAAGGTTTCCCGTTATCTCAATGTGTTAATTACATTCAATTCGTGTGGGAAATATGATTTGGTCAATCTTTACGAGACGTAAAAAAAGTGGGGAGGAAACAGTGGTTGACTGTAAATTTTGAGGACGGAGCCACTTATTTGCGCCACATTTACATTATACGTTGTGTATTGTGCAAATACAATAATTTACACCTTTTACCTGTTAATTACCTGAAAATGCAGGTAGCTTGATGAAAATTTTACTAAAACAATTGCATAACATTACAGTTCCTGCTCTCCTGAGCATTTTTCATGCACTAACTTTGTCTGTATCTCTAATAATAAAAAAGATACTGCAGTCTGAAAGGAATATACTGTTCTAATGAATGAACACAAAAAAAATGCAGCAGCAGCTGCAGTCATTTTTCTATTTTTTTGTGTAGCGTTGAAAGGGTTAACAAGTTTTCTGAAATTTTTGTAATCTTTTACAAAAATCTTCTCTGAAACTACTGAGACAAATTTAACCAAACTTGGCCACAATCATCATTAGGGTATCTTGTTTAAAAAATGCGTCAGATGACCCTGCCTGCCATCGAACATGGTTGACATGGGTAAAAATAGAACATAAGGGTAAAATGCAGTTTTTGGCTTATATCTCTGAAACTAAACCAAAAGTATAATGGTTGCATTATTTCATGCATCAATTGTAAACAAAAATATCAGGTTAGCGACACTGGCTCTTTGGAGCCTCTAGTTATAACAAACTTCTGGCAGAAATTTACAGTGTTATCGTTGACAGTCTACTTTTAAGGAATTTTATTTAGTACTAGTCTAGAACAGTTCTATGTTTAAAAATCATTACCGTAGAAAGGCTTGTATAGTTCGCACTGGTACATAGTCCGCACCCCCTTCTCCCCACTAAATTTTAGGTAAAAAAACTTTTTGTAACTGTTAGAAAAGGTCTAATGAAACTCCGGTAATTTCAAATCCTGTGCGGTCGTTTGCGGTATTTTCTTGGAAAAACCTGTTTTCCATCATCAAACAGAAGCTGAAACTGCTTGTAAATTATTCTAGAACGCTTCATGATTGTTAAAATAAGTTTAATTCACTTCAAAAACAATTTAGAAACTTGTGTATTTTTAAACAGGAAGTTTAAAAAGCATGTGTAAAAGAATAAATTAACTGGTGAGAGTCGAAATCCGTACATAACAGATATCACTATAATACGACTTTGAAAGTAAAACAGTTCCATCCTTTTGTAAAACAGTCTTTAATATATCTATCACATTAATGTTTGAAGGGTCTTAAGCTAATACAAACCATATTAGTCAGTATGAAACACCAAAACGGAACGAACAATAACCGATTACGTTTTGTAGTTTACAAATTCTAAGCTGGTTTACGGTTGTCTTTTTCACTATGTTTGTATCGTTTCAATCAAGCAGATACCAGTTTATTTCAACCAATGCATTGAAAAGAAACGAGAAATTTGTAATGAAAGGTTTAGTTTTTATATTTATCAGTATTAATTTGATATTGAATAGAAATAACTTATTAATATGGATGAGTTAAAATTATTAGTTTGAAAAATGATAAGAGCGCCCTCTACAATATAAATAACAAAGATGGCGGAACGTAAACAAACCACCTCGCCCGCGAAATTGAAATTTTTCTCTTATTTCTTGCTTATTGTACTCTATAGTCCGCACCCCGTCTGGAAGGTCCAATTTTGGAGAATAAAACCGCGGACTATACAAGCCTTTCTACGGTATTGATGATTTTGACGCTTTGGTTATGGTTATTACTGTGTAATGATAAAAGCTTGATATGGATTATTAAACTCTTTCTGGTTTCTGTGGACAGTAGAAAACCATATATCCATTTCTTGTCCGGTCCTAAATGAAAAATAAAGGCAGGAAGTTGTTTTCACAATCTCTGATGAAACGAGTGAAGTTTCTGCAGTGCAGGAAGGGAAATTGGACTAACGTAATCAATGATGGAACATTATGCCTTTTGCAAATATTGAAATCAAAACTTTAGCCCTATTGTTGGTGTTCCATACTTGCTCATCAACTTTTACATCATAGTTTTCATAATCAAAGCTGTTATCCTAATGCTAGCAATTTAAAGGTTTGGTTGGCGTACTTGCTTTGTTTGTATAAATGTTTGCTCAAGCATTGTAATTAAGATTGACATCTGCAATCAATAGATAGGCGGGACTTCAGCTTGTTTACATTATACATAACACCCAATAACATTACCCAATAACATTTAAGTATCAGTAATGTATACAGGCTGAAGCCCTGCTTATCTATCTATTGATTGCAGATGTCAATCTTAATTACACTGCTTGAGCAAACATTTATACAAACAAAGCAAGCAAGCCAACCAAACCTTAAAATTGCTAGCATTAGGATAACAGCTTTAAAGAAAATTATTTACTTGTGATTGTGTGCCTAGTCTACTGATAACAGTAAAAAATTTTGAAAAATCACTAATAATGGGGAAAAAATCACAAATTACAAAAAATATCAATATTTTTTTACTAATTGCACCAAAAGGGGGGTTGGCATGTATGCAAAGTATATCATATACATTGAAATTAACTAACAAATTATTTTTTAAACCCATTGTAAGCTTATACAGAGTTGATTATTTATTTTTCATGTGTAAGTTTCTGTCAAATAATGCACTAATACAGTTGGGAAAAACTATTCATTTATTATAGACGTAACCCTACTACCACCATCACCAACCTTGCTACTCTGCTGTTGAGTGACGATCCAGAAAACCGTACCAGTGAAGAGAACTCGCTGGTACAGATGCTGAGAGGAGTAGTGGCTCATAGTACACCAAGTTCCACACCAAGTTCCACACCAAGTATGTATTAAGCTTTTCATTGACAGTATCTTTTCTTTTTTATCATTCCATTATTTTGAAATTGATGAATTTTGCAGACTTTCTTTCATTATGGCTGCACATATTTAGCTGATTTTTAGTTCAATAGTGTAAAGTGGTGAGTTACTGATTGAGTTTTTGTTTCTCCTAGATGACCTGCTTGTTTAGGAATTACATAAACTCCGTTTTCCATATAGGAATCAGTAAAGATATCTTCTAAAAACCAACAACATACCAAAAGTACAATGCATCACCTTGAAACCTAAATGAAACAACATTGTATCAAAACAAAAATGAACCACCATTTATAAATCAAAAGAAAATTGGTGGAAGACTTAACAAGATTGGGTTCATGGCAAATGAAATAGGATGAACACGAGGAAAACAGTTCAACATAAGTTATTTCTACATGCTCTTTATCACTTGACAATGCAAATTATGATCATGTGCTGATTTCATGGGTGGCGTCTATTACAGATAAAACAGACATAAATAAAAAATACTATCCGTCAGAAATATACAGATGTTTTATTTTCTGTTGATTATTTCAGGTACTACTCTGCAAAATGTTACCGAGCCTGTTCAAGCCAGTCCAATACCTGTGATATCGGGAATAGGAAATCCCCTCAATGAAGTTACTGGTACCAGGTCAGGATATTAACATTTATTCTCAAACTTTGAACAAATACTTTTTGGGTTATGAAAAAAGATCATTGCACATACCTGATGTACATCATCTCTAAAATCAGAGCCCTTGAACTCTCTTTGCATATAAATTTTACATTTGGTGAATTGTAACACTTGTCATAGAGTAATACCTGAAACCGAACTGGTACACCTTACTTGAAAAGAAAGGATATGAGCGTGATGCACTTGAGACAAAAATACTATGAAGTTGGCAATATAGCAAAAGAACAGTGCTTTTATAGAAGTTCTTCTTCTTAACAGTTCCTGGTATCTGGTACACAAATAACAATGTGTCAACAGTATAAAAATCTTTTCATGTATTACAATCTTGTTTTTTTATGCATTAAGTTTTACCTTTGTCCGTCTATATGTACGTACGTACTTCCCAAAATTGGTTTCCGTTCTCTAACTTGAGTTTGCCTCAACCAAATGTTATGAAACTTATACACATGGCATATTACCATAAAACACAGATCAACTTTGAATTTTGGTGGCGTCACTTTAACCGTTCTAGAGTTATGCCCTTTATAAATGGAAAAATTGCAAAATTTTTATTTGTATTTTAAATAGGGATCAAGTATTACAACCAAACAGTATTGTTACTCCTCCTCTACCAGATTTCCTTCATGTTGATGTACCCGTCAGTCTTTCAGTGCGTGGGGAAGCCATAACTGCACCATTGGTACCCCCAGCAGCTACAGCCATGCCTACAGCAGCAGTGACAACAACCTCAACACCTCCTGCAAACCCAGAGTCATCAGCTGTACCAAGTACATCGTCAGAAGCCACACCAAGTTCCTCGACGGGACCTGCAAGTTCAACTGGCGATGGTATGATTTTTTTCTGCTTTGTTATCTGTTGTATGTATTTATACATGTATATAACATCAAGGTCTGAAATACAAGATGAAGATATGTGCCTTTTTCTTTTCCATTCTTTCCAAATTTATCAGGAAAAAATGTAAACTTAATTACTTAAAAAGTTCTGAAACTTCTATGACTCACAATTAGTTTTAAGTATATCTACATTGTGAAGTTAATATTTCACACCTCTGTTAAAAGTCTTACCAATATTTCTGTCAAGTTTAAGTTCAGTTGTTTCTATCTATATAAGAATATCCTGTATACAATTTACTTGATTTATATCAAGTTCCTTGATGGAGGTAAAAACCTTTTTTCAGTGAACTATCTCTTTTCCATAATCTTGAGATGATAAAACTGTAATTTCTAGTTATTTTTATCTCATCACATGAAATTTTCCATTTTACTGAGAAAACATTCTGATAACATAACAAAAGTCCACTCAAACCATAAAGAATGTATTTTTTAAAAACTAAATAATCCTTAGAACACACTTGGCTAATAAAAGTATCATATTTTTTAATGAAATTTACAAATGTTTACAGCGATAGTGATAAATTAAAAATGCCTGAACTTTGCCTGCATATTTCCCCTTGAACACTTCCAGTCCTTCAAAATCTCCACAAAGAAATTCCAACAAACTGTTCAAAGAAGTTAACATTGATCAAGCTGTGGTAATTTTAATGAATAAAGTCTTCACAGTTGAAAATGTCATAAGTTTTTATGCAAAGCCTGTGGTAGTAAAAGTCTTTGGGGCATTATGTTTTCCTTTCTGTCTGCATCAGATTAAAGTTTTGGTTTAAGGTAGTCTGTTTGCGGTCACATCAGCTTAAAACTTAGTACACATGTTCATTATGAAATGAACTTTATTGAATTAAGGTCTTGACCAAGAATTTGCGGTTCACTGAACATAAAGTGTAATAGTGCGAGCAGGACATGGTTTCCTATGGACACGTATTCTTTTTTTAAAGTAGAATGTAGGTTGATATTAAAAGTGCAATTGTATTTCCTTTTGATGTTTTATTTAATTCTTAACTTTGTTTAGAAAACAATTTGCCAGATGGAGTGGATCCGTCATTCTTGGCAGCACTTCCGGAGAATATCAGACAGGAGGTAGTGGCAGAACAATTACGTCTTCAGAGAATACAACAGAGTGCTAGAGACCAGGCCGCGACAGCCCAAAATATTGGTTCTAGTGAAGTCAGTCCTGAGTTCTTAGCAGCGTTGCCACCTGGTATTCAAGAGGAGGTAAGTAGCACCTAAAGGCTGATAAAAAAAATTTCTATGCAAAGCCTAAAATGAATAATTCTGAATAGCTTGCATTCCATTATATGGCTATTCCATTAAAATGTATGTGGGAGGGTAGAAAGGGACTTTCAAAATATCCCTACAACCCAGAACCATTTTTTAGATAATTTTGCATAATGGTAATAGACGCATACTGAAGAAAGACCCATGACCCACATTCAATAATTAAACTTCCCTTCCTACCCTCCCACATACATTTTAATGGAATAGCCCTTAGGTAACATATACCCATAAGATATGGTTGTTAGTCTTGCGAAAGGGAAGTATTATGTTTGAATTTTGTCTTTCTCAAAAATTGAGAAAAAAATATCCTGAAGTATCCTGTTGATTTTTAGCTCACCTGGCCCGAAGGGCCAAGTGAGCTTTTCTCATCACTTGGCGTCCGTCGTCCGTCGTCGGCGTTAACTTTTTACATTTTGAACTTCTTCTAGAGAACCACTGAATGGAATGAAACCAAACATGGCATGAATGTTCCTTATGAGGTGCTGACCAAGTGTTGTTACTTTGTAGCGGATCCATCATCCAAGATGGCCGCCAGCAGTGGACTAAGTTTAACATAGGACCCTATGGGAAATACATACAAATGTCTTCTTTTAGAGAACCACTGAATGGAATGAAACCAAACATGGCATGAATGTTCCTTATGAGGTGCTGACCAAGTGTTGTTACTTTGTAGCGGATCCATCATCCAAGATGGCCGCCAGCGGTGGACTTAGTTTAACATAGGACCCTATGGGAAATACATACAAATGTCTTCTTTTAGAGATCCACTGAATGGAATGAAACCAAACATGGCATGAATGTTCCTTATGAGGTGCTGACCAAGTGTTGTTACTTTGTAGCGGATCCATCATCCAAGATGGCCGCCAGCGGTGGACTTAGTTTAACATAGGACCCTATGGGAAATACATACAAATGTCTTCTTTTAGAGAACCACTGAATGGAATGAAACCAAACATGGCATAAATGTTTCTTATGAGGTGCTGACCAAGTGTTGTTACTTTGAAGCCGATCCATAATCCAAGATGGACGCCAGCGGGGGACTTAGTTTAACATAGGACCCTATGGGAAATACATACAAATGTCTTCTTTTAGAGAACCACTGAATGGAATGAAACCAAACATGGTATGAATGTTCCTTATGAAGTGCTGACCGAGTGTTGTTACTTTGAAGCCGATCCATAATCCAAGATGGCCGCCAGCGGGGGACTTAGTTTAACATGGGACCCTATGGGAAATACATACAAAGGTCTTCTTTTAGAGAACCACTGAATGGAATGAAACCAAACATGGTATGAATTTTCCTTATGAGGTGCTGACCGAGTGTTGTTACTTTGAAGTCGATCCATAATCCAAGATGGCCACCAGCATGGGACTTAGTTTAACATGGGACCCTATGGGAAATACATACAAAGGTCTTCTTTTAGAGAACCACTGAATGGAATGAAACCAAACATGGCATGAATGTTTCTTATGAGGTGCTGACCGAGTGTTGTTACTTTGAAGCCGATCCATAATCCAAGATGGCCGCCTGCAGGGGACTTAGTTTAACATGGGACCCTATGAGAAATACATACAAATGTCTTCTTTTAGAGAACCACTGAATGGAATGAAACCAAACATGGCATGAATGTTCCTTATGAGGTGCTGACCGAGTGTTGTTACTTTGAAGCCAATCCATAATCCAAGATGGCCGCCAGCGGGGGACTTAGTTTAACATAGGACCCTATGGGAAATACATACAAATGTCTTCTATTAGAGAACCACTAAATGCAATGAAACCAAACATGGCATGAATGTTCCTTATGAGGTGCTGACCAAGTGTTGTTACTATGAAGCCGATCCATTATCTAAGATGGTCGTCAGCGGAGGACTTAGTTTAACATAGGACCCTATGAGAAATACGTACAAATGTTTTCTTTTAGAGAACCATTAAACGGAATGAAACCAAACATGGCATGCATGTTCCTTTTGAGGTGCTGACCAAGTGTTGTTACTTTGAAGCTGATCCTTCATCCATGATGGCCGCCAATGGGGGGACTTCCTTTAACATAAGACCCTATGGGAAATACATACAAAGGCTTCTTCTAGAGGTGCACTGAATGGAATGAAACCAAAACATGGCATAAATGTTTCTTATGAGGTGCTGATTAAGTGTTGCTACTTTGTTGCCGATTTACTGTTAAAGATGGCCACCAGGATTTTTTTATTAAATTACAGGACTAATATTAAACCAAATTTGGCCTCACTCATTATTAGGGTATCTGTTATGATTTTAATCTATTTTTACATGATTTCCAAAACCAAAGTAGAATCAGGTGAGCGACACAGGCTCTTGAGAGCCTCTAGTTAACTCTCGTCCACACAATTATTGTACTCTTATGCATCAGCAAAATATGAAATTACTTGGGTGTTTCCCAAGGGTCCGGAAACGGTCATATATGCCAGTCATGTCCTAAGATGAAACTATTTGTCCTAAACAAGTAATTGGGATTTAGGACAAATTTTATTTTTTTAAAGAAGTAATTTCGGTCATTTCATTGACTAAATGTTTGAAATCGGATTTCTTAATCGCCATTTTGCACTGTCTTGTGTAAGTTGTGATCACTTGTTTTTGTTTATAATCCCTTTCCTGTAATAAAACTGCCACTTCAGTAGTTTGATAATCCTGAGGGCCCTCCTAATATCTATATCAATGCCTCCGGGAAACATTGGCTAATGATCGCTAATCACTTTTTACCTGTGGTTTTAATTCACACCTGACAGTGATCACAAGCTCAAAATAATATCTTAACAAAAATTGAAATTCTCTGACAAGTGTATTAATTATTAAATTACTTTTCAGCAAAGACAATCATCAAATCAGATTTAAAAATTAAACCTAAATTTACGGAGAAAAAAATATTTTTTCATGTGCTTTATTTACTATATAATACGCATGCGTGAATTTGTCTTCAGCAAATTTAATATTTAATCGTAAAATGCAAATTGATTTCATGCTAAATTAAACGAGTGCAAATAGTGTCTGTTACATTCAAACACTTTTAAAGGTGATAAAATAAAAAAAACCATAAAAATCCGGTGATTTCCTGTCAATTTGATAAACAAAACAAATCCGGGAAATGAATCCGGAATTATTCGTACTTTATCGCAAACTTCCGGTTTTAACTTTTGTCAAATCGAAAGAAACGTATGCAATGTCTGAGAGATTTACCATTTTGAGTCATTAAAATCATTTCAATTTTAAACTATTGCCTTCCCTAAAATGTTCTTCATGGTAATGGTAAGACATTTACTTAGTAAATGCGACGAAACAGCAATTCGTTGATGATATGAATCTAGTCAAGTTGACATCGACAATTTGGAAAGGGGCACCAACTTTTCAATCATCTCAAAATGACCGAAATTGTGTGGAAAAATTTCCGGATCCTTGGTGTTGCCTGAGCAAGCAAGATATACCATTGTGTCCAATTCCAAAGCAAACACTCGTTGTATCCAAGACATCAGAGAAGATAAAAAAAAAATCAATATGTTTGCACCCCTAGACATACTTTTTAAAAAGCATTATCTTGAGAATTTTCAGTAAAATACTTCACACATATGTTTGAGCTTGTCATAGCTAGCTATAACATAAAGTTTTTAACTTATAACACATTCTAAACTGTTGTATCAGCTAAAATTTAACTAAAAAGTCTGAAGAGTTTTAGTACAGTCATCCTTATGAAGAAAGGATTGGAGATTCATTGTGTTATTAACACATTTTGTATGATACACTGTTGTCATTCAGATATGAAACTCTCCAAATATAAATGTGTTTTACAGACAGACCTGTGCTTTCATAGTTGGAACTGTGTTTCGCATGTGGACAAACATATCTTAAAAATCATGGAATAGATAGCAATGTTTTTGGATTTTTTTCTACTGGATATTAAACTGTGCACCTGTTATTTTAATTTTGACCAAAGTGCTTTATTCTGTTTCCCATACTAAACCTAAACATGGACTTTGCCATTTCCTCTCAATATTTTTAGACAGCATGGGACACTAACTTTCCTTTGAGGACCCACACATTTTTATCGTATATTGGTATGTTGTTGGCGTCGTCGTCGTCCGAAGACACATTGGTTTTCGCACTCTAACTTTAGTTTAAGTGAATGGATCTCTATGAAATTTGACCATAAGGTTCAATACCACTAAAGGAAGGTTGGGATTGATTTTGGGGGGTTATGGTACCAACAGTTAAGGAATTAGGGGCCAAAAATAAGCATTTTTGTAACTTCCAGACATAACTTGTGTTTTAGTGTATGGATCTCTCTGACATTGTACCACAAGGTTCCATATCACAAAGGGAATGCTGGGATTGATTTTGGGGGTAATTGCCTCAAAATTTTAGGAATCAGGGGCCAAAAAAGGGGCAAAACACAAGCATTTTTCTAGTTTCATGACAATAACTTGTGTGTAAGTGTATTGATCTTTCTGAAATTGTACTACAAGGTTCCATATCACAATGGAAAAACTGGAATTGAGTTTGGGGGTAATTGCCCAAAACGTTTAGGAATAAGGGGCCAAAAATAAGCATTTTTCTAGTTTCCAGACATTAACTTGTGTTCAAGTATATGGATCTCTCTGAAATTGTACTGCAAGGTACCGTACCACAAAGGGAAGGCTGGGATTGATTTTGGGGGTAATTGCCTAAAAATTTTAGGAATCAGGGGCCAAAAAAGGGGTAAAAACAAGCATTTTTCTAGTTTCAGGACAATAACTTGTGTGTAAGTGTATGGATCTTTATGAAATTGTACTACAAGGTTCCATGTCACAAAGGGAAAGCTGGGTTTGAGTTTGGGGGGAATTGCCCTAAACGTTTAGGAAATTGGGGCCAAATAGGGGCCAAAAAACAAGCATTTTTCTAGTTTCCAGACAATAACTTGTGTTCAAGTGTA